AATAAATATTCTTTTACAGTACTTACTTGTATTTTCCAGCCCCTGCAAGCTGTTCTTTTACAATTTTACTGTTTGTTAAAAACAATGTTATATAATGTTAAAACAGTAATTCTGAGCACAAAATTTAATAAATTTGACACCTGTGGAGTATATAGCATTGCTTATGAATGAGACAAGAATGTGCTTTTAAATTTCCATCATACCTGAATAATGTCTGTGTAAAATTTGAGCTCAAATGTAGTATTTTTAACTTATAAATCTACTCCTAGTAAGTGGCCCTGGCAACCTATCTTTACATGTAACTGCCAATATAACCCTCCATCTTCATAAAGATCTAAGTAAGCTTTTAAGGCCTTCCTGTCATTTTTTTAAAGCATGGCCTCACAAACTTTTTTCTTTTGGCTCCACCAATAAAAAACATTTAGGGAAAGTCAAATAATCAACAACCACAACTAGTACTTAAATACTAAGTTAGCAATTGACTGAGACACCATTAGCACCACAATAAAAAATGCAAGAACCCTCAACTGGCTGAAACTTGCATCATTCAGTTGCATACTATTCTTTCCACATTTACTAATAAATTAGCCTATATTTAGTGGACACCTCTATAACACAGACACTAGGAAGGTTCTCAGAGAGGTTACCTTTAATACTTTTATAACTATAAAAGTAATAGCTTTTGCTGCAGTTTAAATTGATTTAATTTTTGAGATACAGTTAACTAATTCTTCACTTATCACACAACAGCTGTGCAAAGCATATCAATTGTAAATAACAAATGTGGAGAGTTACAAATTACTTTCAGTACTTTATAGTGCAAGCAATGTGTTCCTTACCACCATTTTTCAGTGTTTTCTTTCCATTTACAGACTCAAGTGGCTGTAATGAAAAAACAAATTCAAACAATTCTACCTCACTTCCTAAAGCAAGAAATCACAAGAATAAACAAGTGTAGAAACTTAGACATACTTAGGCTAGAACCCTAATTCAAAAATAAAAAAACTACCCCCTGCAAAAAAAAAAATGTACCACTGTCTTTGGTACCATCCTGTTCCTCCCCTATTTCCGTTTTTTTTTTTTTTTTTACTTTTCTTTTCTATCAACTTTCAAACACATACCATGCTTCTTCTTGATGGGAAGAGGTTCCATAAAAAGACCAAATAACCAGAAAGATAACCAGCAAGATAGATAACCAAATGGATAACAAAATGAGTAGTGGTACCAAACTAAAGCTTGTAGCAATTCACCGACCTGACTATTACACCCTATTCTTTTTCCCCAGGTCTATGTGAACTAGATTTTGAGCACAGAATGTAATACCTCACCAAACATCTGCTAGGATGACTCACTTAAAAGTGTGCATGATTATCATCTCTTGCTGAGATAGCACACTGCACTTCAATGTTTTTATTACTACACATATAGGGGCTTTGGTAAGATTGTGGAAAGGAGGGAAAACATTTGAGCAGCTGGGAGGGACAAAAATGACTGTGGCAGCCATTTATTCCCACTTGGATAGCAAAGTCTGGGGAACCTTTCCCTGGAAATTTAAAGGTTTGGATGTCCATTTTAGGCCACTATTTCTCAAGTTGGCTAAAAATTATATCTGCTACAAGAGAGAGTGAGGGAGAGTGTTGACACTGATTTAATGAATAGAGTAGCTTTTACATAACGAACTATATAAACATTATATACATAGTAATGTTGTCTCGTAGATGATGTCTGTGTGGTCTTGTTTGATTTTTACCTTTGCCTTACTCAAAAATATGAAATTGTGCCCTGGACAACATTAAATTTGGGGAACAGTGCTGTGATTTCTGACACAGTATATTTAAAGCAATTACTGATGGCAAAGGAATTAATTGGTACTTCAATGATGAATGTAGAGCACAGCAATCAATGTAAACCATCATACCAAAAAACATGGTGACTGGTACGTTCACCTAGAACTCTTTGCACAAGAAAATCCTGGAACCACTCAAAAAGTCAAGCAGAAAAAATTGGAAAAATTTAAAATTTGCATACATAATGTTGTTGTTTTGCGAAATATTGCTTTCTACATGTGTCTTACCCTAAGAATAAAGGTAAAATTTACAGGCACCATCTATGTCTGTAAGTGGATTGAATCTATTGGGTAAACACCAGAAAAAATAATAATATTGATACAAATAGGCTGAGGGTTTAGTATAGGTATGCTATGGTTTAGTTTTATCCTAAGTTTATTCTTTTACTTTTAAAAGAGGCCAAATTGATAGTGACATATCATCTCACTATAACTTAGGCTAGGAGCTAAATTTTATCTTTCTCTACACAAAATACATTTTTCATTCATATCATTAACAAAACCAAAGGAAACTGATTTTTACACCAAGGACAAGCACAACAGATACCTTTCATCTGCACTTTTGTTTACTTTGCTTTGCTGCTGGTTCTCATCCATGCCTGTATGAATGATATTGAGTAAGGGTGAAAGGATTGGTATTTTCTTCACAAAGATAGTTTCAGAGAGTGTCTCCATTGATATATGGATTACCAGACACTCACAATGAACTCCAACAAGACCAAGTTCTTGCTAACAAGTGTAGGAGCAATAATCGCAAATAATGGGCAATAGTCTGTATTGAATTAAGTATTCATTTGTGCATGAATTAGTATTTATTTCATTTTAATGTTTGTAACACACAATTGAAAAAGTATGTAAAATGTGGTAACAAAATACATATCATTGTGGTATTCCTCATAATTTAGTTCAAGGGCTTTATTCTAAATAGATCAAAAAAGAAAGAAAGTGGCATATGTCAGCCACTGATTTAAATAGAAAAGCACATATTATTAAGTGATGAGTAATTTTGCTGCAAATTTGTGCCCCTCTGGGTGAGCAAAGAGAATGATGACCCAACTGTTACTTGCTGCAGAGCGTTAGGAGCCAGCACCCTATCCTTTATAAGAGACCAGATCTTCATCATATGTGTAAGCAGTTTGTAAGTTAACTTTCCAGGATATGTGAAGTTTAACATCGACCATACATCCTAGCTGAATTTTTGCGTAGCCCCATACATTTACAATGAGTACATGTCTTCCACTGTACCCATAATAGCCACCAGTGTAGACACTATGAGACTGCTACATGCAACATAGTACAAATTATTGAGGCTGGAAGAAAATCACAAGTTTTTGAGCATTGAAACACCGAGAGCTGTCCTGGTTTTTAATCGACGTGTAATATCTGGTGTTGCATGTCCCAAACAAAATAAAAAAGTCAGTCCTCGACACAGAAGGATTCAATGAATCCAGGTATCATGCAGCTACATGAAATCTACTGGAATTTAGCACAAAACTTGAACGCGATCTTTGAAGAATGGTTGTAATATTTAAAATTTAAAAAAATACTAGCATGAAGTGCAACGAAAACCTTACCTTATTGTACTAGTTCCAACAGAAAAGTAAGGAAAGCCATGAGGCAATGTCAAATTCTCGTCTTCCTAGGCTTTCCAACGTATGGAAGGAAATTTTCCATATACCTCGCACTTAAAAACGCAACCAGAATCTTACTCTTTCACCGATCCGAAGCGCCCCAAGAGGTGTCAAGGATAGCCCATGAAATAGGCCTTATTCGTATTCCCGGACGGCCTTGGGCGAGTGCACGATGTCGAGGCTCATGCGGGGGAATCTGTGATTTCAATATGGCTTTCGTAGGAGGGGCAGAGAGTGAAGTTCAAAAATGGAAAGTTCCTGAGTTGAAATCGTATTTACAGAGCCGTGGAATAACTGTTTCGCAAAAGAGAAAGGAGGAACTAGTAGAATTGGTGGAGAAGGCTCGCGATCTTTCACTGGAACCGATAGACGATTGGGAGAAACCGGAGGATGTGATAGTCAACAAGTTGCAGACGAAAGAAGGTTCGCTCCCCTGTCCTAACACGTTACACTCTGACTGGACTTCCGACTTTTCTGATTTTCCGAACTTCACATACGGTGATATGTACGCTTACTTAATCAATAAGGAGGGTTATGACCACGAGTCTCTCAAGGCATATAAGTCGTTCGAAGGCTACCGCCTGTTCTGGGATGGCCATGTGTTAAAATTGATGAAGAACAAGAACTTGTTCAATGGATACCACTACGTTAAATTTGGAGTAAAGCCAACGGAACGAGAGAAAACGCAAGTCGGACAGAAACCAACTTACGATGGATGGATAATAATTCAGTCAGATGGATCAGTTTACACAGCGCATTGCCCTTGTATAGGAGGGTGTGTATTCTGCTGCCTCGGCTAATATTTGGCCATCTTAAAAATGAATTTGATTTATGTATGTGTTAAATGATAAATCCAGATTGATCTGTTCAACTGACACAATGTTGAAGTGTTAATGAAAATAATAATTTGCAGCTTTGCGAAATTTTGTACTTCGTTTCCAAATTGTTGAAGACATCTTTATACTATGCCCAAGTGTATGTGATCTCTATGGCTTTCAGAATAATTTCCTTTTATCTAGTATTCAAAACTTTGACTCTGGTCATCACAATATATCTGTTGAAACTTTTCTTAATTCCTAATTTCTTGATCAGGGCTGATGGTGCTTGCCGGCACATTGGTGCCTCGCTTATTGACCTTGAAGCTACACTGAGAGAAAATGTTGTAATAACTTGCACAGGGAGAAAGTGCACTTGGAAACAACGGAAGAGGACTCATGAGGGCATGACAAAAGGATCAGCCATAGATTTTACAAAACCCACACTGAACAAAGAGAAAAAAGAAGCGACTAAAACCAAGGTGTGATACTTATGACCCCAGAACTTCATATGATACGAATGTAAATTTGGCTGAGAATTTTAGAAAGCTTGTTGCTGAAACTGTTCCTTCAGCTGTATTACTGCATCTGTTACCTGACCCAGACACATGTAATGGTCAACATCCTCAACTTGATTCAGAAAATGTAAATGACATAAGAGAGGAAAATTCAATTGTTACTACATTTACATTAGATTCTTTATCACCAATGAAACCTTTGCCACCCAGTCTGGATGAGATTAAAGAAAGGGGCAAGGCAATAAAAAAAAACTTCAGTTTACAGATGATGAAATTGATGCAGTGGAAAAAAAAAAGACAAAACTGCAGAGTGATGCCATTGACTGGTTTCAGTACAGAACAGGAAGAATCACCGCTTCTCATTGTAAACGTATTGCAAGCTTGAAATTAACCACATCTCCAACTAAAGCTTTAAAGGAAGTTTTGAGTTACAACCAAGTGCCTTTAACAGCTGCCATGAAGGAGGGCTTGGCAAAGGAGGATGAAATTGAACAGGCACTAATAAAATACATGAAACAGAATGGACATTCTGATATAAAAGTCGAAAAGTGTGGATTTGTCATTAGCAAGACCCATGGACATATTGGTGCCTCTCCAGATAGAATAATATATGATCAGTCTGAGTCTAGCCCAGGTGTGGTTGAGATGAAATTTCTTCAGGTGAAGTCAGGGGAAACCCTTGAAGATATTTTACTGAAACAGCATATTTGTATAAAAAGAAGCAATGGTATAGCCCTTAATAGAAATCATAAATACTTTTATCAACTACATCAACAAATGTTTGCAACAACGTATCCCTGGGGCATATTTGTTGCTTGTGGCAGGGATGGTGGTATTTATGTTGAGAAAGTGTTGTTTGATCAAGAGTTTTGGTCTCCAGTGCTAGTTAAGCTGGATTCATTTTTTTTTGACTCGGTCATTTTACCAGAACTAGCTTTTCCAAAGGTTAAATATGGTCAGAACCGTACAGTGTTATATAGTACAGATAAATAAATATACATATAATGTAGAAACTCAACTTCCAAATATGAACCTTTCGTGACATTGAGCCTATGTAAATGCATAACTATTCCATTTATACCTAGTATAGTAGCTACTGTAAGGGGTTACATGCTCATTGTTTTTTTTTTTTAGTTCGATCAAAAAAATCATATGATTTATACAGACATAAGAAAATTATTTAGACATTTACTTTGAAACAAGAGGCTTCATTAAGTTACACAGTGCTGCACATACAAACACAGTCTGATCAGCAACTGCAGCAAGGGTGATAGGTATCACACCACGTAAAATTCGGAAACACTTGAGCCGCTGGATTGCTCTTTTTTCCACATGTATGCGAACTGCAGCTATTCTCCTGGTTTTTGTACATGCCTTTGTTGAAAGGGACTTCCCCTTTGCAAAGGGGGGAATGTTTAATGTGGCCTTTTTCTTTGTGACCATATCTCTAATATTGAATCCTCTATCAGCCATCACATCATCTAGAGGTTCCAGCTTGTCTATCAGTCCAGATTTCTGAGTTATATTTCGGTCAGAGACCCCACCAGACCAAAGTTTAGAGACAAATGTGAAGGCTCCAGTGGGTGAAATACCAACCAAGAGTTTGAAAGTGTTATGTGACTTGTAATCACTCCAAGTAATTTTCTGAGCTGAAGGTTGAGTGGACTTCTCTATAAAAAAACTCTGTACAGTCAATAATTACACGGGTCCGAGGATACCTACTAAAGCTCTTAGGCATGTGCTTTTGAATTTGAACCTTTGCAGGCCATATTATAAGAACTTCCTTAAATACATGATACAAAAGATTAATCCAAGTTGTAAAAATCTTGGAAACTGAACTTTGTGAAATTGCAAAAATGTCTGCCAGGTGACTCTGTAACAGTCCAAGCCTGAGTCTTATAAGAACCATTAAAAATTCAGAAAATAATGGCATCTGCCTCTTTGGTCCCGGCTTGTTAACATGTTCATCTTCCTGTAATAAAAGTAAAAACGTGCAGTTGAGTTGCTGAAGCAAAATGTTTAGGCAATTATCACATAGTTGGAAATCATAATAACATAATATATCATGTTATAGACCCTATGCATATATTATCATTTTGTTCATATTTAAAAAAGCCTCGCTAACGTCGTTTTTGAGACAAAATTTGTAAAGAATATGTTATCCCGATCGAGGTTAGTGAGGCTATTTTGAATACGAACAAAAAAATTCAAAGGTACCCATTTTTGCATAGGGTCTATATTGCTATTTATACCAAACATGAAACATTTTATGCCATAATGTTCATCAAAACAAATGAAAGGAAATATTAACAAGACTGCTGTGTAAACATTTTATGCCATAATGTTCATCAAAACAAATGAAAGGAAATATTAACAAGACTGCTGTGTAATAATATTAAGATACCTGATACGTTTCCCTCTGTCCCTTTTTCTTGTTGTCCCAATATTTCATTGCATTTGCAAATGGTTTCAGAAAGGGAAACAACATCATAAGACAGGCATAGGAGGGCAATCCAGTGTAGAAACACACGGACTTGTTGCTTTTTAGGACGTCGTCTATAAACATTTCTCTCTTCAGTTCTGGTTTATTTTCCAGTTTAGCTTTGGCTGCTTCCATGCAGTCGATATCTTCACAGGTAAGGTCGGTTTGGATACACTTGTCTGCAAGGGATCTTGGATCAGGTGTCTGTTCAGTTTTAATCTCACACTCTTCAGAAAAAATAAAATCCATGTCGCTCGAGCACGCAGTTTCCTGCAGTTGTGATGACAGGCCCAATGGTTCCGGGTTTTCCTTGTTTTTGTCAGTTTTACCTGCTTGTCTCCTTGGTGCAGTCTTGGTTTTGTTTTGTATGCAGCTCAAAGCTCCTCGTCTCCTTTCCTCTGGATCTGTTCGCTTCCGTCGGGTTTTGGGCTGCAAATGAGTCGGGAAACTGAAAATTGTTGGGACAGGATTAAGCTTTGAGGGTCCTAAACCACCTTCGAAGTGTGCTGAACAAATTCTTGTATGTCTTGTGACATTTAAACTGCTTAAACGACAAGCAGCTATCCACCTTTTTCTTCTCTCGTTTTCATTCATTCCGGGGTGTAAGTCTTCTTTCGGTCGCCGATAGGAAAAGTGTGAAACGTTATTCCTTTGAGTTCTGGATATTTCAGATGGTTTTTTTGTTTTTCAGTGCTGTTGGAGCAGCCATATGCACAGCAGTTATGTTTAACCATGATTTTGCCGTCAAATACTGCGAACCAAAGTGACTTTCTCCGTATTTTTCCAGCTGTGTCAAAGGGTATTTTTCCCCCGCATGAGCCTCGCTTTCGCGCGAAACAAAACACTCGTCCCAGACCAGTCCGGGAATACGAATAAGGCCTATTCTCAAACTTCGAGCGCGGAAATCTTAACGATCTTTTTACACTTTTGCTTTGCATCCCTCCCCTAGTTGGGAAGTGACACGCAGAAGACACGATCACAACGCACTTTGATTGGAAGAAGTAAAACTGCATTCTATTGGTTATAATGTGTGAGGACATAACCACAACGGAAGACACGACTGCAACGCTACACCACGCGACCCAGGCCTCTCTCGTCTTTCCATTCCTCCACTACCATTTACTGATCGAGCTTTATTTTACTAACTAAAAGCCTAGAACACGCCACAAAAAATTTATAAAAGACACCATTTTTTATAAGGTATCAGCTTCTCATCAAGGTCGGATATCCGGAAATCATGTGCTTGGACAGTTCAGATTTTTTCCGCATTCCGCAACTACAAAGCGGAGGTGGCAGGGAAATTAAACTGAGCACTTAGTGGCCTTCGCTAAGATGACAACTTATCAGGAATTTCTGATCATGTTGCAACCACTGGGCATAGAAATAATTTGTATTTTTTTTTACGGGTAAGAGACATTGCATATCCTAGAATTAAAATAAACTTTAATTTCTGTGTCAACGAGCGAATTTATAGAAGTTTTGAAAGGTTTGAAAGGCAGGAACCAATCACCTGATTACTTCCAGAGAGCTGAAGATAGAACATCGCGCGTCAAGAGTTTAATTTTCGACTATTTGCGGTATATCAACAGAAAGCAGGACTGAACCCATGAATAGGCCCATTGATGGGTAATGGGCTTCTGCAGAAAGAGATTTTTTAAATTTTTTTTCAAGTTTCTATTAAATATACTGACTACAACTGTTATTTACCCTAGAGGGGCTCGGTAAATATCCACCACTATTTGCCTCCACTTGAGTGAATAATTGTTAATTATTAATCCCCTCATTCAAAACTTTTAAAATTAGTGAATGTAAGTAGTTTTCACATATCGTCCTTTGACTCCAGAGCAAGAAAAAATCCAAAAAAAGTCTGCAACTGGCGGCTCCGTGTAGAATTCACTTCTACCATGGTAGACCTAACAAATGCCTACATTTTTGCCAAATCATGATGTGTTTCTCGAACAGAGTTTTGAGATTATTGACGTAAGATTGGTCTGTGCATTTTCAACGACGAAAACAACATTTGTATACTGTTGTTTACTCTTCAAAACGACAGCTGTTGACTTTCATCCAAACCACCATCTAGAATAATAATAGATTTGTTAAGCATATTTGTCTTGATTCAATAACAGCTGTCGAACGATCGAAGAAACATTTTAAGGTTTTTGGATCTAAGTTGTTGGAAGTTCCAACCAATAGCATAGCAAAAGCGAAAAGCGAAAAGCCTCAAGTGCATGATCATGTATCACTTGAAGGAAAGACTGATATGGCTACTTTAGAAAAAGTTTCAAATGGAAAGTGATTGCGTGATTCAGTGATTGCATTTTTAGACTATTTGCTTTTAAAACGACCTTAAATGGTTTAATATTTAATTTAACATTCTAATTTAAAGTAAATATAGAATGTTAGCATATCATCTTAGTCTGCCTTCTTCCCGTACCACCACAAAGAGAGACGCTTTAAAGATTCATCGATCTTAAACACAGCAACAGGCAGCGAGAAGAATCAAGATTGCTTACGAAGTAACAAACTTTCTTAATGCTTGAGAATATAGAGCAAATTTAACAATAACCAAAATATCTGTCTTTGCTTCAGTCAGTGATTAATACTAATAACATTCAATGATAATACGCCTCTTGGATAAACAAAGTCTCTCTTTCTAAGGGGTCCTCTAGGAGATTGCTCAAGAAAGTGCATGGTGTCTGATTTCACTGTTAATGCAGGTTCTCAATTGATACGAAACCTGCTTTTAAAACCGATTAGCCAATAGGAGTTTGAAGTGCCGTTTTATACCCACAGGGTGTTCTATATTTACTAAAAAGTGGAGAGGAAGTGATAGAGCACTAAAACGACCGGACAAGCCTATCACTCGTGCAACGGAAAATGAAGCTCAAACATCGAGAACTATTCAGCACTATTTTTCATATACTCGTGGCAATAGTCTCCTCAGGAGAGGCCTCGAACGGTAGGTAAATTCAGGCGTAAGAGTCCTTGATGAACACTGTGAACTTTTCTTTCAAATAGTTGAGTACAATTTTTACTTTTCGTTACTTTCTATTTCCACAAAAAGTCAACGATGAACGCATTAAACCTCTTAGCCGAGGCACAGGTGAAGGTTTTGCTTACGCCAACTTTAAGCCTCAAAAATTTTCCTACCTCAACGTCACCAGCATTGGGTCAGATTATTTTCTAGAAGACAGCGAATGTGGATTTGTTTGTGCCAACACACCGTCATGTTTCTCCTTCAACTTGGGCGTATTCTCCGCTTTCATGGGAAAAGTGTTGTGCGAACTGCTTCCATCAGACGTGTTTAACAACTCGGACAAGTTTGTATACAGTCAGAGCCACCATCACTATAGTATCACGGTAAGGAATTTGCTTAAATGTTCTCTTTTAAACCACAAATTAAACAAAACAAAACCAAAAAAACAAGAACAAAACTGGGTTTGCAATAGAAAATATTCTGTATTTAATTTCTCCAAGGCCTTCTATCTCAGGTGAAACATTATCCTGCACTGTTGCAAAGTGATGCAAAATTTATAACTTGAAACTGAATACTGATTTCTGAAACAACAATGAAACTCTTGTGACCATACGCTTCAGTTACTTTGAAAATGACGAGCCTGATACGAAAGAGTAAATAAAATAAGACGCTTTTGTTTTCCCTAGAGGTATATTCAATCAAAGAGTAATTATAATCCCGTTGAGAAGCTGAATAAAGTTCTCTGAAAAACTTCCTCGTGGTTGTTATAAGGTGTCATAAAAGTTTTAGCAAAGGTTTTGACGCTTTGAGCGAATTTCATATCAATAATATTTTCTATAATGCACTTCGACTACCAAATAAATCGGAGGTACTAAAAAAGGTGAATGAAATTTTATTTTATCTACTGCAATTCATTACTTTTCAATTGAAAACTTTGGCCAAACCATAATCCTTCTGAAACACTTGCGATGGAATATCTGTTTGTGTCTTCTTGTTGTTTCACAGTCTCCGTGTTGGAAGAGTGCAATTGCAATTTTCCTGCATCATGAGAGCATGCACTTCAAACCATTCAGACAAATTAACACCGCCTCCTAAGAAAGGCATAATTCTGTACCAAAAAATCATTTCTGTGTCTTAACCTTTTAAAGGCTAAATTTATTTTGGAATTTAATAAAATCATATAATTACCATAGAGTGAACGTAAATAGCCATGTCATGTTCAGCCCTTAAAAGTGATGAAGCTCCATTCAAGCGCCATATTGCCCGCACCATCATAACACTGGCCACGACAGTCATCCATAGATAGTCCTAACTCAACTACAGCACCAATTATTAAATCTTTGATAGCTGCTCCTGTTGTTACATCCTCACAAAAGTAGAATCCCACAAACTCTTCCCTAACTGTTTTGGTCGAGTCGAGAATTCTGATCACCACTGAAGGATTTTCTTTATTTGATATGTCAGCTGCTTCATCAGACATAAAAGAAAAATATTTGCTATTCCTGATTTCCTGTGACAAATTATTCAGTATGATAGCACCCACGGTTGTAATCATCTCGTTTTGAATGGATCTAGAAATATATGTCGCATTTCAGGATGCAGTTTCCAGATGATGTTGCAATTTTTGGTCGCCGCTGTCAATTCGAAATTTTAACAGTGCCTTGAAATTACCGGAAAGACTGGCATTTTGTGGGTCATTATCTTGTCTACCTCTGAGGACTATGTTTTTTTTCCTCAGAAAATTGTTGTTTTAAAAAGGTATTTCAGAATTTCGCGATTTCTATTGGTTTGTCGTTGAAGTAAGTTGTTGATCTGCAGATAAATTGGGACCGCTTCTCTTCTCAAATTTCTCAGCAAATTATCCATTGCAATGACTGCCAAATTATGCATCTCACATTTTCCGCTCGCGTGTTTGGTAAAACGTGAAACAGTGGATGTCCAAAGTGTAAATGGATACTTGTCTAGCTTATTGGTATATCTCCCACACTGGACTCCGAAAAAAAGACACGGTAAATAAAAATGCACCGTCGAGAGTATTTGGAGTACGCTAACCGGGGAAATCTTTTCATCCAGCTTCACACAAAATGACGTTTAGAATTCGAACATTCTACTGACGCTGGGAAGTCATAAAGCTCAACTGGTTTCCACACATTCTCTATGAACCTGAGCTTGTCCTGGTCCGAATATGCGCTGATTTCCTTGAAAACCAAGCCAACATCGTACGGAGAATAGTCCTCCTTCCGACAAACTGGATCGCCTCGAACCATAATCCTGTCTTCCTCCGTAGCAAGTTAATGAACTCTAGTAGGAACAAGAACAAACGAAGGGACTCTTGGGGAGAGGCTTTGCGATTATTAGTGGTTCTCACGGTAGTTTTTGCAGCCTAGATAGCCAATCACAACCGAGTTTGAGTAGTTCGCCAAACGGATGTGAGTGTTTCCGGCCAATCAAAGAGGGTTTTGAGTGGTTTGTGAAAAGATCCATATACCACCGAGTCCCACCCACTGCGTGCAAATTTTCTCCAGTTGTGCCTACGAGTTTCTCTCCTATTTCTATAAGGTTTCATAAAAGTCTTAGCGAAGGTTCTGACGCTTTGAGCGAATTTCATATCAATAATATTTTCCATAATGCACTTTGACTACCATATAAATCGGAGGTACTAAAAGGTGCATGAAAATCTTGTTTTATCTATTGCAATTCATTAATTTCAACTGAAAACTTTGGCCAAACCATAATCCTCCTGAAACACTTGCGATGGAATGTCTGTTTGTGTCTTGTTGTTTCACAGTCTCCGTGTATCAGTTGGCCATGTCGGAACAATGGGACATGCGCGGCACAGTACGAAGACAACAGCTACGTCTGCATTTGCAAAAAAGGCTTCAAAGGAAAAGATTGCGAATTTGGTAAGACACTGTTGAGTTTATTAACCAAGAGCCCTTCACTAGCCTGCCTGGAATTAACCCTCTAACTCCCATCAGTGACCAAGAGAGAATTTCTCCCTACAATGTGAACGCAATACCAAGCAGACAAGTGGTGAGAATATAGAAAAATAGCGATCAGAGAATTTTAGTTGATCCAATACCAAATTCTCCAAACTAACATCATAAGAATTGTGTGGCAGAGAGTAAGGAGAATTACTGATGAGATCTTGGCAGTGAAAGGGTTAAGATTGCACTACAAAGTTAAAAAAAGTGGCTATTTCATTATAAGTTTCCCAAAATAATTTCCAGAATGGACTTGCTTTTTTTCATTTCTAGATATTGATGAATGCGCTGAGGGACTACACTCTTGTGACGTCCATGCTTATTGTAACAATACTGCTGGATCTTATACATGTACTTGTAAGCCAACATACCATGGTGACGGAGAAAATTGCATACTGCGTAAGTACCATTGACAAGCTTTGAAAATGAAAGGCATGTTGTCGCTTTGTCCGATAGTCTTCGTATTGACAGCTACCTGTTTAGAAACAAATTCACTACATTTTTGATTGTGAAAATTTTCTAAAAGAGTCATAAATAAATAAGGGGATTGTTAGCTGATTCAATACCAAATTCTTGGAACTAACATAATAAGAAATATATGGCAGAGTGTAAAGAGAATTACCAATGTGGTCTTTGGAAAGAAATGGTTAGAAGAAAAACATCGCCAGCATTAGAGTCAAACATGGGCTAAATTGTCAATTATGTTACGAAATTTCATTCACTGAGACTTTGATGATGGATCATGGGGTTGTGTCTCCACCAGAGTGTATCAGACTCCAAAACCTTTTTAATCTACGATTCCCTATTATAATAGTGATTTTAAAGCAATGATCAATCAGTAAATTGATTAATTTATTAATAAGCTGTTCTATTGGTTTATTTCAACAAGGAAGAAGCAATTTTAATCCTTCTTTTTTTATGATATTTTGGAACTCAACAGCGATGAATTCAGCAATACTTCAAGGAAATTCAAGTTATATTGATGACCTTGCTCAGTTCTTGAAGCCTATAATTGGAAATCACAGTCGGTGGGTGCTGTGTTACCGCGCCTCTACCTACAGCTGGAGAATCAGTACCTTCCACACAAAGTGTGATGGGAAACGTGACACAGTCTCTATCATTAAAGTAGGACAGTACGTGTTTGGAGGATACACCGACATTTCATGGGGTAAATCAATAATACCTAGTCATTTATCGTGGGGGAAGGGGGAATCGAAGAATATTGCGAAATGACATGGTTTTCAGAGGAAACGGAGATGGAATCAGTCGTCGCTGACAGAGTATTAAGGGAAAACTATAGAAAACTTGACTGCTGATTGGGGAATCATTAGAATACAACAGAGCTTTAAGTGGAGGGGGAACGGGGAGGAGGAAATTAGGAAAATTTTGTTGTCGTAATCGGTTCGTTTGCTTGTTCGTTCGTTTGTTTTTGCATCAATGCTTGAGCTTGGGCTGGGGTGGGTAGGGCCTTGTCCGTCTTATTAACGCAGGAGACGCTTTGTTTAACGGAACATTCTAGAGGGTCTCAAGAGGGTTATTCAGAAGCCGTAAGCCGGCTAAAACATAAGCCATTAGGTGCCAGAATTGAAAAAATTTGATCAATAGTCGCAAAAGAATTAACCCTACAGAAAATGTTCTGGCGACAACAATGGAATGATATGAACCGTAAGCTGTAAAATGGCCCAGATTTCAACTGTTAGATGGTAAAGCCATCACTAAACTTATTGAACCTTGTCAAGAAATAAAAGTCCACCTTTGGCGTTTTACAAATCTATCAGAGAAGGATTGTAAGTCTTTCTATTTCTGCAGAGTCCAGTGGAGGTTATGCAAGCACTTCTAAAGCGTTCATATTCTCTATCGTCAATAACGAAGGACTGCCACCGTTCAAGAGCCTGGTGACTAGTCCTCAACATGCTATTGAGAGGACGACAGCTCACAGTGTAACATTTGGTGGAGGTCACGATATCTGCATCAATGATAATGCCAACAGCAACACACACTCCTATGCAAACTTTGGCCATTCTTATTCAGTCCCAAGTGGCATAAAGGACAAAAGAACAATCCTGGCTGGGACTTACTCCTTCAAACCTGATGAGCTAGAGGTCTTTTTTCTTGATTAAAAGACTTGAACTATCATTGGTAAAACGAAGTACTGAGAAAACCTTGTGTAAAGTGTCATTCATTTGCATAACTACCTTTTAGAGAGACTTAATCTTTAAGGATTACAGTGCATTGATATATCAGCAGAAAAGTAATTATTTCACGTTTATAAACGTAAGCTGAAGTTGATTCATAAACCACTGGGATATCGGGCCGCACGATAGTTTATATTACGCACGCTTGTTCATCAAATACTGATATTTATCACGATTTATAGACGTATAATGATAGGTATTTGACTGAAATACAAATATTTGTATATCGCTGAGTTGCCAAAAAGCCCTAATCTTGGACTGACTTTTCTTTTACGTTCTTTAACTTTAGTCAGCCAGACAATTGTTACCTAAATATTAACCCTTTAACTCCCAAAATCTGCTTGCTTATTCTCCCCTCTAGCTACCACACATTTTCTTGTAAATTAGTAATGAGAATTTGTTTATCGATTAAGATAATATCTTTAACCTGATAAGTTTGAGTATTCTCATCACCTGTTTGCTGGATAACGTATGGATACTAAAGGAAGAAGTTACATGTTAATCACTTCAGGGAGTTACAGGGTCAAGGAGAGAAATGCTTGAGAGATGCGTGCGGGGGAAGATAAGAAGGGAGGCAACAACACGCTTTCCTCTTTCCCGTCGTCCCTTTGGTGATCACTCGTTCCAGTCTACTGTGGCCCTACGACCGAACAATGATGAGAGACGAGTTAGAACGAATCAGATATTGTTTAATTTTTAAAAATATTATCACCCTGTGCAATACTTCATTAAATATACTATACTGATTTGAGCGTGATTTCAAATTTATTTGATTATTCAAATACGTAATTACCAGTAATTTCATTTTTATATTTTATCGTTGGTTATAAAGTATCAACTGGTGTAAGTATTCCACTATACTTGTTTAATGTAGGCTACTGTTGTAAGAATCGTAGGTTGCATTGCTATTAAAAGACCAGCACCTAGAATACGGAAGCGCTAAAAAAACTGTTAAATGGGGACATAAAAGCGTTGCTTAGGCCCGTAACGACTAAGAAAGATCCCGTAAATTATGCCAAATATTTGGTAGTAGAGGGATTTGGAATATTTTCAGCGGAGAACGTATCACAACCGTGTGTGACTTGTCTTAGTGTGTTTGCACTCACATCAGCTCTTAGTAAGAGGGTCTATAATGATAAAATAATAATGAAACTGATAAAACTAAAAAACATGCTATCAATGTGAATTTTCTCTCTTCAAGGATTGTCTTACACAAAATGTAGCGATTTACACCGACATTGTTCACTCTTCCTAAATAAAAGTTAACGAAAGTGACCAAAGTAAGAGAGATATCAAATGTGTGATAGGATAAATGAATAGATGAATAAACATGTATATTCCCTGTAAAATTCGAGTCTATAAATCCATTAGTATATCTTAAATCTTACACATTTCGACGTTTTGGAAAGCATGTCTGTAAAAGAGTTCCGACCAGTTTTAACCACCACTGAATACTACTACGTGTATAGAAAGGGCTATTGCGCATGTTCAGAGCTAAGTGAAACGCCTGGACGCTCAAATGGTTCGAGTAGCGGAGCATGCGCACTCGTTTTGCTACTGTGTCAACATCTGCAAAAGAGAAATTTAAGGAAAGTATGACTTAAACAGCGAAATGTAGACTTCGAACTCCTTACACAGGAGGTTTATACGTGATACGTGACTCAGCCAAAACTAATAACAGACGCATGAATATTACAGAAAGGCAAAGAAAAGTTGAGATTTGAAGGTTTGCCTGGAGCTCGTCTGCAAGACATACATTTTAAAATCGTGCTGAAAAGGGCACTTAAATTTTTAATGGCTATTTGTGACTCAGTTAATGTTACCAAACAACGATGAAACTTCCGTTCCACCTGCTAATCTCTGAGAGGACGGGTACATGAATTAGTTTCACTCAAAATCATTTGCCTCTTAAGCTAACTACTGTATGAACAAAAATTCGGTCTTTCCTCGGATAGGAAATCTATATCTTTTTTTCAAAAAACATTGATGTAAATATCGATCAGTACTAATATTTAATGATTTCACAGAATGATTTTATTACAGTTCAAATTACTCAATTTAAACGTCTCAATTCAAACGTCGCATGTTTCATTGTAACCACCTCGTGTCATTGCAATACGAACAATATTGCTTTATTCTGTACAGCATATGCTGAAATATTTTTGGCAAAAAGCTGACAAAAAGAGCCAAAAAAAATACCAGAACGAAACAGAACAAGACAAAATGGTAGAAACTTATAAAGAAAACAAAAAAGGAAACAAAATATGTTATAGTTAAAAGGAAATATGCCGCGGTGTCACATTCTGTCAGAGGCATTATATTGCTTTGTAATTGTATCCCGGCTGAGACATATTGATGTTGCAAAACTTTAGTCACCTTGTGGACTGTTATACATTGAATAATTTATTAAACAGGAAGCACTAGATGTTTACTGTTTCGTTGCAAAAGCAAAATCCAGTGGCCTAAACTTTCTTTGTGTCATAAATTAAACATCTTCAGGCTTTTTTACAAAGGCTGTAAAGTCACTCTTCCCGAATCACTTTCTTAAACATCCTTAAATGTCACCTTATACAAACCGATTTTGTTTTTACTTAGAATTTATAATGTATATATCATTTTCTATTTTCAAATTCAAGTTATATTTACATAACGTGTAATTTTCCTTTTTTCTTCACACGACCCCACAAGCTTATAGCTTAAAATATTATCGTGTATAAATAAAAGTCATCTATCTATCTATCTTTTCGATACTGTTTTACGTACTTTAGATATTTAAACTACTTTGAAAAAAGTTCTTGCGGAACGGGTCAATTGTTGTGTGCATGATATAGTAGAATTTCGCGTCCTGCTGTCAGATGACATAAAAGATAATTTGAAGATCTGGTGTTGCTCTCGAGCTTGATGAGGAACGACAGACATGTTATATTGAAATTTTAATAAGCTTGACTAATAAAGAGTTTTAAGCCTGGAAATTAGAGGGGTTAAATAATCAAACGGATCTTTATTTTTGGACATAAACAAATGCAGGCTTCTCAGAGGAAGAAGATGTCAAGGGAACTTAATAAAAGAAAGATCGTTGATATTTTTCATTGCAGGTTTTCAATCGATGGATTGTATAAAAGACCCGTTTATCTAAACAAATAGCAATTAGAATATTCTACATATTGTTTTACATTCAATTTTCCAAAACGTTGCATAATTCAACTCGAATAGTACCGATCACTTTTCAGTCGCAAGGTGAGGTCAGTTTGGTGCTGCTACTGAGAATGGAGTTTGGAGTCTTAAAACTTTTCAGGAGTTATTTTAGTGTACTCATGATCATCGTCTCCTTAGCAAATGCATGTAAAGGTACGTTGAATGCATCAGAATCAAATTTATGGTAAATTTTACGCTCTGGGAAAGAAACAAATGTTTTTCGTCTTGTCACCAGCGAGGGAAATGGAAAAACTGCTCAGGTTCCGCAAGGAATGAACCCTAGACCTTCGAATTCCATCTTTCTCATTTTATCATTTGACGCTTACGACACATCCAATAGTGTGCAAGAAGCTTTAAACATATGAACCTAAGGTACCAATGGCCTAACTCTTCACAGAGTTTCTATTGCAAAGTTATAGAGCATCTCAGCGAGAAGTACGAACGTCTGGGGTTCGATGAGTCACGGAAACTCTTAGGGCTTGTTTAACAAAAGCACGTTCTGAACTATCTCCAATTTAGCTGAACCTTTTACCCGAAAATTGATATTTGTGAACATTGTTAAGTGGGCCAAAAGCTAATGGTGAGAATGACATTTATTAAATAATTTAATTAAATCTTGATCAAACCTCCCGCAGAGAATACCTGTGGCCCATTGCTTGCATAAAGCCGCGGTTTGGGTTAGACCTCTAGTAAACAACCGGCCCTCACTATCTTTGGTTTCATGCTCGTAACAAGACGGATGTAACAGAATCTTTGGTACTTGCTGTTGGCGATTATATTTGTTTCTGAGTAGTCACTTAATATTTTAACACCGTTATTCCCCTCTCCATCCCAAGGAGAAAATTTCATCGATACACGCAGTAAAACTCTGAGCCGTGGCACTGATAGAGGAATGGCTTATGCCAAGTTTAAGACTCACAAGTTTTCTTATCTCAACATCACAAGCATTGGTTCAGACTATGTTCTGAAAGGTAGCGAGTGTGGGCTCGCCTGTGTCAACATTCCGTCATGTTTCTCTTTCAACTTGGGCGCGTTTCGCGATGTAATTGGTAAAGTGATCTGTGAATTGCTTCCGTCGGATATTTACAACAACTCAGAGAAGTTTGTCCTCAGTCAGAGTCATCATCATTATAGTATCACGGTAAGTGGAAACTCGTTATTCTCACATAATTTATCAAAGAATTGAATTTTTTTTTTGGGGGGGGGGGGCGGGTGCAATTCATTGTTGGATTTGGCATCGTAGACAACATTAGGGACTGGTCAATATCATCGCTGAAAGAGGGGGATAAGAGGGAGGGGGGAGGGGGGGCTGGAAGAGTGCAATTGCAATTTTCCTGCATCATGAGAGCATGCACTTCAAACCATTCAGACAAATTAACATCGCCTCCTAAGAAAGGCATAATTCTGTACCAAAAAATCATTTCTGTGTCTTAACCTTTTAAAGGCTAAATTTATTTTGGAATTTAATAAAATCATATAATTACCATAGAGTGAACGTAAATAGCCATGTCATGTTCAGCCCTTAAAAGTGATGAAACTCCATTCAAGCGCCCAGACATATTGCCCGCACCATCATAACACTGGCCACGACAGTCATCCATAGATAGTCCTAACTCAACTACAGCACCAATTATTAAATCTTTGATAGCTGCTCCTGTTGTTACATCCTTACAAAAGTAGAATCCCACAAACTCTTCCCTAACTGTTTTGGTCGAGTCGAGAAATCTGATCACCACTGAAGGATTTTCTTTATTTGATATGTCAGCTGTTTCATCAGACATAAAAGAAAAATGTTTGCTATTCCTAATTTCCTGTGACAAATTATTCAGTATGCCACCCACGGTTGTAATCATCTCGTTTTGAATGGATCTAGAAATATATGTCGCATTTCAGAATGCAGTTTCCAGATGATGTTGCAGTTTTTGGTCGCCGCTGTCAATTCGAAATTTTAACAATCCTGTCTTCCTCCGTAGCAAGTTAATGAACTCTAGTAGGAACAAGAACAAACGAAGGGACTCTAGGGGAGAGGCTTTGCGATTATTAGTGGTTCTCACGGTAGTTTGCAGCCTGGATAGCCAATCACAACCGAGTTTGAGTTGCTCGCCATACGGATGTGAGTGTTTCCGGCCAATCAAAGAGGGTTTTGAGTGGTTTGTGAAAAGATCCATACCGAGTCCCACTCACTGCGTGCAAATTTTCTCCAGTTGTGCCTACGAGTTTCTCTCCTATTTCTATAAGGTTTCATAAAAGTCTTAGCGAAGGTTCTGACACTTTGAGCGAATTTCATATGAATAATATTTTCCATAGTGCACTTTGACTACCATATAAATCGGAGGTACTAAAAAGTGCATAAAAATCTTGTTTTATCAATTGCAATTCATTAATTTTCAACTGAAAACTTTGGCCAAACCATTATCCTCCTGAAACACTTGCGATAGAATGTCTGTTTGTGTCTTCATGTTATTTCACAGTCTCCGTGTATCAGTTGGCCATGTCGGAACAATGGGACATGCGCGGCACAGTACGAAGACAACAGCTACGTCTGCATTTGCGAAAAAGGCTTCAAAGGAAATGATTGCGAATTTGGTAAGACACTGTTGAGTTTATTAACCAAGAGCCCTTCACTAGCCTGCCTGGAATTAACCCTATAACTCCCATCAGTGACCAAGAGAGAATTTCTCCTTACAATGTGAATGCAATACCAAGCAGACAAGTGATGAGAATATAGAAAAATAGCGATCAGAGAATTTTAGTTGATCCAATACCGAATTCTCCAAACTAACATCATAAGAATTGTGTGGCAGAGAGTAAGGAGAATTACTGATGAGATCTTGGCAGTGAAAGGGTTAAGAGTGCACTACAAAGTTAAAAAAAGTGACTATTTCATGATGAGTTTCCCAAAATAATTTCCAGAATGGACTTATTGTTTTTCATTTCTAGATATTGATGAATGCACGGAGAGACTACACACTTGTGACATCCATGCCTATTGTAACAATACTGCTGGATCCTATACATGTACTTGTAAGCCAACATACCATGGTGACGGAGAAATTTGCATACTGGGTAATTACTATTGACAAGCTTTGAAAATGAAAGGCATGTTGTCGCTTTGTCCGATCAACGATAGTCTTCGTATTGACAGCTACCTGTTTAGAAACAAATTCACTACATTTTTGATTGTGAAAATTTTCTAAAAGAGTCATAAATAAATAAGGGGATTGTAAGCTGATTCAATATCAAATTCTTGGAACTAACATTATAAGAAATATATGGCAGAGAGTAAAGAGAATTACCAATGTGATCTTTGGAAAGAAATGGTTAGAAGAAAAACATCGCCAGCATTAGAGTCAAACATGTGCTAAATTGTCAATTATGTTACGAAATTTTATTCACTGAGACTTTGATGATGGATCATGGGGCTGTGTCTTCTATTTCCCCCTCCCTTATCTGATGTCAGTAATTCTATAAAAAGTACCACGTGTACAAGCCACACTAGAAGCAAATGTTATCAGATTATGGTGCCTCAGTCATGGAATACTGTGATAGACAAACAAAGTAAATCAGTGAAGATAAAAGTTAAGCGATCGTCACACGATTCTTCTTGCAGGGGCTAAAAACTGCGCAGAGCTTTATAAAGATGGAAAGAGAAGCAATGGCGTTTATTTAATCGACCCTGATGGCTCAGGTGACTTTCATGTTTATTGTGACCAAACAACCTCTGGCGGGGGTTGGACTGTGTTCCAGAAGAGGTTGGACGGCTCTGTTGACTTTTATCGCACCTGGGACAGTTACAAATATGGCTTTGGTAATACAAATAGCGAGTTTTGGCTCGGACAGGAGTCAATACGCCGCCTGACTAACAGCGAGGGATACAAGCTTCGTATTGATTTGGAGGATTTTTCTGGGAATACTGTTTATGCCGAGTACACTTGGTTTAAAGTTGAGAGTGAGGGATCTAATTACACTTTAAGAATCGGAAGCTACTCAGGTAAACTTGCTCCCGGAAACCGGGAAGATTTTGGTTGTGTCACGATGAACCCTCATTGAGTTAATAAGTAGTCAGTCAGTTCCCCTCTTAATAAAACTCTGTTTTGGCGACGACTGGAAGCCATATGTTTCTTTCAATTATGTTCTACCCCCACCCGCTGTGACACATGATCATTGCTGCCTTAGTTCTCCTTATCTCATTTCTAAAATCGTCACATTGAAATAGTTAAAGGATTGTTTAAATGCAAGCTCGTTCCCAAGGTCCTCTCTCATACAGAGAGAGAGAGAGAGAATGGTAATAAGATAAATAGATAAATATAGATAAAAGCAATCGGTAATACTTTTTGACGCCTGAATGATTCTCTTTAATAATTATAATGGCAATAAACAGCTACAAATTGATAAACTTGTGGCTCTCTAAATTAGAAACTAAACATGATGAATGAAAAAAAAAATGTTTCAAACCCCAGTTGACAGGAAGGCAGACCAGAATTGAATTTGAGGCAATGAGAAGAAACCCAGTGAGTAGCAGAGTGACGAGTTTGACCCGGGAACATCAGATTACAAATCCAGTATCCTAACCACTTGGCCACAATGCCTCCTCTTGACTTGTTATTGATTGAATGACTATTTCATAAACCCCTTTAACAAGTGCTAACAGCGTAATCACGATCTTTCGATGATAATAATTTTGATTTGATCATACATTTCAGGAACTGCAGGAGATTCGTTTTCGCAACACAATGGTCAATCATTTACAACAAAAGACCGAGACAATGACTTATGGAGAAGACTGAACTGTGGTGAGGTTTTTAAAGGAGGCTGGTGGTACAAAAATTGTTGGTGGAGCAATCTAAATGGTTATTATCACCGAGGAACCTACCCAGCAGAAAACGGCTGGTACAATGGCGTTGGCTGGTATAAGTGGAAAGGATATGATTACTCACTTAAGAGAACTGAAATGAAGATACGACCAGTAGGCTTTTAGTTGTCCGTTGCGCCTCCAAGTTTTTCGAGCTATTTTTTGTCGTGATTATGGTTTGGAGAAAATATTCGATAATACGCAGTGATTTTGGTTGTCGGGGACAACGAAATTTATCTTATTCTCCCCTTCCCCCTCCCCCCTCCCAAGGCTCTGTAGTATTTCTTATAATCCTCCCTCGATCATTGGAAATCAATGTTCTGTAGTTCCCCCCTTTATAATCTGTCAACTAAGACTGACCCCTCCCCTCTTCCGTTCCTTAAAAACCATGTAATCCTCCCAAAGTTCGTCCTTTTTAAGAAAATTGACTTATAATAAGGTATCCTATATCCTTACTGGTCAGTTAGACCAGAGAAGCCTGGTTACTTGTCACCAAAAAACCTTTTGTTGTCCATAAGAATGTAAATGATAGAGTAAGATTTGCTCAACATTATAGAGTAATTTTTTGTTTTACTGCATTTGCTACAAGACAAAACACATACCAGGCAAAGATTTTCACCCTTCCAAACTGACACATCGTAGATAGGAAAATTTCTTGCGGTTAACTTTTTCCTACGACCAACGATAAAAACTTGTCAATTTTTACCCCTAACAGCTGATTTGTTTTGCCGTTTTACAGCCAGTAATCCCATTATACTGATACCCTCATATTAGCATTGCTACTGCTTGGTATATAATAACAAGGGCGTAGCCAGGGGGGGTGCCCGTGACCCTCCCCTCCTTTGTGAGCCTTTTTTCTAAGCTAACAACCATTACTATTCAGGTGGCGAAAAGCTAGCGAGAACCCTCTGTTGACACAGTGGCTATACCCCTGTATGATAGTAACTGCTAAACTGCAAATCTATAAAAGTCACCTTTATTGAAAACATTTACAGTTTAGATTAAGTATTACATTAACGTCCAGGATCATGAAATGGACTGATAAACGTTTTCAGTTTCCTATCGCTTTTTGACGCAGTGTGCCTATTTATCAAGCTTTACTTGGCCCTGTTTGTGTTGATATAGGTACGTCCACTGGTGTCAGTCTCATCATTTTTTGTGCACAAATATGTTACGTATTAGCATTGTAGCCGTTTTGATAAATCTAAATAGTAGCTGATGCTGACATAAATTTGTGAAAGTTATGTCCATCCGGCGAGATGTAAATGAACTGTAAATAACAGGCACTAAAGCGAATAAAGTTTGATGGATGTTAATGAATGACCTTCTCGTTCTCTTTGGCGCTTGCCTTTTAGTACAATCTAACTGACAACCCATCATATTGCATTTCCTCTCTCGCAAAACCAAGTTTTTCCATAGGGCACAACAATTTATCGTCATCATCACTATCAATTCTTTCAAGAATGACTTCAATAGCACCTCGTTCTTGTGAGGCAGAACCTTCAGTGGTTAATTCCGGGTGTCCAGTCTGCAAGTACCTATTTTCCAAGTGTCCAGTCTTTGCTGAGGACAAGACATGGCAAGAGAGGTCAGACTAATTTTCATTTCGTCAGCTGATTCTGGCAATTCGGCAGGCACTTTAAGTAAAGCTATTTAATTTGATTTTTACTCGCTTCTCGTTGCTTTGATAATTTGCTTCCTTATTGAGAAGTTTGCATAGCAGTTTCGCTTAGTTGAGCGTGCGTAGACTATAGCTATTGTACACCAAAGAATGAAGAAAAGAGAGAGACAATGAACAGACTTCTAAATTTACAATTTGCACCTCCTTTGTCAACCTTTTAATGCAAATTTTCCTTTTCTTTCATAAATTAGCTATTCTCCTTTTCGCGGAAATTGCAATTTCTATGATTAGTTGGTAATAAGATTTCGTGTCGTTCAATTCCGTCTGTAATCAAACTCGTGATAAACAAATCCGACTCCCACTGCGCGGTAATCCGATTTTGTTATCACTCGCATGATTACAGCCCGAATTGGACTCCACTCAGTCGTATTACCATTACTTAATGCTCTGTGGCGTTGAACTGTTTCATCCCAGTCTCGTAAAATATGAGGGAAATGAGCCATTGATATCTAACACGAGCCTTGTTATTCTTTCATTTTTTTACCAAAACTCACTCAAATGTGGCAGAGGTTAATCAAATATACCAGGATCCTCACCATTTTCGTTTGTTTACCGGTAAAATGAAAATATATAATTTTGCTGAAACTGTAATATATACCACGATATAGAAGGTCTTCTTAGATAAAAACACATATAATTGTCACTCCTCCGTTAAAAATATCTTCAGTCTAGAACATCCTGTTTGGTGGAATCCCAGCACGAAACAAATTTTGCTTAGAATACTAAGCGCAAGTTGATCAGAAGCTAGCTTAAAATCAGAACTATTTCTGAAAAGATTACAAATTAATGCATTCAACAATTTCAGCTGCGGTAACTTCCATACACATGAACCCTCACGTACTACGCTGTGACAAAAGACCGATGAAAGACAGCATCACTTGAAAAGGTCACCTCAAACTACTAAGGTTTCTTTATTAGAAGGACGGAAGCACGAAAACTGAGAGGAAAATCTACCCTTGTTAGATGGTAAGTATATTGAAGAAATGCTAAAAACCGCACGCCGGCGTTAGAACTAATTACCGAGGTCCTTATTACACTGAATGATGCACGAAGCCAGATTATAGTAAACTCGTGCAGAATTTGGACTGCCTTCAACTTTGGATGCAGCTAACCGTAATGCTTCTTCATTTCGCAGTTTCTTGAGGGCTGAAACGGCAAACAAAACCTTACCCAGTAATTTAATGATCATCAGTACTGCTGTGTTTGACGAGTTCGTTTTGTGCCTTTTCTACCTACAGCAAGGAACGAAGGGAAAACATGATGGATATCAACGCACAACAAACGAAAATTCCATCAAGAGAAAAACTTGGTGACCGTCTTCAAAAGGCCTCATCGCTGTTGTCTGTTGCAGCCATTCTGATGACGGTTACTCTCTTTGCAAGAACGGAGACAAACACAAAAATGCTGGATTCAAAATTTACGCTGAAAATTCAAGAAATGGGAGATGCTCTCGAATCTGTGAGGGCTGCTTGCCAAGCTCTTCGTAAAGACTCAGAAATTTCCGGCGGTAGGTCATTAAGTAGAAAATTTTCTTAACAACTGCGCGTCCCTTGAACTCGACAATAAGCGCCACTTAAACGGGTTGGTTGGCGTGGTTGTACTGGATTCATACGTAAGCAAGCCTAGCGCATTAGGTTGCGACTGCTTTAAGTCAAAGCAAATAGTAGATAACCAAGTCCATTCGTTTGATAGACTTAAGAAAATCCATCTAATAAAGAGTTTGTGAGTATGACATTCATTAGCCTATGAACAACTTTAATGCATTCGGGCATTTCCCTTGAATGCGATATATTGAGAGAAGTTTTGACAACACAGATTTGACCTTGAATCAGAAACTTGACCTCTTTAAGGAAACATGTCACGACCGCCTATTGTACTTATCTTTCAATAGATACATACAACGGATCAGTGGCTTCTCTTCGACTCGTCGTCTGCCGAAAAGGATCTAAACAAAAAAATTTCTGAACCAAATACGTGGCAAAGATCATGAAACGGGAAGCACTATGAGCAGCTTAAATCTGATATAATCAATGTTGAAAAAAAAAAAACGAAAACAAAAACGATTAACCCTTGCAGTTTTCTTTAGGTATGAAACACGACGTCAAAATTGTTCGTCGCAGCTTAAATATCAACCGGAGCGACTCAGTTAATCAAGCAGAAGCCGACACTGGTTTCAGGAAGTACATGACCTCCATTGTAACTGAGTCCATAGGGACCTACTGCCTCTCCCCTGGTAAAGTCTGTGTGGCAGGGCCTCGGGGGCCAAAGGGAATTCCTGGAAATCGCGGTAAACGAGGTCCAAGGGGATCTATGGGAAAAAAGGGAGGGAAAGGCATAACAGGATCACCAGGCAAATCTGGAAAGCAAGGAATTAAAGGAGACGTTGGAAATCCTGGAATGAAGGGAGAAAAGGGTATGAATCAAGAGCTATTGACACTTTATTTCTGTCTTTCCTTATTCATAATGGTCATTGTCATTAGGAACAAAACGAGAGGAAATTTTGCTGGAATCGAAAAGCACAATTGCAAGATTGAAACCAAGAGATCATAAGCATCTCTTGATTGAGACAAATTGTTATCTATTACGATGAATGTATCTTTAACTTGTGGAAAATTTCACCAGGTACTATGTGGCGGTTAATTTTTTTCTCTTGGGATGGAGTTTGGTCATAATCTGTCTAGTATAGTTAACAAATTGAGCTTTGAACTATAAGTTTCTGATATGATGCCAAACATAGCAAAGTCTTAAAAGAAAATCAAAAAGAATCTGGAGGTTCATTGTCGAGCACAAATCTATCATAAAGTGTAAAATGGATGCGAACTGCACCACGGGTGAGCAGGCTTCCTCCATGTTTCCAGAGCCGATCTTTACTACGCCAAATAATTTTGCTCCGACAGTTGTAAGACATTCCTTACACCAAAGTTAAGGCGTTTGTTACAGGCCTGTCTATATTCTTTAAGGCGATAAAGGAGTTCCTGGTCATCCGGGACCTAAAGGTGAACCTGGTCAGTCCATATCTGCTCCAAACGTTCATGTATCTCCTGCATCACTTACAATCACCGAGAACCAGACCGCCACGTTTAACTGTCTAACTGATGGCAATCCAAAACCCAGAGTAACTTGGAGAAAAATGAGTGGTGCAGGACAAGTCAATATGAACGGTCACGATAATAAGTTGCAGATCAAGAATGCTGCTCATAATGACTCAGGAAGCTATGTTTGCATGGCCACGAGTGTCTTTGGAAGGGCTCAGAAGTCAGTAAAACTTACCGTTGAAGGTGATGCTAATAATAGAAATACTGGTGTCGTGCGTCGTTAATAAGGAAGCAGTCATACAGTCTATTGGTGACGACCAATTCCTTCTCCTTTCTCCCTGAAAACTGCGGCCTCCCCCTCAAAATTTTTCAGCCTCCCCTTTGACTAGTTCGTTACAAGCAGTTTATATTATCAATTCATAATGTCAGTTTCCTTTTTAAATCTAGCTCCTCCACGATTCATCCATACTCCTGAGAGGCTAACCATAGTCCCTGCGAACTCAGTCGCTTCTATTCGTTGCGGAGCTTTTGGTTTTCCACCACCAACGATAGTTTGGTCGAGAGAATTTGTCCCATTACCGCAAGGCCGGACCACCATTACAAAGAATGGTACCCTTATTATCGCCAACTTTGGTCCTCTAGACAGTGGTACGTATCAGTGTAAAGCCGGAAACAAGCTTGGATCTGTTAGTGTGCTAACAACCTTGGATTATGATAAACAAGGTCAGGAAAAATAAGTTTTAATTTTAGTTTAAAAACTTTCACTATTTCAAGTATGGTCTATATTCAACAGGAATTGAATGAAGTTATTTAAATTCTATTTGTTCCAAGTGCCTACTATATGACTTACAGTATGCAGGTGAGTCAGTACGAATTCGAGAACCAAGAGGAAGGTCGGTGAAGGTCCGAATCCACAGGACCTCACACTCACTAAGGTTTTATACCCTCTCAGTGATGTAAGGAACATTTCAAACTTGTTACCCATACAGTAAACTTTAACACATCTGTTCAAATTTAAAAGATCCTTGTTGAACACGCCTTTGTTTACACTTCTGTTACCACCTCTGCTTTTGTTTACATACAGGCAACTATGGGTAGCATAGCGATCCCCTGAAGTTTTTCTGATAATAAGTATTTCAAGGTATATTTCACCGCCTATGACTGACTAAGTTAAAAAAAAATGACACTGAAAAGCGTTCTTCACTCGTATACTTCAAAATTGTGCTGCTAAAAATTCATAAGACTAAAGAAAAACCACGAGGAATTTTTTTTTCTTAATTTCCAATATAATTTGTATGCAATAGTAGTTGATTGCTGGCCAGGGAAAATTTTCACTCCTATAAAAATTATTTATATCTGCAAAGTTTACAGACTTTCTTTTGATAATGAAGATGAGGATAAAAAAATGCTTATTGAAGAAATGCTTTTAAGGGATCAGCTGGTGCTGACTCCAAAAATATTTAAATTTTGGTATTGGTTTTGGTACTGAGCGAACGCTTCAGAGAGCGCTCCGTATAAAAATTGAAGTTCTGAGTTAAAAAAAAAAATTGCTATTACACTATTGCGCCCATTATGCAAACATCGCAGACAAGGATAAAAATAAAGTTTAAACACTTCGAAAGGAAAATGACCCCTTGAAAAAAATATATCAAAGATATCAAAAGCAGAGTTTGAATCCATCAAGAACAAGATGGCGGAACTGAATGAATGCCAAACCATGTAGCGTCTGTGGTCTTGCCGGTCGTGAGAGATGTGCAATTTCTTAGTGATAGTTATGATACTTTAGTCCAATCCAAAACTATCATTGGGGGACGCTTTGCTAGTTTTCCTCGAAGGTTGGATTTGTTAGCATCAAATGTTGGCAAGATAAGCAAGGCTGTCGACGAAATGCCGCATTACAACTTATCAATACAACTTCTAGATTGTTGGGGTACCCCAAGTCAAAGAGGAGGAACCTGCGCAAGATACCGCAAAATTCTGTTGAAAGCTATTTTCTGGCCTCGGAGTCGATGTCTTGGCCACGGACATCGACATTGCTCACAGGGTTCCACTGCGTAATGCCACTTTTAACAAAAGACATCCAAACCCATTCATTTGCAAATTTACAGGAAGGATGGATCGGGATGAAGTGTTAGCTTCAAGAGGCTGCCCAACTCACTACTGAGCTCCCGGGGCTTTCTTCTTCAACTGTTATCGAACGAGTCACGATTTATAGTCACCTAACGCCCAGCTAACAGCATTTGTTACAGGCCGCGAAAGACCACCAGAGCGCACATAACTACGAGTGGTAATGGGCGAAGGGAGATAATCATGGGTGATTTAAATATTGACCTTCTTGAGTGCGCATCATCCTCTCATAGTCACGACTTTTTGTTGTCCCTAAAAAGCTGTTATCTCATTCCGACAATTGACAAACCAACTCGTCTTCGTTCTTCCTCTGCCACCCTTATTAAAAACATCTTAATTAACAAACCTGATCAAATCGTAGCTTGTGAATACATTATTTCTGACACAGAAGGAAAAAAACATTAAATAATATTCTTACAGTACAGAAACACAAGGTTCAGAGTTGGAAAATGATTTGCTACCTTATATGAATAACTCTAAATGCAGCCATAGGATTTCAACAATTTTGGGTGTCTTCTAGCACTGTCCCATCTGGTGCCTTCATATCCTGTGTTCCCACTTTTTCTCTGGTCCTCTGATCCCACTGGTCCTCTGATCCCACTGATCCTCTGGTCCTCTGTACCCACTGGTCCTCTTTGTCCACTGGTCATCTGGTCCTCTGTTCCCACTGTTCCTCTGGTCCTCTGTACCCACTGGTCCTTTGGTCCTCTGTACCCACTGGTCCTCTGTACCCACTGGTCCTCTGTTCTCACTGTTCCTCTGGTTCTCTGTGCCCACTGTTCCACTGGTCCTCTGTTCCCACTATTCCTCTGTTCCCACTGTTCCTCTGGTCCTCTGTACTCACTGGTCCGCTGTGCCCACTGTTCACTGATCCTCTGTACCCACTCACTTTACTCTTCGATAAAGATTCTTCCTCTATTCCCACTGTTCCTCTGGTCCTCTGTACTCACCGGTCCGCTGTGCCCACTGTTCACTGATCCCCTGTACCCACTCACTTTACCCTTCGATAAAGACTATTGCTCTGTTCCCACTGTTCCTCTGGTCCTCTGTACTCACTGGTCCGCTGTGCCCACTGTTCACTGATCCTCTGTACCCACTCACTTTACCCTTCTGCTATATCTATCAGTTAATTATTAGTTATTTCAGAACCCGGTATATGAGAGACTACCCAATAACTCAGTTATTGAAATACGCGTTCACTGTTATTAGCAGTATCTCGTTGAAATTATAAATCTGTCTATCTCAACTTGAGTATATCCAAATAAATAAAGGGGGTAAGTTTCTATAGAAACTGTGGTGCTGCGTCGGTGGGAGTGTATAACAGGTAATTTAGTGTTAAAAACTGAATTGAAAACGTTTATTGGCCACCGTAAAGAGTTTAAAGAATTCCTAGTTATCTCACAATTTGCATATATCCACAAAAGCCATGTAGCAATCAAAATTAGTCAAACCAGGCTATTATCCTGATCTCTAAATTACGATATTTTGTGCCGAAAACATTTTTGTTCTTTCTCTTATTACGCCATATCTAACTTACGATCTGATTCCTTAGGGCCGAGCATGTAACTTGTACCTTGACAAGCTTCTTAAGCTCCAAACACGTGCTCTCCGTTTTATTTTTTTTCTGATGGTAACCAGCATGCTATTCCTCTACTTACTGATGCCGGAATTTTACTGTTACAGTTCTCCTACTATGAACTTGCAGCTAATTTGATGTTTGACATCAGACATAAAAATGCACCTTGCAGCATTCAAGAACTCCTCCAAGATATTTCTGAGATCCTTTCTTATAATACCTGATCTTCTGTGCTTCTAACAACTTCATAGACAAAGCTCTAGACTATCAGTTCGACTACATTCTTTCTCCAGAACTGAAACAAAAGTTTGCGATGAGATGCCCTTATGATTGAGAAATCTTTCAAAAAACGATTTCAGAAAGACAATAAAAAGATAACTCTTCGACATTCTCACTTTAGAAGACTCTAAAATCGACCCTCAACAAATCATTCAAAAGCTCAATTTTTTCTGAAATGTTATAACTAATTCTAGCGTGTTTTTTTAGCTGCCAACATGTTATATCCTTAGTTAGTCCTATATGTTATTGTAAATTTACCTATTCTGTCACAATAAATCTGTCCTATTAACAAAATGATTAGATTATAAGTAATTTTTGAACGCTTATGCAATATTTTTTACGTCTAACATGCGACCCACCTAAAATAGCAGGCAAGCTAACTGTGGGCGTATGAAAAATAGTAAAAACAAATCCAAATATATTTAATTTTTTTTTTTGGTATTTATTTACCAAATTCTCCAAACCAACATCATAAGAATTGTGTGGCAGAGAGTAAGGAGAATTACTAATGAGATCTTAGGAGTGAAAGGGTTAAGATTGCACTACAAAGGTAAAAAAGTGACTATTTCATGATAAGTTTCCCAAAATTTTTTTCAGAATGGAGTTACTGTTTTTCATTTCTAGATATTGATGAATGCGCTAAGGGACTACACACTTGTGACATCCATGCCTATTGTAACAATATGAATGTATGTAACATACACCATGGTATGTTGTAAGCCAACATACCATGGTGACGGAGAAATTTGCATACTGGGTAACTACCATTGACAAGCTTTGAAAATGAAAGGCATGTTGTCGCTTTGTCCGATCAACGATAGTCTTCGTATTGACAGCTACCTGTTTAGAAACAAATTCACTACATTTTTGATACTGAAATTTTTTTAAAAGAGTCATAAATAAATAAGGGGATTGTTAGCTGATTCAATATCAAATTCTTGGAACTAACATTATAAGAAATGTATGGCAGAGAGGAAAGAGAATTACCAATGTGATCTTTGGAAAGAAATGGTTAGAAGAAAAACATCGCCAGCATTAGAGTCAAACATGGGTTAAATTGTCAATTATGTTACGAAATTTCATTCACTGAGACTTTGATGATGGATCATGGGGTTGTGTCTTCAATTTCCCCCTCCCTTATCTGATGTCAGTAATTCTATAAAAAGTACCACGTGTACAAGCCACACTAGAAGCAAATGTTATCAGATTATGGTCCCTCAGTCATGGAATACTGTGATAGACACAGAGTGTAAATTGGTGAAGATAAAAGTCGAGAGATCATCATATGATTCTTCTTGCAGGGGCTAAAAACTGCGCAGAGCTTTATAACGCTGGAGTAAGAAGCAATGGCGTTTATTTAATCGACCCTGATGGCTCAGGTGACTTTCATGTTTATTGTGACCAAACAACCTCTGGCGGGGGTTGGACTGTGTTCCAGAAGAGGTTGGACGGCTCTCTTGACTTTTATCGCACCTGGTACAGTTACAAATATGGCTTTGGTAACACAACTAGCGAGTTTTGGCTCGGATTGGAGTCAATACACCGCCTGACTAACAGCGAGGGATACAAGCTTCGTATTGATTTGGAGGATTTTTCTGGGAATACTGTTTATGCTGAGTACACTTGGTTTAAAGTTGAGAGCGAGGGATCTAATTACACTTTAAGATTCGGAAGCTACTCAGGTAAACTTGCTCCCGGAAACCGGGAGGATTTTGGTTGTGTCACGATGAACCCTCATTGGCACTTAATAAGCAGTCAGCCAGTCCCCCTTTTAATAAAACTCTGTTTTGGCGACGACTGGAAGCCATATGTTTCTTTCAATTATGCTCTAACCCCACTTGCTGTGATACATGATCATTGCTGCCTCAGTTCTCCTTGTCTCATTTCTAAAATCGTCACATCGAAATAGTTAAAGAATTGTATAAATGCAAACTCGTGTTCTCTCTTTTCCTTGAGGGGAGGGGGTGGGGAGGGAGGGAGAGAGAGAGATAATGATAATAAGATAAATAGATAAATATAGATAAAAGCAATAAGTGATACTTTTTGAAACCTGAAGGGTTCTCTTTAATTATTATAATGACAATAAACAGCTACAAATTGATAAACTTGTGGCCCTCTAAATTAGAAACTAAACATGATGAATAAAAAAAACAGTGTTTCAAACCCCAGTTGACAGGAAGACAGACCAGAATTGAACTTGAGGCAATGAGAAGAAACCCAGTGAGTAGCAGAGTGACGAGTTTGACCCGGGAACATCGGATTACAAATCCAGTATCCTAACTATTCGGCCCCAATGCCTCCTCTTGACTTGCTATCGATTGAATGACTATTTCATAAACCCTTTAACAAGTGCTAACAGCGTAATCACGATCTTTCGATGATAATAATTTTGATTTGATCATACATTTCAGGGAATGCCGGAGACTCGTTTTCGTTTCACAAGGGTCGATCCTTTACAACAAGAGACCGAGACAATGACTTAAGGAGAGGACTGAACTGTGGTGAGCTTTGTAAAGGGGGCTGGTGGTACAACGACTGTTGGCATAGCAATCTAAATGGTTATTATCACCGGGGAACCTACCCAAGAGAAAACGGCTGGTACAATGGCGTTGGCTGGTATAAGTGGAAGGGACATAATTACTCACTTAAGAGAACTGAAATGAAGATACGACCAGTAGGCTTTTAGTTGTCCGTTGTGGCCTCCAAGTTTTTCGAGCTATTTTTGTCGTGATTATGGTTTGGAAAAAATATTCGATAATACGCAGTGATTTTGGTTTTCGGGAACAATGAAATTTATCTGATTCTCCCCTTCCCCCCCTCCCAAGGCTCTTTAGTATTTCTTATAATCCCCTTCATTGGAAGTCAATGTTCTGTAGTTCCCCCCCTTTATAATCTGTCAGTTAAGATTGACCCCTTCCCCTTCCGTTCCTTGAAAAATCTCCCCAAAGTTCATCCTTTTCAAGAAAATTGACTTATAACAGGGCCTCCTTATTGGTCAGTTAGACCAGAGAGGCCTGGTTACTTGTCACCAAAAAACCTTTTGTTGTCCATAAGAATGTAAATGATGTAGTAAGATCTGCCCAACATTGTAGAGTAATTTTCTGATTTACTGCATTTGCTCTAAGACAAGACACATACCAGGCAAAGATTTTAACCCTTCCAAACTGACACATTGTAGATAGGGAAATTTCTTACAGTTAACTTTTTCTTACGATCAACTATAAAAACTTGTCAATTTTTACCCCTAACAGCTGATTTGTTTTGCCGTTTTACAGCCAGTAACCCCATTATACTGATGCCCTCATATTAGCATTGCTACTGCTTGGTATATAATAACAAGGGCGTAGCCAGGGGGGTGCCCGTGACCCTTCCCTCCTTTGTGAGCCTTTTTTCTAAGCTAACAACCTTAACTATTCAAGTGGCGAAAAGCTGGCGAGAACCCTCTGTTGACACAGCGTGATTCCTGGCTATACCCCTGTATGATAGTAACTGCTAAACTGCAAATCTGTAAAAGTCACCTTTATTGAAAACGTGTACAGTTCAGATTAAGTATTACATTAACGTCCAGGGTCATGAAATAGACTGATAAACGTTTTCAGTTTCCTATCGCTTTTTGATGCAGTGTACCTATTTATCCAACTTTACTTGGCCCTGTCTGCGTTGATATAGGTACGTACATTGGTGTCAGTCTCATCATATTTTGTGTAAAATTATGTTACGTATTAGCATTGTAGCTGTTTTGGTAAATTAAAATAGTAGCTGATACCGACGTAAATTCTTGAAAGTTATGTCTATCCGGCGAGATATCAATGAACTGTAAATAACAGGCTCTAAAGCGAATAAAGTTTGAGGGATGTAAATGAATGACCTTGTCGTTCTCTTTGGCGCTTGCTTGCTTATTAGAACAATCTAACTGACAACCCTTCATATTGCGTTTCCTCTCTTGCAAACCCGATTTTTCCCATATGGCACAACCAATTTATCGTCATCATCACGATCAATTCTTTCAAGAATGACTTCGAAAGCACCTCCTTCTTGTGAAGCAGAACCTTCAGCAGTTAATTCCGAGTGTCCAGTCGCCTGGTGCCTAGTTTCCAAGTGTCCAATCTATGCTGAGGACAAGACATGGCGAGAGAGATCAGACTAATTTGAATTTTGTCAGCTGATTCTGGCAATTCGGCAGGCACTTTAAGCAAAGTCATTTAATTTGATTTTTACTTGCTTCTCGTTGCTTTGATAATTTGCGTCCTTCGTCAGAAGTTTTCATAGTAGTCTCGTCTCGCTTAGTTAAATATTGGGGGTGTAATAGGGGCGGGGCTGACACGAGCTCTCCCCAGCTCCCGTCGGACTTCTAATAATCTTTCCAGTCTACCGCCAAAAGAACAACAAGATGGCGTCTGAAATGTTAGTACTTCAGAACTTTATCGGAGGAAAATTCGTACCTTGCACAAATCACATTGACAGCTACGACCCATCAACGGGAAGGGTGCACTGTAAGGTTCCAGACAGCACTGAAAAAGAAGTCGATTTAGCCGTTAAGGCAGCAAATGAAGCGTTTGAAAGGTAATGTGTGTTCTGTAAACATAATTGATCGCCCAGAGTTGGGGTTGAGTGAGGCATGCTGGTTGTACTTGTGGCTATCAAGATTCTCTATCTCCGTTAAGGGAATGCATTGTTTTCCTAATTTAGTCTTTAAAAAAAACTGATCCTGAAATCACGAATTGACTCTATCATGATCGATGTTTAATGAAGTTGCGAAATCTCTATGTTGTACATATGAGGTGCTATCATTGGGAAATATATATAATGATTGTACACATGAGGTGCAATCATTGGGAAATATGTATAATAATGTATGGCGTGATTTCTTTCATTATGTATAAAGTACATACAGAGTAGTCAGTGGCTTAAAATCTCACAGTTTATAGACTACGATAATCACATTACGCCGTTGTCTAAGTAACTATAACTATAAAGCACGTAGAGGGTTTTGGGATCGGAAAATGAATGATTCGTAGTAGTGCTCTAAAGGTAGTGCAGACCAACTATAGCCTTTCTGATGTTTTCCTTATTTCCTAAGGCCATCTTATCTCAATGAATGCACAGCTGACTTTCAACGCGTTAGTTTAAATATTATAGAAAAAAGAAACTCCCCCTTCAACATGTATGCCTCATTGCCAACAAACGTGTCACTGTGCACTAAAAGAACATGAAGCATGCTCTTCAAATTGAATATGATAATAGAAATTTACTTGCCAGGTTTTATGTGTAGTTACACCTGGAAATTTCCCTTTCTCTCTGATTCTTTGTTTCTCTGTCTGCATGTTTGTCTGTCTGTCTGTCTGTCTGTCTGTCTGTGTCTTTCTGTCTCTCTGTCTGTATTTCTATCCGTCTGTATATCTGTCTTTATGTCTGTCTCCCTGTTTGTGCTTGCATATTGTTTTCCAGGTTTTGATTAAGAGATGCTGCTACAAAAGAATTGTTATTTAAAGTATCGAGGGAATCATTTCCAATTCTGAAAAAAAGATTCAGGCCATTGAGATTAAGCTAGAAATTTTTTTTTAGAATAGCTAAAGAAAGCTTTAATATCAGTTGCCCGGTGAACTCTTTGGTTTGTTTGACTTCAAGTAGGAATGCTGAGTATTTATTTTCTTTGTAGCTGGTCTGTAACCACACCAGAATATAGGGCAGGTATAATGAGAAAGATTGCTGATCTCATTGAGGCCCAATTGGATGAATTTGCTGAGGCAGAATCAAAAGACCAGGGGAAGCCAGTGTTGCTGGCTAAGACAATCGACATTCCACGTGCCTGCCATAACTTTAGATTCTTTGCCTCTACAATTATACGTTCCTCAGTGGAAAACCAGTAAGTACTTGACTTACACATTTTCTTAATCCTTCAACTCCCAAAAGTGATTAACATGTAACTTCTCCCTATAATATCCATACATTATCCAGCAGGTAGATATTGTTATCTTGATCCAACACTAAATTCTTGTTACTAATTTACAAGGAAATGTGTAGCAGCTAGAGGGGAGAATTAACATTCAGATCTTGGGAGTTAAAGGGTTAAATAAATTTGATCCCCACCTTAAGTACTATTAATAATACTACTACATAACATCAATAAACTGAGTAAATGAATCAATCTCTCCGTTAGTTAGTTAGTTAGCATGAATTTTCAAATTGGTTACATGTAGATAGCAAAATTCTCAGCTGTCAGCCAACCTTTGCTTTTTTGCCATTTATCCAATTTTTTTGTGTAGTTTTTGTCAGCTTCCTGCTTTATCCCATGATAAATGCCTATTAGCTGCTGAAAGGGATTAATTTACCGGTCACTGAAACTGAGAACAAGTGCACAAGCAAGAAATCCTCTCTTGAATGTTTTTAGTGGCACAACCAATCTGACCATAATTTTTTAATAAACAAGTTAAATTTATTTTCACTTTAATAGAACCAGTGTTCTAGAAAATGTAGGTGCACTGAATTACACTATCCAAAGTCCAATTGGTGTGGCTGGATTGATCTCCCCTTGGAATTTGCCTGTTTATCTTCTGACTTTCAAGATTGCTCCCGCAATTGCTGCTGGAAATACTGTTGTTTGCAAACCAAGTGAAATGACATCTGTCACAGCATGGATGATGGCCAAGGTGCTTAATGAAGCAGGTAGAAAAAGTAATATTTCAGTTAATTCTTTCACTCCAAGGAGTGACCCAGGCAAGATTTCTTCTTACAATATCAATATAGAATCAAGTAGACCAGTAATGAGAATAAATGAATATATCAGCGAGGGGATTATTATTTTGATCCAAGACCAAACTCTTTGAACTAACTTTAAGGGAAATGTCTGGCAGACATTAGGGAGAATAAGCACTTGGGTGTCATAACTGGAAAGAAACCTTTTGTATTCTGAAGTAATGTTGTGCTTGTTATTTACACTGTTACTATAACAATCATGCTCAGAAGGTAATTACCCAAATTTTATAACTTGGCAGTTGTACAGTCATGTTTCTCATAAACATCACTTTTTCATTGTGTTTAAATATTAAGTAGGGGACTACAAGTTGATCCAATACCAATTTCTCCAAACCAACATCATAAGAATTTTATGGCAGACAGTAAGGAAAATTACTACTAAGATCTTGGGAGGGAAAGGGTTAATAATTTAGTTAACCTTTACTTTGCCTTTTGATTGGTGTTGAAAACTTGTGCTATCCTTTCAACCAATGGGTTGCAAAATGCAAGCCAATTGCAACATGGTTGAATCAATGTTTCAGGTAGTTGCAGCTGTAGTTTGTTTGACTTTGAGTTACTGTATTCCCAATATTAGAGCCCCCTTTCATAATTTTCTTTGTCCTGATTTGCATCTCTTCGATATACAATCAAAATCCCCCCTCTAATGTGTCATGTCTCGGTCAATGTCTGTAGGTCTGCCTCCTGGTGTTGTTAACTTTGTGATGGGCACTGGACCCAAGGCAGGCACTGCCATTGTTAGACACCCTGATGTTCCTGTGATTTCATTTACTGGTTCAACTGTCACAGGTCAAGTTATCACAGAAATGACAGCTCCTTTTTACAAGAAAACTTCATTGGAAGTGAGTGCTGTTTTAAATACCTAATGAGCTTTGCAACTGTTCAGAGCATGTTTCAGGCAAGTTTAATTCTTTTTTGCCCTTAGATTAATATCCATATTCTTCATGATTTTTCAAAATAAATTTTTTCCAGCTCGGAGGGAAGAATGTTGCAATTATTTTTGATGATGCAGACTTAGAGAGATCCATAGCAACGACTGTCAGGTGTGTGTGGTAATTTATCTGTCTAGTGTAGTTTGTAAAATTACTCTTTTTATTAGAAAATTTTATGTGTTAATGTACATCGAAAACATTTCGTAGCTAGGAAAAATAGAGTGTGAAGGATTTCATTCAAAGTTTGCAGGCCAGCGAAGTTTTGCAGCTCTCCAAAGTTTACAGAAAAATGAGGCTCCACATTAACTCTCACAGCACCTTGTAAAACACTCTCATCACCAAACAGTACATGTTCTTCTCCATGTTTTTTTTTCTTTTTTTGTTCAGTGTGCCTTTGTATATAAACTGGTGGTTGTTAAGAGTTTGATTACGTTTTAAGAGAAGACGTATCCCTAAAAATTTCAAGCTTACAGTATACCGTATGTGTTACATGAATCCATTGAATCAAACTTATTTTTGTGAACAAATTTGTTTGTCAAGTTACTTAGAAATAGTGTTAAGTTTTATATTTGTTTTAGGGAGAAGTTTTTCCCCTAAGATAAGGAGCTATATGCATGCAAATATCTTATGGTGAAATATGAATTCACTTTAAATTTGTATTTCAGGTCCAGTTTTGCCAATCAAGGAGAGATCTGTCTGTGCGCCAGTAGAGTTTATGTACAAAAAGGAATTTATGACCAGTTTTTGGAGGGTTTTGTGGAAAGAACTGGGTAGAGCATTTCACCATTTTAGATTATGATAGAGAAATAAATATTTCTGATGAGTATAAACTTTTCCCACTTTAAAGAGGAGGTCCACTGTATGAAAACGGATTGAGCTTAGGAGGGTTTGGAATTTGTATAATTTATCAGTTGTGTGTAAGGAGAAGTAAGGCTTGCTCTCTGAAGAGGAGGAAGGGGGGGGGGTGGATGGGTGATTGTTTTTTTGGGGGGGAAGGGGAGGAGAGGGGAAAGGAGGATTTGCTGTAAACAGGTGTGAGTGAGACTTTAGACCCATAGACTTAGAGCCTTAAGCGACTCACCAATAATTCTAGAGATTTAGTGAATTTTCTTTTTCTTGTCTCTTGTTAACTCGTGAATTGCGCGCATGCACAAGAGCGAGATGTAGATATGATGTGAGAATGGCACTCGCTCGCTCACTCGCTCGATTGGTCGATTCCTGTAAACGTTTTTTCGATTTTAGGCTTTTGAGTGCATTTGACAGTTTTTGGCGAGCAATAAACAAACGAAAAGGCGACCTTTGTTGCTAAGAATGGTAGTGGGGTGAAAAAGAAGCCAATGATAATCTTAAAAGAGTTTTTTTTTTTCGTTTTAGTTTCAACAAGCGGCGCCAGCGACTGGCAGGCATGCAAGGATTCACACTGAAATAACAGAACAACCTTCGTTTTTCACAAAATTGTAATTTACAATCCTTGAACTTGAAAACAATCCGAAGATTCATTGAAAATATCACTTACTGCGAAGCTCTCGGAGTTTACAAATGTTTAAAAGCTTCTTCTGTTATGGCGTGAGATTGAGGACAAAATCGATCATTACGTTTAGTATCGTGTGTTTTTCCTGTGTGAAGCAACAGAAGATGCCGGCGACTGACGAAATTACAAGTTAACACGAAAATCAAATAACACCTAAACAAACAGTTTTAGCTACCGATTTTCAGTTTATTCTTAAAGAACAATTTTCTTTTAAGTTTCAAGAAAATTTGAAGATTCAAAATAAATATTACGTACTAAAATGCAAAAGTTATACACCACAAAATTGATAAATAGGCCTGAAATGAATTTCTATCTTGTTCTTGCCTAGCACGTGACTAAAATATACTCAGGCGGAGATCCAAAATGACGGTGGCATTCTTGGCTTAGTTATATCACTCAAAACTCGTTCCCGTTTGTCTTATTTGACAAAGAGGGAATCGTTAATGTTTTCATTAAGACAGTATTGCCTTGATTTTCTAATATTTACAATGATAGACAGTAAATTTCACTTTTCACCTACATTTACTTCCAAACTTTTCTTTTGAACCAGAAACAAAAATGATATACGTTTAAAACACATGACATCATTCACCCTTGTCAAATGTAATAGCATGATCATTTCAGTTGTAATGCCTTCTTATCCCAACGTTACTTTGTTTATTTGCTACATTAGCGAACACTGAACTACTGCTCGTACTCTAGATATGACAATCAACCACAAAATTCCCTAAACCAGATAACATTAAACATAATCCAAAAAAATCATGTGTCAACTCACGAGTTTGCTCACAGAGCACTTTGATTTTTATATCAGGCAACTCAAGGTTGGTTCTCCAAAAGATTCAACAACCAACGTCGGAGCTTTGGTAAGCAAGGAACACTTGGCTAAGGTACGTTTTTGGAAATTTATTCATAAGATTCGACTATACTGGTGTTTACGTTATCATATTTAGTTGCTATCATCATCATGCGGTGTTATCGATGTAGTTATATCGTTAGCGTTATCGGCATCGAAAGCGTCGTTGTAAGCGTTATCGTTAGTTTTATCGTTAACGGTTTATCGTTATCATAACCAGGAGCAACTGCACAATAGAGGGTCACTTTTTAACACTTTAAAGCCTAAGAGTGACTGGCATCTAATTTCTCCTCGCCATATCATCCCTGAATCAAACATTAAGGTCATGAGAATAAAGGAAATGATCAACAAATAAAGAAGCTCTTGATTGTTAGACAAACTCTCCTTGTCAGCACCTTAGGAAATATTTAGAGAACAGTATGGAGAATATGCCTACTGATGTCAGGGTGTAAAGGGTTAAGGAGCATATCTCGTAGCTCGTTTGGCTCTGCATTTTTTATATGCACGTGAAGTGTTAGGGTATTTTTGTAGTGCAGGGTAATTTAGGAATATCAACTGCGTTGATAACGTAAATTAGCCACCGTAAAGAGTTCCAAAGCTGACGTTTCTAGCGTCAACCATTCGCTCTGATGAAGGGCTAACGCTCGAAACGTCAGCTTCGAAACTCTTTACGGTGGCTAATTTACATAATCAACTCAGTTGATTATACTAAATTCCCCTGTTATACTCTTCCACCGAGGTAGCACCACAGTTACTTTAGAAATTTGCTCCCTTTATTTTTTTGTAATCGCTCGTTTAGCTCGGTAGTAGAGCAAACGAACCCCTGGAGCTGGTTAGTTTGGTTGATGATGGCCTTGTATTCTGTAGTTTAGCCCATTATCGTTATATCGGTAGTCATTGATATCAGTATCATTGTCGTAATCGGTAGCGTTATCAATTTCGTCATTGGTATTCGTATCAGTAACGGTAACGTTATCAGTAGCTTTTTCGATAGCGTTCTCGTTATTGCAAAAAAATGGGGAAATAAAAATTTATTGTATCAAGGTTACAAATTTAACACAAATTTATTTATTTTAATCTTAAAGTTCGTGGCAACTCGTACCGTCCCTTACAACAAATCGATATCGGGTCTAAAGCGTGTCATTTCCTCTCAAGGTCCTTGGATATGTGAAACTTGCCGTGAATGAAGGTGACGAAAGTAGCCCGAAAAAAAAAAGTCAAGGCGCTCGAAGAAACAAATACTAAAAAGATCTGAATTTCAGACTGTAAAAAAGCAGTAACGTTGAGAAATTTTTATTACTAAAGCGCTCTTTGTTTCCGACAACACCATGAAGATTCTTAAAGCGTTGTTCGTTCCTAAGAGGAAAGGGAAGCATTCTCCGTTTTTAACAAAAAAAATGAAGCGTTGTTCGTAAGCTTGGGAAACTCTTTCTTGTTTCTTAAAATGCCATGAAGACTTTGACTACACAGAAATCGATTGTATGGTCAGAATTGAAATATGTTTGAGTAACGACTCTAAAAGCTTTGTTCGTTTCTAACAACAGAGGGAAGCGTTGTTCGTTTCTATAACAACAAATGCACGGATGCAGCGTAACATACAAGTAAAGTTCCGACATAGTTTGATGCTACTCTGGTTTGCAGATTTAATGAATGTAACCGAAGAAGTTACAGTTCATAGACCCAACGTTTCGACACTCCTGTCTAGTGCCTTCATCAGGGGTGATCTAAACGCTGCAACAAGAGGTCCTTTTATATGATCACTAATTAGCGGCCTTTTTTCTGACGGGGTGTAAATAGGCGTCAGGAAGCAAACCGCCATCGTCACGATTTAAAGGAGCGTGGGCGGAGTTAATATGCCAAGCCTCCAAACAAAGGCGCTGGTGGTAACGCCGATTAGTGGTGATAATTTTAGAATTATCCCACCCAATTGTATGGTTGGTTAGGCATGTATGCTCCGATAAAGCTGAATTTTCCTTTTTGCAAAGAAAAACCGCTTTTTGGTGCTCTCTCAACCGTGTACCAAACTGACGTTTGGTCTGTCCGATGTATTCGTTGTCACAGTCATTGCAAGGACGGTTCGTTGTTCTTTCGTGACAGGTGAAAACACCTGGTAAACAGATGAAAACACCTGCTAAACGCATGTCGATTGTCGCGTTCGACAAGTCGGTAAAAGGTAAAGCGAGTAACATACAAATAAAATTAACTTGTTGCCTTGCGTAAGGAAAGTGTGATATTTTTAAGATAATCAGTCTATTGTTATTCTTGTGACTTTTTTCACAGTAGTTGTCTGATAGCATCATTTCCCTTAGGGTCAGAATAAGCAAAAATTATGTGGTCGTGCTCTGTTTCCTCTGGCGGTCGCGTGTATGCTTTGATCCGATCAAAGTATATATGAAGAGGGTAAAGCTAGCTACAATACGAATTCGAACTGATTAAAATGAGCATTCATCCTTGCATCGAGTGTGATGATGAAGTTAGACCACGTCAACAAGCCCTACAGTGCGACGATTACGGTCGACCATATGGCCTTTCTGACCATATGATCGATTTAAAGCCTTCATGGCTTTGTTAGAAACTAAGAAAAAGTTTTTCGAGCTTACGAAATGTCCGTGAGTAAGAAACGATTACATACCAAACGAACAACGCTTCATTTTTTTGTTAGAAACGGAGAACGCTTCCCTTTGTTGTTAGAAACGAACAACGCTTTTAGAATTGTTACTCAAACATATTTCAATTCCGAGCATACGATCGATTTCTGTGTAGTTAAAGTCTTCATGGTATTGTTAGAAACCAAGAAAGAGTTTCTCAAGCTTACGCTGTATTTTGTTGTTAGAAACGAACAAGGTTTCCCTTTGTTGTTAGGAACGAACAACGCTTTAAGAATCTTCATGGTGTTGTCGGAAACAAAGAACACTTAAGTGATAAAAAATTTCTCAACGTTATTGTATATTTACAGTCTGAAATTCTGATCTTTTTAGTATTTGTTTCTTCGGGCGACTTTACTTTTTTTTTCGGGCGACATAAATTTCGGACAACATGACTCAGGTTTCGGGTGACATGACTTCAGGCGAGATAAATCTCGGGCGACTTGACTGTAAACCATTAATAATAGTAACATTCAATTATAATACGCCTCCTGGATAAACAAAGTCTCTCTTTCTAAGGGGTCCTCTAGGAGATTGCTCAGGGAAGTGCATGGTGTCTGATTTCACTGTTAACGCAGGTTTTCAATTGATACGAAACCTGCTTTTAAAACCGATAAGCCAATAGGATTCTGAAGTGCCGTTTTATACCCATAGGGTGTTCTATATTTACTCAAAAGTGGAGAGGAAGTGATATAGTACTCAAAGGACCGGACTAGCCCATCACTCGTACAAAGGAAAATGAAGCTCAGACATCGACGACTATTCAGCACTATTTTTCATATACTCGTGGTAATAGTCTCCTCAGGAGAGACCTCGAATGGTAGGTAAATTCAGGCGTAAGAGTCCTTGATGAACACTGTCAATTTTTCTTTCAAATAGTTGAGTACAATTTTTACTTTTCTCTACTTTTTATTTCCACAAAAAGTCAACGATGAACGCATTGAACCTCTTAGCCGAGGTACAGGTGAAGGTTTTGCCTACGCCAACTTTAAGCCTCACAAATTTTCCTACCTCAACATCACCAGCATTGGGTCAGATTATGTTCTAGAAGACAGCGAATGTGGATTTGTTTGTGCCAACACACCGTCATGTTTCTCCTTCAACTTGGGCGTATTCTCCGCTTTCATGGGAAAAGTGTTGTGCGAACTGCTTCCATCAGACGTTTTTAACAACTCGGACAAGTTTGTGTACAGTCAGAGCCACCATCACTATATTATCACGGTAAGGAATTTACTTAAATATTATCTTTTAAACCACAAATTAAACAAAACAAAACCAAAAAAACAAGAACAAAACTGGGTTTGCAATAGAAAATATTATGTATTTCATTTCTCCAAGGCCTTCTATCTCAGGTGAAACATTATCCTGCACTGTTGCAATTATGCAAAATTTATAACTTGAAACTAAATACTGATTTCTGAAACAACAATGAAACTCTTGCGACCATACGCTTCAGTTACTTTGAAAATGACGAGCCCGATACGAAAGAGTAAATAAAATAAGACACTCTTGTTTTCCCTAGAGGTATATTCAATCAACGGGTAATCATAATCCCTTTTAGAAGCTGAATAAAGTTCTCTGAAAAACTTCCTTGTGGTTGTTATAAGGTGTCATAAAAGTTTTAGCAAAGGTTTTGACGCTTTGAGCGAATTTCATATCAATAATATTTTCCATAATGCACTTTGACTACCAAATAAATCGGAGGTACTAAAAAGGTGAATGAAAATTTTATTTTATCTACTGCAATTCATTACTTTTCAATTGAAAACTTTGGCCAAACCATAATCCTCCTGAAACACTTGCGATGGAGTGTCAGTTTGTGTCTTCTTGTTGTTTCACAGTCTCCGTGTATCAGTTGGCCATGTCGGAACAATGGGACATGCGCGGCACAGTACGAAGACAACAGCTACGTCTGCATTTGCAAAAAAGGCTTCAAAGGAAAAGATTGCGAATTTGGTAAGACACTGTTGAGTTTATTAACCAAGAGCCCTTCACTAGCCTGCCTGGAATTAACCCTCTAACTCCCATCAGTAACCATGGGAGAATTCCTCCTTACAATGTTAATGCAATACCAAGCAGACAAGTGCTGAGAATATAGAAAAATAGCGATTAGAGAATTTTAGTTGATCCAATACCAAATTCTCCAAACTAACAGAGTGGCAGAGAGTAAGGAGTATCGCTGATGAGATCTTAGAATTGAAAGGGTTAAGATTGCACCACAAAGTTAAAAAAAGTGACTATTTCATGATAAGTTTCCCAAAATATTTTTCAGAATGGACTTACTTTTTTTCATTTCTAGATATTGATGAATGCGCTGAGGGACTACACACTTGTGACGTTCATGCTTATTGTAACAATACTGCTGGATCCTATACATGTACTTGTAAGCCAACATACCATGGTGACGGAGAAAATTGCATACTGGGTAATTACCATTGACAATCTTTGAAAATGAAAGGCATGTTGTCGCTTTGTCCGATCAACGGTAGTCTTCGTATTGACAGCTACTTTTTTAGAAACGAATTCGACTACATTTCTGATTGTGATATAATTTTAAAAGTCATTCAACGCTCTAATTCCCACGAGTGACTAAGACAGAATTTCTCCTTACAAAATCGATACAATGCCAAGAAGACAAGTGAAGAGAATATATATATATCTCAAATTATCACAAAATCGATACAATGCCAAGAAGACAAGTGATGAGTATATATATATATATATATAGATAGATAGATAGATAGATAGATAGATAGATAGATAGATAGATAGATAGATAGATAGATAGATAGATAGATAGATAGATAGATAGATAGATAGATAGATAGATAGATATATATATATCTCAAATTATCACCACTAATCGGCGTTACCACCAGCGCCTTTGTTTGGAGGCTTGGCATATTAACTCCGCCCACGCTCCTTTAAATCGTGACGATGGCGGTTTGCTTCCTGACGCCTATTTACACCTCTTCAGAAAAAAGGCCGCTAATTAGTGATCATATAAAAGGACCTCTTGTTGCAGCGTTTAGATCACCCCTGATGAAGGCACTAGACAGGAGTGTCGAAACGTTGGGTCTATGAATTGTTACTTCTTCGGTTACATTCATTAAATCTGCAAACCAGAGTAGCGTCAAACTATGTCTGATGTATTACAGACTTAAAAGTTTTGTTGCTTTCTTTAAAAAAAATACAAATAAAAGAATTATTTGCTGGTCCAATACCAAATTCTTGGAACTAACATCATAAGAAATGTATGGTAGAGAGGAAAGAGAATTACTGATGAGAAAAGAAAGAAAGAAAAGGTTAAAAGAAAAACGTCATTATTAGAGTCAGACATGGGCTAAATTGTCAATTATGTTACGAAATTTCATTCACTGAGACTTTGATGATGGATCATGGGGTTGAGTCTTCAATTTCCCCCTCCGTTATCTGATGTCAGTAATTCTATAAAAAGTACCACGTGTACAAGCCACACTAGAAGCAAATTTTATCAGATTATGGTCCCTCAGTCATAGAATACTGTGATAGACACAGAGTGTAAATCGGTGAAGATAAAAGTCGAGAGATCATCATATGATTCTTTTTGCAGGGGCTAAAAACTGCGCAGAGCTTTATAACGCTGGAAAGAGAAGCAATGGCGTTTATTTAATCGACCCTGATGGCTCAGGTGACTTTCAAGTTTATTGTGACCAAACAACCTCTGGCGGGGGTTGGACTGTGTTCCAGAAGAGGTTGGACGGCTCTGTTGACTTCTATCGCACCTGGGACAGTTACAAATATGGCTTTGGTAACACAACTAGCGAGTTTTGGCTCGGACTGGAGTCAATACGCCGCCTGACTAACAGCGAGGGCTACAAGCTTCGTATTGATTTGGAGGATTTTTCTGGGAATACTAAGTATGCCGAGTACACTTGGTTTAAAGTTGAGAGCGAGGGATCTAATTACAGTTTAAGAATCGGAGGCTACTCAGGTAAACTTGCTCCCGGGATCCGAGAGGATTTTGGTTGTGTCACGATGAACCCTCATTGAGTCAATAAGCAGTCAGTCAGTTCCCCTCTTAATAAAACTCTGTTTTGGCGACGACTGGAAGCCATATGATTCTTTCAATTATGTTCTACCCCCACCGGCTGTGACACATGATCATCGCTGCCTTAGTTCTCCTTATCTCATTTCTAAAATCGTCACATCGAATAGATAAATATAGATAAAAGCAATCAGTAATACTTTTTGACGCCTGAATGATTCTCTTTAATAATTATAATGGCAATGAACAGTTACAAATTGATAAACTTGTGGCCCTCTAAATTAGAAACTAAACATGATGAATGAAAAAAAAAAAAGTGTTTCAAACCCCAGTTGACAGGAAGGCAGACCAGAATTGAATTTGAGGCAATGAGAAGAAACCCAGTGAGTAGCAGAGTGGCGAGTTTGACCCGGGAACACCAGATTTCAAATCCAGTATCCTAACCACTCGGCCACAATGCCTCCTCTTAACTGGCTATCGATTGAATGACTATTTCATAAACCCCTTTAACAAGTGCTAACAGCGTAATCACGATCTTTCGATGATAATAATTTTGATTTGATCATACATTTCAGGAACTGCCGGAGACTCGTTTTCGCAACACAATGGTCGATCATTTACAACAAGAGACCGAGACAATGACTTAAGAGGAGGAGGAGCCAGCTGTGGTGAGCTTTGTAAAGGAGGCTGGTGGTACATAAATTGTTGGTGGAGCAATCTTAATGGTTATTACCACCGAGGAACCTACCTAGCAGAAACCATCTGTGACAATGGCGTTGGCTGGTCTGCGTGGAAAGGAACTGATTACTCACTTAAGAGAACTGAAATGAAGATACGACCAGTAGGCTTTTAGTTGTCCGTTGGGCCTCCAAGTTTTTCGAGCTATTTTTGTCGTGATTATGGTATCGATAATACGCAGTGATTTTGGTTGTCGGGGACAACGAAATTTATCTGATTCTCCCCTTCCCCCCTCCCCCCTCCTAAGGCTCTGTAGTATTTCTTGTAATCCTCCCTTATTGGAAGTCAATGTTCTGTAGTTTCCCCCCTTTTATAATCTGTCAACTAAGACTGACCCCTCCCCCTTCCGTTCCTTGAAAACCATGTAATCCCCCCAAAGCTCATCCTTTTCAAGAAAATTGACCTATAATAAGGCATCCTTATTGGTCAGTTAGACCAGAGAGGCCTGGTTACTTGTCACCAAAAAACCTTTTGTTGTCCATAAGAATGTAAATGATATAGTAAGATTTGCTTAACATCGTAGAGTAATTTTTTGTTTTACTACATTTGCTACAAGACAAGACACATACCGGGAAAAGATTTTAACCCTTCCAAACTGACACATTGTAGATAGGGAAATTTCTTACAGTTAACTTTTTCTTACGATCAGCTATAAAAACTTGTCAATTTTTACCCCTAACAGCTGATTTGTTTTGCCGTTTTACAGCCAGTAACCTCATTATACTGATACCCTCATATTAGCATTCCTACTGCTTGATATATAATAACAAGGGCGTAGCCAGGGGAGGTGCCCGTGACCCTCCCCTCCTTTGTGAGCCTTTTTTCTTAGCTAACAACCTTTACTATTAAGGTGGCGAAAAGCTAGCGAGAACCTTCTATTGACACAGTGTGATTCTTGGCTATACCCCTGTATGATAGTAACTGCTAAACTGCAAATCTGCAAAAGTCACCTTTATTGAAAACATATACAGTTCAGATTAAGTATTACATTAACGTCCAGGGTCATGAAATGGACTGATAAACGTTTTCAGTTTCCTATCGCTTTTTGATGCAGTGTACCTATTTATCCAACTTTACTTGGCCCTGTCTGTGTTGATATAGGTACTTACATTGGTGTCAGTCTCATCATGTTTTGTGTAAAATTATGTTACGTATTAGCATTGTAGCTGTTTTGGTAAATTAAAATAGTAGCTGATACTGACATAAATTCTTGAAAGTTATATCTATCCAGCGAGATATCAATGAACTGTAAATAACAGGCTCTAAAGCGAATAAAGTTTGAGGGATGTTAATGAATGACCTTGTCGTTCTTTTTGGCGCTTGTTTATTAGAAGAATCTAATTGACAACCCTTCATATTGCATTTCCTCTCTTGCAAACCCGATTTTTTCCATACGGCACAACTAATTTATCTTCATCATCACGATCAATTCTTTCAAGAATGACTTCGAAAGCATCTCGTTCTTGTGAAGCAGAACCTTCAGTGGTTAATTCCGGGTGTCCAGTCGCCTAGTGCCTAGTTTCCAAGTGTCCAGTCTTTGCTGGGGACAAGACATAGCAAGAGAGGTCAGACTAATTTTAATTTCGTCAGCTGATTCTGGCAATTCGGCAGACACTTTAAGCAAAAGCCATTTAATTTGATTTTTACTCGCTTCTCGTTGCTTTGATAATTTGCGTTCTTCGTCAGAAGTTTTCATAGTAGTCTCGCTTAGTTAAATATTGGGGGTGTAACAGGGGCGGGGCTGACACGAGCTCTCCCCAGCTCCCGTCGGACTTCTAATAATCTTTCCAGTCTACCGCCAAAAGAACAACAAGATGGCGTCTGAAATGTTAGTACTTCAGAACTTTATCGGAGGAAAATTCGTACCTTGCACAAATCACATTGACAGCTACGACCCATCAACGGGAAGAGTGCACTGTAAGGTTCCAGACAGTACTGAAAAAGAAGTCGATTTAGCCGTTAAGGCAGCAAATGAAGCGTTTGAAAGGTAATGTGTGTTCTGTAACCATAATTGATCGCCCAGTGTTGGGGTTGAGTGAGGCATGCTAGTTGTACTCGTGGCTATCAAGATTCTCTATCTCCGTTGAGGGAACGCATTGTTTTCCTAGTTTAATCTTTGGAAAAAAACTGATCCTAAAATCACGAATTGACTGTATCATGATCAATGTTTAATGAAGTTGCGTAATCTCTATGTTGTACATATGAGGTGCAATCATTGGGAAATATATATAATGATTGTACACATGAGGTGCAATCATTGGGAAATATGTATAATAATGTATGGGGTGATTTCTTTCATTATGTATAAAGTACATACAGAGTAGTCAGTGGCTTAAAATCTCACAGTTTATAGACTACGATAATCACATTACGCCGTTGTCTAAGTAACCATAACTATAAAGCACGTAGAGGGTTTTGGGATCGGAAAATGAATGATTCGTAGTAGTGCTCTAAAGGTAGTGCAGACCAACTATAGCCTTTCTGATGTTTTCCTTATTTCCTAAGGCCATCTTATCTCAATGAATGCACAGCTGACTTTCAACGCGTTAGTTTAAATATTATAGAAAAAAGAAACTCCCCCTTCAACATGTATGCCTCATTGCCAACAAACGTGTCACTGTGCACTAAAAGAACATGAAGCATGCTCTTCAAATTGAATATGATAATAGAAATTTACTTGCCAGGTTTTATGTGTGGTTACACCTGGAAATTTCTCTTTCTCTCTGATTCTTTGTTTCTCTGTTGGCATGTTTGTTTGTCTGTCTTTCTTTTTGTCTGTCTGTCTGTCTTTTTGTCTGTCTGTCTGTATTTCTATCTGTCTGTATGTCTGTCTTTCTGTCTGTCTCCCTGTTTGTGTTTGCATATTGTTTTCCAGGTTTTGTTTAAGAGATGCAGCTACAAAAGAATTGTTATTTAAAGTACTAAGGGAATCATTTCCAATTCTGAAAAGAAGATTCAGGCCATTAAGATTAAGCTAGAATTTTTTTCTTTAGAATAGCTAAAGAAAGCTGTAATATCAGTTGCCCGTCTGAACTCTTTAGTTTGTTTGACTTCAAGTAGGAATGCTGAGTATTTATTTTCTTTGTAGCTGGTCTGTAACCACACCAGAATATAGAGCAGGTATAATGAGAAAGATTGCTGATCTCATTGAGGCCCAATTGGATGAATTTGCTGAGGCAGAATCAAAAGACCAGGGGAAGCCAGTGTTGCTGGCTAAGACAATCGACATTCCACGTGCCTGCCATAACTTTAGATTCTTTGCCTCTACAATTATACGTTCCTCAGTGGAAAACCAGTAAGTACTTGACTTACACATTTTCCTAACCCTTCAACTCCCAAAAGTGATTAACATGTAACTTCTCCCTATAATATCCATACATTATCCAGCAGGTAGATATTGTTATCTTGATCCAACACTAAATTCTTGTTACTAATTTACTAGGAAATCTGCAGAGGCTGGAGGGGAGAATCAACAATTAGATCTTGGGAATTAAAGGGTTATATAAATTTGATACCCACCTTAAGTACTATTAATAATACTACTACATAACATCAATAAACCAAGTGAATGAATCAATCTCTCCGTTAGTTAGTTAGCATGAATTTTCAAATTGGTTACGTGTAGATGGCAAAATTCCTAGCTGTCAGCCAACCTTTGCTTTTTTGCCATTTATCCATTTTTTTTTGTGTAGTTTTTGTCAGCTTCCTGCTTTATCCCATGATAAATGTCTATTAGCTGCTGAAAGGGATTAATTACCAGTCACTGAAACTGAGTAAAAGTGCACAAGCAAGAAATCCTCTCTTGAATGTTTTTAGTGGCACAACCAATCTGACCATAATTTTTTAATAAACAAGTTAAATTTATTTTCACTTTAATAGAACCAGTGTTCTAGAAAATGTTGGTGCACTGAATTACACCATCCGAAGTCCAATTGGTGTGGCTGGACTGATCTCCCCTTGGAATTTGCCTGTTTATCTTCTGACTTTCAAGATTGCTCCTGCAATTGCTGCTGGAAATACTGTTGTTTGCAAACCAAGTGAAATGACATCTGTCACAGCATGGATGATGGCCAAGGTGCTTAATGAAGCAGGTAGAAAAAGTAATATTTCAGTTAATTCTTTCACTCCAAGGAGTGACCCAGGCAAGATTTCTCCTTACAATATCAATATAGAATCAAGTAGACCAGTAATGAGAATAAATGAATATATCAACTAGAGGATTATTATTTTGATCCAAGACCAAACTCTTAGAACTAACTTTGTGGGAAATGTCTGGCAGACATAGGGAAAATACGCATTAAGATCATGGGTATCATAACAAGCTGGAGTAATGTTGTGCTTGTTATTTTAACACTGTTACTATAATAATCATGCTCAAAAGATAATTACCCAAATTTTATAACTCAGCAGATGTACAGTCATGTTTCTCGTAAACATCACTTTTTCACTGTGTTTAACTCACTAAGTGTACTTCATATCCTGAGCATTCAGCAATTTTCATTAGAGTGTAAATGATAATCTAGGATTTCATTAATAATTTATTTAACCTTTACTTTGCCTTTTGATTGGTGTTGAAAACTTGTCCCATGACCTCTCAACCAATCAGTTGCAAGATGCCAGGCAATTTTAACATGGCTGGATGTGTTTCAGGTAGTTGCAGCTGTGGCTTGTTTGACTTCGAGTTGTTCCCAATATTAGAGCCCCTTTCATATTTTTCTTTGTCCTGATTGCATCTCTTCAATACACAATCAAAATCCCCCCCTCTAATGTGTCATGTCTCGGTCAATGACTGTAGGTCTGCCTCCTGGTGTTGTTAACTTGGTGATGGGCACTGGACCCAAGGCAGGCGCTGCCATTGTTAGACACCCTGATGTTCCTGTGATTTCATTTACTGGTTCAACTGTCACAGGTCAAGTTATCACAGAAATGACAGCTCCTTTTTACAAGAAAACTTCATTAGAAGTGAGTGCTCTCTTTAAATACCTATTAAGCTTTGCAATTGTTGAGAGCATGTTTCGGGCAAGTTTAATCCTTTGTGTCCTAAGATCAGCATCCAAGGCATATTCTTCAAATTTTTTCAAAAAATTTTATTCCTAGCTTGGAGGGAAGAATGCTGCAATAATTTTTGATGATGCAGACTTAGAGAAGTCCATAGCAACGACTGTCAGGTGTGTTTAGTAATTTATCTGTCCAGTGTAAGATCATAATTTAGATACACTTTATAAAATTATCCATTTGTAGCAGATTTTTTGTGTTAATGTACATTAAAAACATTTTGCAGCTAGAAAAAATTAAGTGTTAAGGATTTCATTCAAAGTTTGTAGGCTACAGAATTATTGCAGCTGTCCAAAGTTAATGGAAAAAATGAGGCTCCATGTTAACTTACAGTACCTTGCAAAACACTCTCATCACTAAGCAGTTTGTCTTTTTTTTTTTGGGTGCGCCTTTGTACACTCAATTGGTAGTTGTTAAGAGTTTGATTATGTTTTGGGCAAAGATATATGGATCCCTAATAATTTCAAACTTACATGCATCTGTGCGACTTAAATCTTTTGAATCAAGCTTATTTTTTTGACCAAATTTGTTAGTCTGGTGTCTTAGAAATAGTGTTAAGTTTTGTATGCTTGGCTTGTTTGAGGGAAAAGGTTTTTCCTTAAGGTAAAGAGCTATATGCATGCAAATATCCTATGGTGAAATATGAATACCTTTTAATTTCGTATTTCAGGTCCAGTTTTGCCAATCAAGGAGAGATCTGTCTGTGCACCAGTAGAGTTTATGTCCAAAAAGGAGTTTATGACCAGTTTTTGGAGGGTTTTGTGGAAAGAACTAGGTACAGCATTTTGCAATTTTATATTATGAGAGAGAAATGAAGATTTCTGACTAGTGTAAACTTTTGTCGCATTAAAGAGAAGATCCACTGTATGAAATCAGATTTAGCTCAGGAGAGTTTGGAATTTGTTTAATTTACCAGTTTTGTGAAGAGAGAAGTAGGCCTCGCTGTCTTATGAGAAGGAAGTGGGGTGTGGATGGGTGACTGTTTTTTTTTTGGGAGGGGGGGGGGGGAGGGGAAGAAGGATTGGCCGTAAACAGGTGTAAGTGAGACCAAAGACCTATATACTTAGAGCCTTAAGCGGCTCGACAATAATTCTAGAGATTTAGTGATCTTTTTCCTTCTCTTGTCTCTTGTCTTTATACCAGGCAACTCAAGGTTGGTTCTCCAAAAGATCCAACAACCAACGTCGGAGCTTTGGTAAGCAAGGAACACTTAGCCAAGGTACGTTTTTGGAAATTTATCCATAAGATTCGATTCTACGGATGCCTACGTTATCATAGTCAATTGTTATCATTATCATGCGATGTTATCGATGTCGTTATATCGTAAGCGTTTTCGGCATCGAAAGCGTCATCGGTAGCGCTATCGTTTTTGGAATCATAACTGTTATCGCTAGTTTTATCGTTAACGGTATCTCGTTATCATTATTTAGAGGAACTACACAATACAGGGGTACAGGTTTTGAATTTTTAAGGAGCGTATCTCTTGGCTCGTCTGGCTCGGCATAATCTATATGCACGTGAAGTATCGGGGTTTTTTTGGAGTACAGGGTAATTTAGTATTATCAACCGAGTTAATTACCTAAATTAGTCACCGTAAAGAGTTTCTAGGCTGACGTTTCGAGCGTTAGTCCTTCGTTATTCGCTTTGCTAAATTACCCTGTTATACTCTCCCATCGACGCAGCACCACAGTTCTTTTAGAAAGTTACCCCCTTTGTTTTTATGTAGCTGCTTGTTTGGCTCGGCAGTAGAGCAAACGAACCCCTGGAGCTGGTTAGTTAGGTTGGTGATGGCCTGTAGTTTAGCCCATTATCGTTATATCGGTAGCATTAATGATATCGGTAACAATGTCGTAATCGGCAGCGTTATCAATTTCGTTATTGGTATTCGTATCAGTAACATTAACGTTATCAATAGCTTTTTCGATAGCGCTCTCGCTCTCGTTATCGCAAAAAATGAAAAAGAGAAAAGAAAAATTCTGTGTATCAAGATTACATATTTATTACAAATTTATTTATTTGAATCGTAATGTTCGTGGTAACTTGTACCGTGCCTTGTATCTTATCGATATCTGGTCTAAGGCGTTTTGTTTCTTCTCAAGGTCCTTGGATATGTGAAACTTGCCGTGAATGAAGGTGGAGAGATTGTTTGTGGCGAAGGAAAGGACTATCCTTTGGAACTACCCAGTCCTCACACACAAGTAGGCACAGTTCTGTTTTTTTGTTGATTTTAATGTGGAGATGGAAGGTTTGTTTCTAGTTTTCAACATTTGTTTCCTTGTTTGTTTGCGTCTTAGGGATACTTTATGCGACCCACGGTGATTACCGGTTTGTCGGACAACACTCGCTGCATGCAGGAAGAGATATTTGGTGAGTTAGGACAAAGGAATTAACTGAAAATAAAATTAAGGCAGTTCTTAGACCTCTTTTTTATACGACGAGCTTAATTGCTGTTATTTTATTCATACAAACTACCTTTTTTAATCCTTACAACATATTGAAAATGAAAGAATTCTCGCTCAAAGCGACGCCAAGAAGGCAGTCTGTATGGGCATAGAGACTTGGGGTTGTATGCGCTATAGAGTGTGCACTGACTGGCTATTGCTCAGTCAATATGGTAAGGTCTATGTGTGAGATTCTCTTCTGTTTTACAGGTCCAGTTGTGGCAATTGTACCTTTTGAAAACGAGGAAGAGGTATGAGTGACACGTGTCTTGCAGCTTCACGCGCGCCTGACGCACGTGCAATTCCAATGCATTACAAGCGCAAATTTTAAATATTAGTTTGAGTAGTTTGTTTTGTGTTAGTTTTGTTTGTTTGCTGGTTTAATTTCTTCACCTTTTTTTTTCCGTGGGTTTTTCTTGTCAGGTTATCAAACGAGCTAATGGTGTCAAGTACGGACTAGCAGCAGTGATTTGGTCAGAGAATCTTTCACGCACTCACCGAGTATCAAAACGTTTACAGGTACAAGACACAAATTAGTAAAGGTTTGCTGAGCGGCGCGTACTTAAACGATCCAATTGGCTGACGGACCTATTAGTTCATGGCAAGGTCTTTTTGTTTAAGAAGTGTCCTGACCTTATCTTTTCGACATCTCTATCGTATTTTAGTCACATTCAACTTCGATTCATGATACCAAATTTTTGGTTCAATATTTGTATTGTGCGGTGCAAACATATTTTTTTGTCGAGCGAGTGCTGTCCCACTGTTTTGACAAAACGAATGACATGTCTTTTAGGTCGCTAACATTGTGAGAATTGTGTTGTGATTTTTCTCTGTTACACTACGAGGCAGATTTGTGTCGCTTATTAGAAGGAGTTTCGTTGAACACATTCTGGTTTTGCTTTTACATTTTCAAGAATAAAAATGTTGCCAGATATTTCAGTTTAACAACGTTAAAAGACGGCTCTGCTTCTATTCCCTAGGCAGGGACAGTGTGGTGTAATTGCTGGCTGGTCCGTGATCTCAATATGCCTTTTGGAGGATTCAAAGCTTCAGGGGTTGGCCGAGAAGGAGCTAAAGAATCCTACGAGTTCTACACAGAAGTAAAAACGGTCTGCGTGAAGATGTAGTTTCCATCATAGTATTCCTTTCAGATCTGAGAGGTTAAACCATTATCATATTTAAAGGAATTTGCGTGTCTAGATTAGCAACAAATAAGTTAAGGGGTGAATTTCTAAAGAAACTGGATGACTGCGTAGGTTAGAGGGATGGGGGGGGGGGTTTATCACAAGGTAATTTAGTTCTACCAACTGAGCAAAAGTATATATTATAAAATAATTCAAATAGTACGCGCGCTCTGATTGACCATAAAACCATTTTACATGAGCGTATGTAAACGCGGTTTTCGTTCCTCTTTCTTTAGTTATTTTATAAAAGAAATGTAAAATGGTTTCCGTGTTTACATAGCCTGATGTAAACACTTGGGAGGTTGGGAGAATACTCGATAAGCTGGAAACCACTCTGCTTCGCGTCGTGGTTTCCTACGCTTATCTCGTGTTCTCCCAACCTCCCGCGTGTTTACATCAGGCTATGTAAACACGAAAACCATTTTACATTTCTTCAGTGTAAATTGGCGATCGTGTCTGGTGATTTGTTGAGACCAAGGCGCGCAATCATAAGAGGTGATGGTGTATTATGTCTATCAGTTAGTATGTACGTTATGATTTGTCAATTTAGCGGGCTGCAGTTCACTTTGTGGCCTTCTAAATTCAAAAGTGTGTTTGAATTGAAAAATCTTCCCCTTCTTTTTGAACCCGGAGATATAATAAGTATCTTACCAACCTCGTTTTCTCGGTCTGTACTGTAAGTCATGGAACCTTTATCCCCATTCGGGTTAATGGCCGGCGTGCTTCGCGCTTGGACCACAAGGAGATATTTTACGATCTTTAGCTGGTTCATACCAGGAAATATAAATGTTGAACAAAGAAAGAAGTCTCTAGATCATATTTATGTAATCAGAACTTGTAAATGTAGTTTAGTCTAGTTTTGCAATTATTGGACGTCCTCATAGATATTTAGGGATAAATAGAATTCCTCTGTTGTTGTTTCCGCTGTTGTTTTATGGTCTGATTTTTTTCCCGATTAATGTTAATGAACGGTCCACTCCATTGGCTTTTGGGCAGAAGGCCCGTAATGGTAAGATTATTCACAAAACGTACACATTCAGCAAACTAAACTATCCGAAGAACTTCTGGTCTACAGTTCAATGAGGCCTCGAGCATCACAACAAAAACACAACGACGTTCGTATCGCTGTTTTACTATAGCAAGGCCACAATGATGCCAAAATGTAATTGGTGATATGGACAAGTGCAGCAAAAGACATGTTTTTCATACAGTTTATTAAATGAGAACAAAGAAGCAGACTTAAGCATCCTTTAGTGCTGAATGTACATTTATCACTGCACAAGTTCGCGCCAGATTTTACCGTGTTCCTGTAATGTAGGACCTCCCCACCGCTTGACCGTGGAAGGTCTGGATACGAGACTAGGTCAGTCTTTGAGCTTTGTAGCCTTTCTCACAAGGATCCACCTTAAAAAAATTGCCCGACTTAAGTTTTCGCACCGATTTTCGTCTGCTACAATGATCGTTTTTTGGCCCTAATTTTGTAAAGGGCTGGAAAATGGGTAAGACCAGTATGCCCCTCGAGGTCAGGAACAGTGCCGTCCTCAGATGGTAGAAATGTAAATTTGTGCAACATCCACGTCAAGAACAGAAACAGCTCCACCTACGAGAAGAGAAAGATTTCTGTTGACTGTCTGTCAGTAGCCTGTGCCAGGCCTTCTGTTGGTAAAACGAAGCGCGATAGTGGAGGAGGAGTGAAAAACGAGGGAGACTTGGGTCGGGCCGCGTAATTACCCGATCCAAGCCTCGTTCGCTTTTTCACTCCTCCGCCATTGTTGCGGAATTTGATGTTTCGCCACTAGTTACTAACTGAACGCCTGGAACTTGCTAGTTTGTCCCGGTTTCCCCAAGTAACAGATCTAGAGGCTTAAGCATGGCTGATTAACACTTCCTCTTGTCTAACATGTCGTCCAATATATATTATGGACAGCAACAAAACTCACTCTATAAATCCATAACTGGACAAAACAGTTTGTTAATTGTATCAAGAACTCGCATATGAGATGTAAGTGAGATTTTGAAACACAAAAAAGAGGGAGCATATGGATATTTTGCATGAAAAAGATTGTAACTTTTGACAGATTTCAGAATCACGTAGAGAAATTAAATTTGGCATATTTCTCTCACCTTTGCCAGTGCTTCACCAGCACAAACCCGGCGACCAGCTGAGAAGGGTAGAAAGTTACCAGTGTTGGTAATAAGTTGGCCATCTGCGTCAATATGACGGTGAGGGTTAAAAGAGTGCGGATTCTCCCAGCAGCTTGGATCAAGATGAACTTGCGCTAAATTAGCAAATACGATAGTATCTTTGGGAACCCTGAAGCCAGCTAGTGTAGTGTCCTTCAGCGTGTAGTGAGGAAGAGTGTTTTCCGCAACATTACCAAGACGTTGCGTTTCCATGATCATGGCCTGGACAAGGGGAAGATTTGGTAGATCATCTAGGTTTGGCATCCGATCCTTTCCAACCACTTCATCCAGCTGGTTTTGTATTTCTTTTTGAATTTCAGGATGATGGACAAGGAATGCAATGGCCCAGCGCAGGGTAGAACTAGTGGTGTCATAACCAGCGACAAACATGTCTCTCATGTTACTCAGCATATATTCATCTGATAGGAAAGATGCTCTCTCTTCTGCACCAACCTCATTTTCAGCGGCAGCCTTTTCTTGGAGAAAACTGCCGGTGAGGCTGTCAACTTCTGCCGAGTTGGAAGACTCTTTCTCCTGAATCTTTAACTGGCGTCGTAGAATTTCGTAAACCTGATCAATCATCTCGTACATGAGTCGGTAAGCACGAAACGGAAAGAATTTCGCTATAGGAAAGAAATCTAAAAGAAATCTTTGTGTATTAATGTCATAATCAGAGAAGAAATCGTCGTTCAGTTTGAGAAGTTCCTTGTAATCAGAATGCGATGAGTCGAAGCGTTTTCCAAATAAGATACGGCAACTGACGTTGGCAATGCTCTCCATCAAGACGTTTGCAGGGTCAAAATCCTTTAAACTTTGGTCTTCAAAGTACTGCATTAGTTTCGTTGCCTGCTCAGCAATTGTTTTTTCCACCACCTGCTTATCAGATAGGTACCGTCTAATGGCTGCTATGAAGATCTTTCGATGAAACTTCCAGGCCGGACTGTAATCTCCTGCTGCGATGTCTTTCCCGTCTTGAAAGCAGAATTGAAGATAATCATGAAAAATTGGTCTTGATCACGGGGAAACCCGAGGGATTCTTAACATCTAAATCTTGATGGCGGGTTTGATTGTTTGTTGCAAGGTTAAACCCGTAATGTAGGGGTACTGATAGAATTTACCGTTAACCCTTTTACTCCCATGAGTGACCAAGAAGGAATTTCTCCTCACAATATCAATACAATATCAACCAGATAAGTGATGAGAATAAAGAAAAATGTCAATTTTGGGATAAGTAGTTGATCCAATATTAAATTCTCTGAACTAACATTAGACGAATTGTACGGTTGAAAATAAGGAGAATTACAAATTTGATCTGGGAGTCAAAGGGTTAAAAATGCTAAGATGACTTTGTATCGCTCAATTCGGTCTGCAATCATATGAGTGATTAACAAAATCGGACGACCACGAAGCGGGAGTCCGATTTGTCAATCGCGAGTATATATGATTACAGTCGGAATTTGACGATACGAAGTCCCGTTACCAATTAATCATAACCGTTACAATTTCTGAAAACAACAAATACATTTAGGACAAATGTCTTTGGTGGAGACAATATCTTAAGTGAAAAGTTCCTCAATTTTGGAAATTCCACAGTTTTATATAGGACAAGTGGTTGTTGCTGTGGTTATTGTGATCAATTCTGTGGTTGGTGGATTTGGCTGAAAGGACCAAATATGATTGGCTGCTTCAACTATCTGATTACTGGTGTCCGATTGCAGCCAACTGTCGTCCGATTACACTGTCCGATTATAGTTGCACAGAATGATTACTAAAAAATAAAGCTGTTAATGTACCAATCACATTAGGAGGAAATCGTAATGGTTATGATTAAAGTTTGAAATGGGTCAAAAAGGAACTGTTACGTCTTCAAAGAAGATCTAAATTAATCGATTATTCGATTTTTATATATAAAGCTGCTATTTGTATATCTGTCGGTTGTCACTTTTCTTCCACGTCCATAAATATTGTTGCATAGATAACCATAATACGCAACCCTCTCCCCAGATTATCACTGAGAATAATTTTTTGCTTTACTCTTTCCAGTGTTTGATTCGAAATCTTTGATTTCCCTAATTGGTTCCAAATAACCCCAATTTCCCAGAATTCCTTGCGCCACGACTCCAGAACTGACTAATTTCAATGTTTAGTTTATACATAGTTTACAAATCACATATTGTAATTTAGAGCTCAACATACCGAAAGTAGAACGCATGAAGCTATGAAGAGGAGGTCTCCCGGCATAATCAGCAGACTTTCGTACAAGCAACTCTTTGACTGAAGCTGTATCCCCGGCAATTACAACTTTGAAGCTTCCAATTTTCACTGAGAACACTCTCCCGTACTTCTTCCTCAAGCTATGAGAAAACAGAACCAGAAACTGTGTCAAAGACACTTGCGCCGGTAGTCAGCACTTTGTCACGATACAGTCGACTTGGAGTCACTGCGCGGACGGACTAAACTGTACCAAGTCTACTGTGATGTTCTGCCACAAATGTGGGGAAGAATTTGTGAGCAATGAGCTATTCTGCCGTCGATGTGGAACTTAAAAGAGACCCGAACAAAAAATGTGTTACACAGTGCGTCAGATGAGGCATCTGCCATTGAACATTACTTTGGAAGAGGATTTCGTTATGATACTATTGCTCAGTTTTCAGAAAAAGAAGTGATGAAGGGCCTTCGATCTCACGTTTAATTATCTCCCAAACTTCGTGCTCTGAATGGACTTCATTTCTCCTTCTCAACCCAAACTCACGCAACCTTCTCCTTGAAGTCCTCAAGTTCACAGAAATACCATGGTATTTTTTCTAAAAACTGAACAATGCATCGACGGCAGAATAGCTCATTGCTCACAAATTCTTTTCCACATTTGTGGCAGAACATCTCAATACCCTTGTTACAGTTTAGTCCGTTCACGTAGTAACTCCAAGTCGACCTAATGCGACACGATGTGCTGTATTGTGACAAAGTGCTTACCACTGGTGCAAGTATCACGTGACAAAATATTTTTCTTGATTTGCTGGGATTTTCTGGATTTTGGAAAGATTCTTGGATTGTAAACCATTTTCGATTTTCATGAAAGTTATTTGTGGATCTATGAATTAAACCAGGATTTGAAATTGATTTCTCGATTTGGCAAACTTTTCAGAAGCGATTTGTCTAAAATATATCGATTCTAAATATTTTTTCGGATTTGCAAAATATTTTTGGATAGTCCCTTTTGCTTCCGTATTATAACGTTAGCTCGCACTTATAAGACGCCTGAACTGCAGGCTAGTATGATCAAAACCTTGTATTCTTATGCGAGCGAAGAAACGCTCGTGCCGAAGTACTGCTTAAAACTGATATTTGACCAATAATTTCATGCCCCACTGATGGTAAGAGGCCACAAGAATTCAAAGTTTTGACATAGACAACACTAGTGACTGTAAATGTATGAAAATCACTGTGAAAAGCGGTTTAAGAAATGAATGTGAAGCGATCTTCGCAGTAATGAACACTACTTAAGCCGTAGTGAAAATAAGGCCTGAAAAAAATACAGGCCTGTACGGGATTTGAACCCATGACCTCTGCGATAGCGGTGCATGCAGTGCTCTACCAACTGAACCAACCATTATGTTGGTTCGCAATAAACCCGTGAAGTGATGAATAAATGATTGTTAATAATTATATTAAAATCATATATGTGAACTACGATTTAAGAAATGAATATTTCGGGCCTTATTTTGAATACTGCTTTAGTAGAGTTATTACTGCGAAGATCGCTTCCAAATTTAAAGACGTCGCAGTTTAAAACATAAAACGATTTTGCTGAGCGTGCGAAATCTTTTTCGCCTAAGTTGGATAGATAGATAACTTAGGTTTATAAACATGTCTAAAATATGACAGTAATTGTAATGTTATTGAAAATTTTGCATGGTCATGTTAAAAAACAAAACCCTTGAACAAAAGATCTGATTGACAATGAATTTTGCATAATTAGCTTTCAGCTATTATTTGTAAGATTTCAATCGCTGATAGATATTTATTTTTTTCTTATTTCCTTTGCTTTTTATTATTCGGTTTGTCCAAAGTGTGGCGGATATTAACTTATTTTTACATCAAACATCCTCTCGAGAATGTTTTTAAGTGCGGGCTTTACTTTAACCACCATTTCGTGACTCGTTCCTCATACACACAGATGCGGAATGTTTATAATTCCATGACCTCTTTACATACTTTTGGAACGGCTTTTTGACCTCATCTCGGAGCAACTGTAGAATACGAGGCCCTTAGCTCCTACTAGTAGGATTCTTTAGAAACGACGAGTCACAAATCAAAGAGGCAAAAGAACTAGGTAAACGCAATGAGAAAAATAAGATATGAACACTGCCACGGTAAAGTGATGTTCACTTAGCAAACAGACCTTGCTGTAATCTTCATGAAACCATCTCCTGAATCAAAGCTCAGCAAATTGCCGATGAAAGGCAAGCTTGTCAAACGAGGTCCTGGCGGCATTTTCCTAAACTGATACAGCACAACCAGTTGATTTAAAATGAGCAAGAAAAAGATGACTAGGAAAATATTCCCGATCGTCAAGTATTCATCGAATGAAGCCATGTTGCAAAAGTGCTGAAATATGACGTAATCGTCGAAAAAGGACAAGGCCTGGAACTAGTAATACATCCCGCGTAATACAAATATGGCGCTAACTAAACTTCGTCTCGGCAATAAATTGCTTGAGATTTTAACGCTTTGTGAATCGTTTTAAACGAGCACCTAAAGTGCAAGTTCGCTTGGATTCAATTTTACGTTTGATACCGTCCTACTTGCTTGCAAAAATTGCGTGGATGCGAGGAAACTTTGGGATGACGACGAATTTTGAATGACCAGTAGTCATTGAGGAACTACAAGCAGTACGTTCCAAGATGTCTTGGGATGAGTTTTCGGTAGGTGATTGAAGCGATGCTGTTCTTTGTTTCCTTGAGCAAATTTAAAGGATAATTTTTCTATCATATGTTTGATTGTATAGTAGTTGGTCAGATTTTACAGATCGGGAGCTTCTGCTATACATGTACAAGTAAAATTATGGATGTATCGCTAACATACTGCATGTAGTTACTCCGACACTCTTTCTTCGTTAGTAAGATTTGAATAATACGATAAAAATCTTGTTAAGAAACCCCTATGAAAGGGGATACGTAGTCATGGAGATCATTTGATGAGTGTCAATAATGAGTGAGTTGTCAGGGAGTTGAGAGAAGTTTTTAAACACCACGTAAAAAGTTACATGGGATTTTAAAAAAATCTCTCCAATATAAAAGCTTAATTATTTTGTATTTGAATGGCTTCCATGACTATCTAGAATGTAAAGGGTTTAACTAAACTGCAAAATGGCCAAACTGAAATAGCTTTTTTCATTTTGTTCATTATTATTACTGTTATTGATTTATAGCATAATTCTTTTGCGATTTGCTGGCCTGGCTTTTGTTCTCATAATAGTATATGTTGTATGGGACATACACATGTAAATCTCTAGCTGCTATTATATTCAAATGTTTTATCAGCACCTGAATGAGGGAAGGTGAGCAAGTGATGAGGTATTGCTGCTTCCAGAAAGCCTATGAAAAAAAAAAAAAAATTAATAGAGTAACCCTCTCCCTCCCAAGATCTCATTAGTAATATTGTCCTTGCTGTTTGCCATGCAATTTTTATGATGTTAATTTTGGAGAATTTGTATTAGTTCAACTAATAATTCCCTGATTAGTATTTTTCTTAATTTAGTCATTTGTCTGCTTGCTATTGTCTTGATATTGTAGCAGAAATGCCATTGTGATTACTCCTAGGAATTAAAGTTTTTCTAAATTCATATCACAGTGTAGTTGTCCCCAACTTTGACAGATGTTCCGTTCTGTTCATATACTGTAGGTCCTTTACACTCATCAGAAGACCAAAAAAGCCAAGACTTGGCAGGTAAAAAATTGTACAAACCATCATGCTGTTAAAAAAAATATATAGATATCCAAAGCAGCTTCAGTTCAGATGGTTTTTATTTTTAAATAAAATGAGTTGTCCTTTTCCACTGACTTTTATAAGGCTCCATTTTGTTGTCTTTTTATTTTTTTTTTATTCTGACCTGTACTAGGATGGCTCTTTGAAGATTATAGGAACTAAGGTATGCTATAAACTTTTGGTCTTATTTTTGCTTTTTGCATGCTTTAAATTTGTCATTATTTATTGTCCATCATCCTTCAACTGTACATTTTTCACTCAAAAATAGAAGAAATTTGATTGCTTACCTATTTTGATTGTGAAGTGGGACAGAAGTGCAGAAACCAGAGAGAAAAGGGCATGAGTAAGGGGTGGGAATGGAAATGATTGTAGGCAAGAGAGAGAAACATTTATTTTTGCTTTTACAACATTAAAACCCATCCTATTATTAATTAATTGTTACTACTTTGTTGTTATCATTGTATTTCATTTTCCTTTTATTATTATTTATTTATTAGATACACTCATCATTAACTTTAAGGGTTGTACACATCTAACAACGTAGATACTCTCTGAATAAATATTGCGTCAAAGAGGACTGTCTAGTAAGCCCCACTTTATCAATCACCGTAATGGTTTTTTTTAATTTTATTTTATTTTAACTGTTTATCATAGTGTCTTTTATTTGATATCCAGGCAATACTTTATGACGAGGAGTCCAAAACTCTGGATTCTCTTTTTGTACAAGTAGCACAGGTCAGTTTTGGTATCTTGATGAAGATTGTGTCTTGTATTTGCATTCCACTCAGTCTTTCAGAAGGCTGACCAAAGTGTGACACATTAGCAAACTCTAACTGGTAATGACTGAATTGTTTTGGATGGTTAAGTTCTTGTTCTAATGAAAAAAATACATACTGTATTCATGTTCACTAAAGCACAATCCTGTTAACCTTTAACCCCCAGAAGTGATTAACATGTAACTTCTCCCTATCGCATCCATACAATATACAGTAAACAGGTAGTGAGAATACTCAAACTCATCAGGTACAATTTATTACCTTGATTGAACACCTAATTCTCATAATCAATTTACGAGGGCATGTGTAGTAGCTAGAGAGGAGAATCAACAATCAGATCTTGGGAGTTAAAGGGTTAAGTCCAAGGCCATATTTTCTCACAAAAAGACTGAATAATGTTAACTTGAAATGAAAGTAGGGCATGGATATTGTAAATTTTTTGTGTCTGCCATTACTCAATGTAAAAACAGGTGAATCCTGGAGCAGAGTTGGAAAGTGACCGATACCTGATAACTGTAGAAGAAAAACTGCAGCATTCAGTTGACAGCAGCCAGGAAGCTGCTAAAAAATTTCAGGAAGAGAGACAAGAGTCGAACAGTGTTGTCCACCAACCAGGCAAGAGGAAAAGACAGGTATTGAATATGATCCATCTAAACAGTCTGCTTTTATTATCTTTATGAATGTGACCATGATAGGAAGAAAAGCATTACATTTTTGTTTCACACAAGAGTAAGTTGCATTCCTAGGAGATATGGTAACCTGGTTCTGGTTGCTTGAAGGGCAAATTGTGTTATCCTCATGATAAACCTCTCTCTGGTGGATAGTGCTGCATGTATTGCTACACTTATCTGCTGGAAAACCATTTATCTGTTGGAAGGTGTTATCTGCCCCTTCGAACAACTGAGCACTGGCAGTAAGTACATGGCTCTTGGGACCAAGCATTGACTTGGCTTGAGTCTTGGCCAGTCAATGTGTTGTACTATTGTGCAAAAGGCTTGACTTTATCAGCAGAGTGTCAGGGAAACCTGGTAAAATGCTGAGGGTAAACCTGAATTGGACAGGCCTATCACTCAGTGGGAAGCAGCATTTAATATCACTAGTTGCATCCTAGTCATGTAAGCTTTGGTTTAGGAAGAAAGTGTGGGAGGATGGGCACTTTTATTTCACTCAACATTCTCTACTCTATGAATGGGCATTTGTCATCACAAGTTTGGTGTTTTTGTTCACTCCAGAGTTTCCAGCCACCATTTGGTAATCAAACCAATCAATCTCGTCCTACTGAGCCAGACATGAAAAAGGTAAAGACACATTATTGTACATTAACTTTCTTCCCATTCACACCAGCATAACAGGTTTAGTTGACTGAAAAACTGAATTTTCTATAAGAATTAAGTAGTCACTAGCTTGTATTTTCAATGTATTGAAAATACAAGTTATTTATGTAGGTGCTAAATTGGAAGTCGACAAAGATCGCTTTAAGTAGCTTCTATGAAGAAAACAAATTTAAACTGTGTTTCACGAAAACGGTTTGAAACATGTTTAAGCTTTGGTTTGAATGGGTGTAAGCTATCTTCCTGCTAGAGCTCATTTATTCAAGAGCCCTGCTTCACGAGACGAACTAAGCTGATAAGAGTGACTACAAGTTTCGACACGCGGTCTCAAACCAAAGATTTAAATCAATCAGTCAATCATTCAAAACGGTACTGACCTGGTAGTAAATTCGATATTGCAACAGTAGGATCTGAATGTAATCAGGGAAGTTAAATATTTTATACAAAATTTGCCATTTCTTTTTTAGTTGGCTTTTATTAGTTAATTAATGAATTATTTAATGTTAAATGTGGCTGTTTTTTTCTAAACAGCGGCTAAAATTTGTTACATAACGGCCCACAATATTTGATAGCAGGCAAAATTTTTTTTGACCGCGGTTTTTTGTTTACTCGTCTTTCACCTATTTCCTATTTGATGTTTTCTTTGCCCATGAAGGCAGTTTCCTACTTATTCAGATACCGCATTTTAACTGTTTCTCTACGAAATAACCCTACATTTCTCTTTCAGCCAAGAGAGGAAAATCCAATCCCGCGTCATAATAGGTTCACCATGAACAGACCTCCGAGTAAAATGGAATTTTTCAACATGTACAGTTCTAATTCAAACAAACGAGAACAACATCTACAAGCCATCCAAAGAGAAGAACGGCAGCATGGGATGCAAACAGTTCTTCAGGCGTCAAACAAAGAACAAAAATCTTTCTTAGGGATAGAAGAACAACACGATCAAAGAGTTCCTACCAATATGGCAGCTCGGAGACAACGTACTGGAAAAGAGAATTCACGCATCTTCAGAGGAACCACAAGTGGTAACCTTCACTTACAAACTCAAAATGAGCGCGTTCGGGACAGTAAACGAAATGCTACCCAGATTCTCGCCCTCTTTTCATCCTGTAAGGATATCCCTCCACCAAAAATGCCGTTCCGTAAAGAAAACGCACAGACGAATGATGTAAATATTGTGAGGGGTATTACACTTAGCGAGCGGAATGATGGTAAAGGTGATGCGATACGTGATATGGACGATTTAGAAAACTATTCCCAGGCAAAAAGAATTTCTACCTTTTCAGATGTGCCGCAGACAAAATTAGACAATGATTCTTCCGAGGGAGAATTGGGATGGAACCAAGATTTTAGTGACTCGTTTGATTTGTCGCCAGATTCTTTCGCGGCTTGTTCGGATGAGAGGAAAGCGGGAGCTGCTGTCAGTGATCTCTTTGATTTTAATGGAGGAGTTACAAGCTGCGAAACTGGCTCACAAGAGCCTGTGTCGAGCAAACAACATTGCGCTTCAGTAAGGAGAACTGAGGTTTGGTGTGAGAATGATTCTGAGTCCATCTCACCCGTTGTGAGACTCCTCAATGATGGAGAAAGAGATGTCATAGGAGATGAATACTGCATTGCCGTTGGTTTGAAAGGAAGAAGCGCTGAGTATTGTGACTTGTTAGGGGAGGAACATCAAGAGAGCTGTGGAAATTTACAGAGCCCTAATGAAGCTGCCATACACAATCCGTGTTCTGTATTACACTCGTCCCAATCTCCAAGTCTCTTTTCAACCTGTCCATCAGATCCTCACGAGTCTGGAGACGAGAAGATGGATACTTCAAATTGTGCTGAAGGAAGATTGGATTTTCTGAAGGGCATCCACCAAAGACACGGTTTTTTAGAGGAGAAGTCTTCTTCAGAAAGACGTTCGCACAATTCAGGATCTTGTATGAACTCAAATCAGTTTTCCAACCATCCTGGGTCTTTGTTTGCATATGCTGCTCTGCAAACTGATCAAGACGACAACCTCAGAATTCCATCCTTCTCAAACTTGCACAAAAGGGAGATATTACGGCGTGTAGAGCGATGCAACCAGATATTCGGACAAAAAAGTATAGGTGATCGAGAGGAGAATTTCATGGAGCGCCTTGAGGCATCACCCGAATTCTACCCAGCAGAAATTATGAAAACGAATGACTGGAACCTTGCACCTGAAACGCCAACTAAAATTATTCTTAACAATAGCCGAACGGTGAGTTCCTTTAACCCTTTAACCGCTGAGAGTGACTGGCATCTAATTTCTCCTCACAATATCACCCATGAATCACACATTAAGGTCATGAGAACAAAGGAATTGATCACCAACGAAAGAAGCTCTTTATAATTAAACAAATTCTTCTTGTTAGCGCCTTAGGAAATGTATAGAGAACAGTATGGAAAATATGCGGATCAATATCAGTATCTGAGCAACTGTCCACCTACCCCTCCCCTAACCCAACATTAACCCTAACTTGTAGTCAATTGACTGTTGTTGAATTAGGGGAGGGGTAGGTGGGCAGTTGCCCAGATACTGATATTAGGGTGTAAAGGGTTAATGATAATAACATTCACCTCAGATAAAATAATATTTTAAGTGGAGGTGTCATTTCGATACTTGCTCTGCATATTTGGTGGGAAGAGCCACTCACCGAGAAATGCAAGTTCTTGGTCGCAGGACAAATTATGGGGGTAGGGGGTGGGGGTGGAATGGGAGGGACCTCATGGTACGTGAATTTCTTCGATCACCTTTAGCTTGCAGAAGTATTTATGGAAAAATGTTTTTTACTAGTGTTTGCTCTCGTTAAGGAAAGTAAACAAGGTCAAGACAAGATAATTTTACTCTTGATTGTCATTCTCCACCCCTCCCCCCTTTCCGTTTTTTTTTCTTTTCGAATTTCTGCTAGTATTTTTTTTTTATTTTTATTAAGTGTTGTAAAACCAAAAACAAAAATAACCAATCAGAGAAAAGGAAAATATCACATGGGGCCGATGAGAACTCAACGTAAAATCAAGAAAACCGCCTGAGGTGCGGGAAAACGCGGGCAACCGAGTCGCGACTAGTTTTGAATCTGATTGTTTGAGGGAGTCCTGCGAGGTTATGGAACAATGACGGAGCGGAGTAAAGCAAAACCAAAGCAATACTGAATCACATTTGACATTCAATTGAAAGTTTTTTTGTGTAACATTATCGATACTGTGTTTGACTTTCGTAAGGTCACTGGAGGAGATGGTCACTCGTGGAAAGGTTCAGTGGTAAGCGACACTGCAAAGAGAGTGTCGGTGCAAAGACAAGATCTCTACAGTCAGCCAAGAAATGGTAAATGGAAGTTTGATTTTTCACGGCACGCTCATTTGCCACGCGTTTACTTTGCCAACGATCTCAGAAGACCTTAAAACACTGGCCAGCGGTTTGTGCCGTAGTTTTCAGTCTCGATACAAGCTGGTGTCACTTATAGTCTTTTACACTGAAGGAACAGGAACAGGGTAGCACAGAGTTAAGTTTGCTAATTTTGATTGTTTTTCCTCCAGGGGAGAAAAGAGCTTCTACTTCAGATTTCAACCGGATTGACTCGATTCCGTCTGTTGACCCAGTGCCTCGACTGACTACTCAAGGATTTGACACAAGTGAAAGTATTGCATTTTCTTCCATGGAGGGATTTGTAGGGATCACTCCGAAACTACAAAAATTACCTGAATCTATTCAACGTGTTCCTCAACTGGTATGGATTATTTTACTTCAAGTTTGATTATTAAGCTTATTTGTTTGCAAGATTGCGGTAGAAAAATTGAATACTCTCACACTCTTGAATCGGATCAATAGTTTTAAAAACAGTGTTCTCTTCTGGCAATGAAACGAATGCTAGATTTAAACTAATAATAACGGGAGAGATCAGTGCATAGATGACAGATTGAGCAAATCTTGCCGAAGGGTCGTGCAGGAAGTAGAGGGACTCTGAAACCCTACAATTATCGCATGAATCTATCTTGCTCATTGATTGTCGATACATGCCATTGCGTTGCGCGTCTCATGAAATCCTAACAACTTCATGGTGTAACAATGCTTGGAAACCGATGTAACAAGACACGAGTTGCTGAGTGTCATTTTCTTTCGCCCATCGCCAATAGTGTGAAGCCCTAATGATTTCTTCTCGAAGAAAACGCTATGTGTGTATCGACGGTCAGTTATCAAGATCGAGCCATGCTACAACTTTACAAGAAAGTTACAATTAAAGAAGAATTTCCTGTTTCCTGACGGTGTTCGTTTTCACTTTACAGCCAAGACGAAAATGTCCATTTATTACCATGCCGCCTAGTGATCACAGTCCGCCGCGGACGGTTTTTCCAAGCACGAATGAATACCTTCATACAATGACTGAGCCAATTTTAACGGAATTTCCTGAAGTTTGTCGCCAAACAACTAAACCAGGTGGTACACGCGGACAAGCACCACACCAGGGGGGGAAAGGGCAACCGGACGATATGAACTTGGAAAACTTTCCCGAGAAAAGACGAGATACAACGCATTCTGTAAAACTTGGCTCTTGTCGACGTATAGGTTTAAGGAGGGTGGGGTTAGGATCTTCATGTGACACCTCAAGTGGTCAAGATTTGTTGTCTCAGGCAAGAACACCACCAAGTCAGACTAAGGAGCGATTCAGACCTCCTACTACACCAGTTTTTATTGCTAAAAGTTCATCTGGAGACGTAAGTGGGGCCTAATGACATTGAAGAAATATTTAAAGGGACTCGCACTGTGGAGAAAAAGGGGAAAAATATTATAGTATGCTGATCAGAGAGAGGGTTGGTTAAGGTATTTGTTACTGTTGTTATTGTCGTTGTTGTGCCCTAAGGTAATTGTACATTGTCATCTCTCGAAATAGCGCAACATGGCTGGTGAATTGTCTTTTCCATCATCCGAACATTGTAATGGTAGTGTCACGCCGACTCGACATGTGACTGTCCCTGTTACATTCGACAATGTCACGCAGTATAAGCAAGTCTTCAAAGCGGCTTTGAGAGGTAACGGGACACCTTTGTGATTTCACTTGTAATTAGTCATGGTACAGAATGAATAACTTTAGAAAGAGAGAGACCATATATGCAGGATTTTGTGTGATTCTTTGTTTTTCTCATTAAAATAGATAGATTCAATATAATCGAACCTCGTGCCGATCATGTATGTTTTATTTATGTACGTGACTGAAAGTCAGGGTGCATTCGAACTTCGTTTATCACCGCACCAGCAGAGACTCTTGCCTACTGCGTTTTGCACATGAAAAAATAAACAAAGGAAAAAGTTAACTGGAAAAAAGCTGCAACTGTAGAAAAAGCAACAAACAAGCAAACGAAAATATATAGTTACAGGTACACATCTCATTCATATGAGGTTTGTTAATTAGTTTTGAATAACTAATAAAATTATTATTTTGATAAACAAATAGAGCACCTGAACATAGTTTTGTTTGAGCTGGCCCGAACTTACCACACCGCTCTTCAGAAGATTGATATATCAGGATATGACACCGCTCAGCAAGGTATGGTATAGTGTATCATGTGCACAATCTCTTAACTTGATGATTTTATCACAATGATAAAGCTAGAGGTAAATTGTTCTGTATACAATTCAATCAGTGCGGCAATTTTCGTAGGCTTTGTGACAATAGGCATTGTTTGGCAGTAACCTCGTTTCAGTGTCAACTTAGGGGAGGGGCATTTGCAGAACGAGGCAAGTTTTGATGTAACACCTGGTAACACATATCGAACAAGACTTGGCTTCTTGGGCCGTGTGATTTCTTCGTAGCTAAACAGGCTTGTTCGAATCTCTTTTTGGTTGAAGGTGGCATAGTCAGGAAAGCTTGTTTATTTTCCCTTTCTATTTCCCCACCTTTCAAAGCTGAATCTGGAGGAGAGGCGATAGGCAGGCTATGAATATGTTTGACATTCATTGACACTAAATTTTTCTATTTATTTACTCTCTTCCGTACTTTACAGGAAGTCGAGAAAACTCAGATGGCCCCAGTTGTCATCATGGTAACATTCTTGCATACATTCCTTTAATTTGTAATTCAACTTCTACTCTTTTCATAAGTGAACTTTAAAATAACAAAGGCGTTTCTCGGAGTTGATGACCAAAAGATAAAAAATAAACTATCATTTAGATTAATACGATTGTTTTATACTGGATTCTCTGCAGTCTCGGAAAACCAAAATAAAAGTGATTAGAAGGGCTAATCAGGTGAACCTTGAACGGTTAATTAGAATCATAACAAATTGCCGTAAATACCTGCATTATAATCAACGCCATGCATTGTAAAACATAGGTGTGATGATATAAGGTCGTCTAAGATTGGTGCTCTTGAATACAGATCTACTACGCTTGTTTCTAGTTTAGGAGGATTGAATACCCAATGCAGTTTCTCCTTTGAAGAATTTTGCGACTAAAAATCGGAATGCGTTCCTTCATGTACACATAAATGCTCTAGGTGAAAAATGGGGAACCGAAAAAACGAAAAACCGACCTAGCCAAAACGTCGCCTTCTTCCACTTTTTAATGAATCCAAGAGAGTCAGAGCCAAGGTGAACACTTTGGGTAAAAATTTAAGACCGTTCAACTTAGCAAAAGTTTTAATCACTGTCATTTGTTTTGGCACAATTAAGGCCAAGCACGTTTGAGAGCTGTAAAGAAAGACGGTCCAAATAAGGTCAGTAACCTTTCCGTGTACTATGACAAGTCGCTAGGTTGTGACTATTGTTGCCCGGCTCACTTAATCGGAACTGACCAATCCGATCACAGAATACAATCTTTTAATTTCATCTAAAGTCCTTAGCAATGAGTGGTACAGAGGTTCATAGGACTAGTTTCTCATGATATGATTGGTTAATTTTGTATAGGTGACCACTATTACAGACATTGTGCCAAAATTCCCGCCTGTTTCTTCCCAGCCTTCTTTTTTTTTCCATGCTTGAGTTCTATCTAGCTTTCATCCGCGGTTTTTTTGAACCGTCGCTCTTCTTTAGTCCTTGGTCTAGAGAATTTATTTGTTTGGCCGATCCTGGATATAGACGTGGTATCATAGTCTACATCTGTCTTTCTTCCCAATTTTTTTCTCTTTAATCCTTGGTCGAGGGAATTTTGGATATTGTTACATGCAGGTTGTCACTTCTATTGTTTTCATATACTTTTTACGCAGGGGCGTCTATTTTACACCTGCCCAGGAACAGGGCAAGCACAGTGCAAGGTGAAAAAATAATCAATTTACCAAAGTTGTGTTGTTCTTCGCAGCCGGGATGTCACGTGACTCGCAATGTGTGAAATCGCGAGGAGTGTCAGCTGAAAATTACTCCAATCAGAATATGCTTTGGCAGGACAGAGTTTCTAAAATGGACTCTTTTTGATATAAGACAGAAGTAAATTAATTCTTCTTGCATCCCTGCAAGCTTTCAGAAATATCCTTAGACCAGATAATACCTCTTGGATAACTGTCGGTCTGATATTATTTATAGTGGATGATTAACAACGTTCAACAACGGGATACGAGTGTGAAGTGCCCAGAATGAGTGCAAGTTATGAGGCAAAACATAATTGATACCAGGTTTATTTTCAGGAAATGAAGGCTCATGTGCCTTTAAGTTTCACTTTTTTCCACCATTACATTCATGCGACGTTTCGTGCAAGTGAGGCAAATTGGGAAGCCGTTGCTTTACGTTTGCAAGGATCTCAATAATAACTAAACTCAGGGCAGGTAGTTTGGTGCACACGTTAACAAGGGGGCTGTAGGAGGACGAGGTGTGTTTGTGTTGGGGGAAATATTATGTGCGCTTATCATTTTAAAATTTTTCAGTTTTTTAAGTGGGCCGACGAATACCAATCCAGCAAGTCAGCATCAGAGGGAACGGACCGAAGGTCTTCAAATAAGATCATACTGTCATCCGCTGACAGCTTAATGTCTTTCTTCAGAAGTCATGTAAGTCAGCCAAATTCATCAACAAAGAGAAATAGACTTGAACTGTTATTATTACTAGAATGAAGAAGACTAGGACACACACAAAAAGTAAAGAATCATAGTACTAATGACAAAAATTCACAAGTACAACACGATTGTAATTTTAAGTTAAGCTATATATATTTTACTTAATGATCTGTTTCTTCCTTAGAATGTTTCGTTTTATGGTGAGTGCCATCTATTAAGGAAACAATCAGATGCTGGGAAAGGAAGATTTGGCGCAGCAAAGGCTAAGGTAACGCCCTAACGTAACACACCCGTCAGCGTTATTGGCTTAGTGAAAATTAAGTGAGGAAAAATTGTATAGTGTGTCTACATTGTGTCCTTTTTGATATTTTCTAGAAATGGGGAAGGCTAAAATGCGATGAAGCTACTGCTGGGAAGAAAAAGCTCTATCTGGAACTCTCGCGAAAAGATCATTCTTCTACTTATTCAAAAGGTGAGCTTACTTACTAACAACCCTCACTCTGCATGTTTGGGCGCCAGCCGTTAGTTTCAAGGAAGCTGTTATTTAAGCTGCAACCACAAAAACGAAAAAAACAAAACCCAACGTAACCTGCGTGAAGGGTTCACAGCCGCCTGTAACCACGTTGAGAGTAGTTTAGATTTTCCATCCGATTGTTTTATTTCTTTGGACAATCGTATAGCTGGAAGTTTTAAGGGCATACCGATGCGATTGCCTCTAGATTTTAAAAATGATTTCTTAATTTATACTCTCTTGTTAAAATAATATGGTCAATTTTCCTTGCAGATGACATCTGGATCATTTCAAAGACTTTGTCTTTTAATCCAGATTCGACATTTATAGCGAGCAGTGTTTATTATGGACCATCGTCCGGCGGAGAGCTAGAATTATCACCAATCAGGTCAGTGGCAATTAAACTGCTTGTCGTTCGCTCGCCTCCATTGTAGGAAGGCCTGTAACAGTTCATAACACTGCTTACATACAGTTTCACATTAAAAAAGTCACCACGTTTTGTTTTTGCACTTATAGATTGACTTATTGATTGTGTGTGGCAAACATTCGTATGTTCACTATACTAATTAGAAATTTATTTAGCGTTTTATTTTTTTAAGCGTCTCTGTTGACTTGAATCTTGCTTTTCGGTGTTCCTAAAACGCGCATGCTGTAAGATAACTTTGTTATTTTCGTTTCAGTGGATATTCTCCCTCAAACTGGCAAAGTGGAGGTCAGTTTTTTTGCGTTTTTGTTTGTTTGTATGTTTTGTGCAAAATAGTTATAGTTAGCTGCAAACTAACAAAACAAAGGTTATTTGGAAGGGAGTAAACTAAAGATATCGGGGTGTCGTTCAAAAGTGTCTAGACGGATAAAATAGTTTATGGCGGATTGTGTTATAATAATAATAATAATAATAATAATAATAATTATAATAGTAATAATTATTATTATTATTATAAAATGATAATAGTAATAATATTTATACAGGATAACCTCGTCAGTGCAATAAGCAGTGGTTTCAAAGGAGGTCCTGTCAATCATTTATGATTTAGTTTTAAGAATTATTACTTCAAATCGCGTTATGTCAAAGAGGTCTCTTAAAGAGAAAAGCACATCCCTGCTTGTGTCTTAAAAGCAGGGAGGCGATGTTCGACATGTTTAATATAAATGGATCTTTTCCCTGAACAGAGACCGTTCATGCCTTGATGGCCTGCAATGCTGGTACAGAACTGACTTGTATTAGTAACATTGACGAACATGTTAAGATGCAGAACGTGCCAGTGTTACCGTACCTTCTGCAAAGGTAGGAACTCGTTACTAGTGTCCGCTTTCTTCAATGAAAAGATCCTATTTGTTTGGAAATGTGATAATATATAATCTCATGAACAAATAGATTCGATGTTACTCTGGTTCTATTGAGTAGTAGATTACAGATGACGTCAAAATGTGGTAAGAAGTGAAAAAGTGGCACTTGAGGCGAAGCCGAGAATGTTACGAGAATATTATTATATATTATTACTAAAGATACGTTAGGTCTGTCTAAGCTAGTTTATTCTTTTACTATAATTGTTAAAGAAGCTCCGTCACAGGTCATATAACGTGAAAGATTTACCCTAAATTTTTTAATGTGGTCATTATTCTTTACCCGAGTGTTCTACTCATTTCGGCGTTTTTCTATCGTACTAAACTAAGGGGTTTTCCCCTTGAAAGGTTGAGGTGTTTCTTTTTTTTCTTGTTGTAGAAACTTCATCAGAGTACGCGACGTAGAATCTCTCCTTTGTGACGAGATATCCAAACTTCGGTCACGGTTTTGATTAATTGAATTCTTCTAACCAAGCGAAATTATTTTTATTCAAGAGGGTGAATCAAGGCACGAATTTGTTAACCGCGCGAATCACCTATGATGTAGACAAGTAAAGATCTCGCGATAAACACAAAACTTTACACGATGGAATTGGTTGGCAATTTTTTTCCTAAACCCTTGGTATTTAATTTTGTTTGAGCTGGCAATTTGGGTTCTCGCATTAAACGAAAATGACGACCCCTTCGTCCAGGTACTTTATTTCTGTCTTAGAAAGAAAAAGAGAGGGCTCACATACATATTGACTTTATGCTTTTCTATCAGAGGACTGACGGGGCAACAAAGCATCAGATGCGCATCAAGAGCAGCTTCTTTCGTTCCGCCAATTCGTACAGGTTCCAGTGGTCCACTCAACCTTCCTCGTGAAGTAACGGTAGGCTAACGTTGTCTCCTTGTGACAGATTTATTTTGCTTCTAATCCTGATGCCTTGAGGACTCTGCGCTAGAAATGTAAAGCTCAACATTAATTTGGGTGTCTGGAGAGGCTGCGGGAACGAGACTGCCAACGGCTCAAGTAAAATAGAAATCAGTGTTAAAACTTCTCAGTCAGTTGTCCTCCCCCCTCCCCCTCTCCGTCCCCTTCCCCCTTCCCCCTTCCCCCTTGTCCCCCGTCCCCTCTCCCCTCTCCTGCTTCTTTAAATTGGCCTCTTTCTCGTTATTTTCTCTTGAAGTCTTGGTTAGTTATGGAAACGACAATTTTTTAAAACCCCGCTGAAGTGAAGTAGGTGAATACGAAATGAAGATCTTTTTACGTTAATTGTAACTGTCTTGAACGACTGAGAGAGACTGCAAAAAATTTTGGAGGCTGCAAAGTTAATATTTCGAAAATTCTATCCATCACACTCAATTCTTCCACGCCCAAAGGCAGAAAATAGTTAAATAAAACACAAACCAACATACAAACTAAATGTAGATAATACCAACACTTAGCACTTATGGATTTATGTGGACGTTGTAACAACAATTTTATTTTTGCTTCAGGAAAGCATTGCTGAAGAAATGATAGCTCGTTTTGGCTTGAACAAGGTTTGTTGTAAATATTAATATACAGTTGAGTTCCTTAGTATTTGTAGTAACTCTTGCGAGTAAGTTAACATTTGTGTAATTATCCTTCTGCAGGATCAAGCCGCCGCTCTGCTGTCCTGTGCACTTATGTTCTCATCGGAATCGGAAAGGTCTTCAGCACCAGTCTGTTTGATACATGGTAAGATTCTGTATTCAAAAACTAGAGAACACTACTTTAGCAAAAAGTAAAATCAATTTTTAATAACAAACAGAGCTTATGAGATCATCTATCGATTAGTATATTTCCGAGGTATTACGCATATGCTGACTATTTTTCGCAAATAGTTATTTTCAGGTCACGTGATGGTTTCTTAGCCAATGAAAATAAGCCAAAAAATAATCGAATGATGACCATATTTAAGTTTAGTTATTGACATCGATCATGCTTGTTTTACAGTATAATTATGGTACCGAAACAAGATAGTGAAGGTTTGTTTGTGTTAAAACGGCGGTCTCTTCTTTCTCTTAGGTGTTTTTGGAGCGGGAAAAAGTTTTCTGCTTGCAGTCGTGGTTCTCTACCTGGTGGAATTGTTCAAAGCCAACGATTCTTTCAATCAACAAAGGTAACATCACCTTTGTGTCAGTTCAAACTTCTATATGCTTTAAATGTCAAATATACCAACTAACCTGACTTAAAGTAAGACCAAGGGTTATCTCCCGGAGATTTCCTTGAAGTTTGCTACTTATTCGTGTACCCTCCAATTTATAATCTCACCGACACTTTCGTATCTATACTTATGTTTTTCATTTTTGCTTCCCAGTGACAACGTGTCTTCATGGAAGATTTTGGTATCCTCCACAACAAATGTAGCGGTGGATCGCATCTTGTTAGGGTAAAATCTGATGATTAAAAAATCGGATTAGTGTTAGTATCTGAGCAACTTCACACCCACCCCTCTCCTAACCTAACAACAGTCGACTGATAAAAAGTTAGGGGAGGGGTAGGTGGGTAGTTGCTCGCATACTGACATTGCTCCAGAAAAAAGATTATAATCTAAAATAAGCTGATTGACAGATTTTCCTCATCGTCATTTTTTTTGTTTGTTTTCACGCTGAGATTACCGGAATGGTGATGGCTTCAGAAATCTTTATTTATTCCCTTTTAGATTGCTTGACCTTGGCTTTGAAGAATTCGTTCGTGTGGGAAGCATTAGAAAGATCGCTAAGCCAGTGTTGCCGTACAGTGTGCATAGTACAGGAAGTGATAGCCAAGAGTTAAAAGAACTACAGTCACTTCTGAAGACTGAGCTTACCCCGTCGGAGAGAACGTAAGCACATGTTATTGCATAGAGAATGAAATATAACCGAAACCTACGTTCACTTCTGTAGAGTGCTTTATTTGACTTTCTCTCGGTCATTGTTTTCAAGAGGAACAGGTTACTGAACCGCCTTCTTGTTTGACTTTGTTGTGACATTTTTCTCAATGTGTGTAAGTTGTGGATGTTTTCTTATTTTAGCCACGTGAGGAAAGGTATTGAACAACACAAGCTGGGAGAAAATAAACGAGTGAGTAGAAAAGTAAACAGGCAAACGAACAAACGAACCACCGAACAAAAAAATTGTTTCTGTTTTTCTCTATCACGGGAAAGAAAAATGGTGTTTGCTGTTTGTCCGTATTTTGACATGTTTTTTGCTAAGGTTGGTTTGCAGCTTTTAAATCTCAGTAACAGTTTTATACTCTCTCAATCGAGAAAACAGCAGTAGATGAATTTTACGGTAGGTAATGAGTTTAAGTGCAGTCCTTTCTTGGGTAATTCTCAATGTCCATAAATTTCTAATTTTTTTAATTGTAAAATGAATGGCATGACGTTTTTTATCTTCCAATTTTTGTTCAGAATTATGAAAGAAAACTTCGGCCGTCGCCTTTTCTTATTTGCTCAGTCTGTTGTTTTACCTGTAAAACGTCAACAAGATAATTTACCGCTCACTCATGCTCCACCTGCAATGTCAACGCACTTGTCTCGACGCTTAGTAGGTTAGGCAGTTAAGAAAATCTCCAACAGTTAACAATTTCTGTACATTTAAAACCGATAGTAATCATTACCAAATGGTAATTGATTTTTATGGGCTTAGGGGTCGTTTTTCCTTTCTTTTTTCCGTCTGGTCGAGACAGCCTGTTAACCTTTATTTTCCCAGAAACCATTTGGATGGAAAGTTTTAAATCAGTTGTATTTGTTTATTTTGACATGAAGTGCTAGAGTACAGTTTCGAGTTAAAACAAACTTTTACATTATCAAATTGAGGATTTGTGGTACTTGGTTACAGACTTCTTGCACGAAATAAAGAGAAAATTTATTCTTGCCCCGCACAGTTCATGACTCAGTACGAATAAATTCACTCAGTTTTCCTACCACAAACACACAGCAATGTGAAGGTGAAAAAACTATCTTTTCATTAAAGAGCGGAGATTATGCTTGAATATTTGCAAGGCTGACTTGCCGGCTGTTTTCCGCGCTAACTCTAACGCGAAGTCCAAACAAGCACGGGAGAGACATTTTAAAGCCGTTTCTGTAATTAGAACTTTGAAATGCGTACAACACAGGATTCAGGGAAGAGCTCAGGTACATTAGAAGCTTGACAACCTCGAAGCCGTTCGAAAGTGCGTTTTTTCCGTCATCACTGAGCTTATCCGCGTAATTCGACGCTAGAATCATCATGTACAAACCAAACGGGAGAAAACATGTATAAAACACAACTGTTACTATGATCAGAAGTTTCACGATCTTCCTCTTTGATTGGAGATCTCTGGGATCAAAGGTCCTTGCGCTGTTCTCATTGTTAAAATGAAGTGCGTTGATGACTAACGCGTAGCAAAAACTGATGATAATGATTGGGAAAAAAATGTTCACCGTGATAATAACGACCACGGCGTCTCGCATGGAACGGGCCGTGTCGTTGCTCGTCCACGGACTTTCACAACTGCATGTGACTTCATTAAACGTCGTTTCAATGAACGCTGGGATCTGTGCGACGCTCGCCGCTACCCATGTTGCTGCTAATGCGTAGACCACGTTATTTTCATTTATCCATGGCGGTTGAAATGGCTTGACGAGCGAATGATAGCGCTCGATTGCCAACAAACTCAACGTATACACGGATACCGCCAAAGTAATAGCCGCCATGTTGCTAGCGGTCACAAACTTGCACAACCACTTCCCCATTTCTTCCGAAGGGTGTGCGTCCACGATATCGAAATAACGCTTTGGAAGAGACCAGATTAGTGAGAGAATATCAGACACTGCTATATTGACCAACATAATGTTCGTAGTGGTTCGCATGTGACGGTTCTGTCGGACGACATTGATCACCAAAGCATTCCCAGTGATTCCCAGTATTGCTATAACGCTATAGAAGACAGCCAAAGCTACCTCTACTTCTTTATCATTTCCGAGAAAACAGAAGCGAGGTTCTACGGTGGAGTTGGAGTTATCAGCCATGGGGTCAAACTTCACAACACACTTGAGGCTTCGTTGAATTTGAATAAAGCTGTGTAAGTAACAAAGATGACCTACATCTTTTTCTGTTTACACTTCGAAGACGCATTTAACTTAAACTAAAGTTTGATTTGTTTGATTAAACAAAATTTTCCTGGCCATGTTTTGAACGTTTTAGCTTAGGTTAGCTTGTCAATACTTTGAAGGGAAGCTAGTTAAAAACTGCTCTAACCAACAAAATCATGCATTTTAGATTGAATTTTTTTTTAAATCAAAACGTAATAATTGCCAAAAATATGATTTGTTGTTTCTGATTACTTCACTTATCACCGACGCTTAAACATACATATGTATTATGCTTCAAAGTTAAGAAGATTAGAAATACAATTGCATGATTTAACTCAAATAAATTTGGAAAGTTGATTTGTTTTTCGACTTTTGTTTTTCTTCATATTTGTACTTTATGAAGACTTTTACAATCTTTGTTGTGAAGTCCTTACCTATATTCCTCTAATATTCTATCTAAGAGGGTCTTAAAAGCTGATAGTTGTATGTTTTCCCCGTCCCTTTCGCGTCTGCTCTCTTTCCGCATATTGTGCAATAAAATAAAAATTATCTGATTACATCTGAGTACAATCGATTTACTTTCGCCTGAACTGCTTCCTGACTTCATTCATATTATTCTCATGAATTTGAATATAGATCGCACGATAACTGGGATTATTGCTCCCTTTGTTTATTCACCTTTGTGTTGAGAGTACTCTGTGAAACGGCGGAATATTTTTTCCCTTAATTCAGCTGTAAGGCAACAGCAAACCGAGAAGCCAACTTACCTATCTCTTTCTTTCCTACATGAAGTGATCTGGTGTATTCCTTCTGAGCTTCATGTAGAGCTAATCCGTCCTACACCGTGGAGGGTAGCCAAGAGTGTGATTCTGATCCCGTTTCACGTACGAATTCTAGAACAATTCACGCGTCACGTGTACTGAAAATAATTTTCCACGGGTCACGAATTCTAAAGTAGACTTTCAAATCTTATCGTACCTCGCCTTTCTGTAAAATTCACGCGTCACGTGTTAATTTTTTGAGTTCGATCACGCGCTACGAATTTATTTTGTGTTTAATCACGCGTCACGCGCCTCTCTCACCGCAGGCAATTCACTTTCATCACTGTCTCTCTGGTTCCCAAGAAATTTTTGATAATCAAACATAATTCTGGGTGAGAGGGAGCAATTTTAGACCACCCACTTACGTTAAATATAAGCTGCAATATTCGATCGGAAAGCAGAATAGACAGCAAAAACAAAACTAAAACATTAGTCTTTGTTCTTCACAACTAGATTCGATCTGATGCGCAGCATAGTGGAAGGCTCAGTGTATCGTCATTATTCCTGGAATTGAATAAAACTAAACTGATGTTATATGCTACACTTCATGTCATTTAACAATTATTCCTTGAGCACGCATTGGATATGAAATCATATGGTAAGTGCCAACGAGGCGCAGACCGCCGAGTTGGCTATTGCCAATCTTGTATCTAACAATTGCAAATGGAAAATATTTTGTATCAAATTTTACTGAGTCCTGAACGTTTGGATATTTAAAACCTTTTTTTCAACTTCGCAACACTGGGCGCAATGCATTTCTATATAAGGTGACTCAGTAAATGAGCCGGTAACAGGAGTTGTGTGGACCAATGAGAACATCAGGAATGCAATATTCAGAGTTGAAAATTTAAGAAATTTACATTATTACAATTTTCCTTTTTTTTTTTTTTTCTTCATAGAAATTATCTCAGGTGCCAGTGGTCGGAGTAACCTGCGCCGCCTGTGTGTTTCCTTGTTTAAACAAGTTAAAGTTTCCGGTAAAGTTAATAGTACATTGGTTTTAAACAGTGTTTTTGAGTGATTATTCACATCTGGCCATACTGACTTGCTATAATTGTCTCCGCGCGTTCCCTAAAAGAGTAGCTTTTGGTTCTTTTCAAGCTATCGGTGATTTGTAATTTTATTTCCTTTCATTTCAAACTCATTAAAAACCAATACCTTACGATATCTTGAAGCAATCATATTACCATTTAGCTTGTTTCTTTTCCGTTGCTTTTTATTTGTATGAAGACATTTTTCACAGTCGGGCGTATCGAAGACCGTCCAATCATCTAAAATGTGCGTATTTTTCTGTCTAATTAGGTTTTGCTTCTGGACGAGTGCAGTCAGATGACAGAGCCGGCGTCTCTTCTCCCAATGGCTAGGTACGTGTCCCTTTGCTCGACTTTACGCCCTGAAATACATCATTATTTTTCTCCATCCAAGAGATTACTTTGTATTTTAGGTCTGTCCATCTCTCTTTGGTGTTTTTCCGCCTCAGAAAGGTTTAATTTGTAGTTTTAATTTAGTTTGTAACACTTCTCTTTGCATGAAACGTATTTCTGCTCGTTGACGATTAACATATGAACGTGCATAAGTGCTAAAGCGCAAAAGAATCATGATCGCCAAGAGCAAATTTGTAGTAACATCGGCGATCAACTGGTTGCATTTTCGGACTTGACTTAGCTTTAGTTCCTCAGGCTGGTAAACGGAATGCGTCAGCACGAATCCTACCACGTTGATGAAATTCATGGTATATAGAGATCAAAGAACAATTCACAAGACGCTAAACAACCTTTTAATGTACGAAATATACCTTCCAAAAACCAAGAACAACAACAACACACAAAGTAAACAAAAACACATTGCACAAACGTACGATTTATTGGTACCATTTTCTTACAGATTTGAATGCCAAAAGCTTGTCCTGGTCGGAGACCCAAAAGTAAGTGCTTTTTTAAGGGTTATCCTTCTGCCTGGCCATCCCTTTTTATTGAATTTCAGTTCTAAACACTTGAATTGCTTTCCTCTTTTTCGTCTTTGTTTCCCCTTCTTGTAGCAACTTAGTCCAACGATTCAGGGTTCCGAGCCTGACCATGAGGTTGGACTTGAACAAACTTTGTTTGATCGACTGATCAAGATGGTAAGTTCATTCTAAGTGTTTTATCAAGCTTAGGTGGATTTTCGACCCTTTTCAACGGACTTACATCGATTAACTCCTAGGTTGCATCGATTAATTCTTAGGTTACATCGACTGATCCAAGATACTATAGTGTCCGGAATCGGACGCCAAAGTTCAAAATCGGACACTAATCTCTCAAATCGGAAACTGATGTCCAAAATCGGAGGACAGTGGAGTCCAAAATCGGATGCGAGTGTCTGAACTTGGACACTAGTTTCTAAAATCAGACACTGTTGTCCAAAATTGGACTCTGCTGTCTAAAATGTGACACTAGTGTCTAAATGCGACACCATTGTCTAAAATCGGACATTAATGTTTTATGACTCTAAATGTGTGAAAGAAGCATGAAGTTTAAGTACAGTTTACCATTTTGACGTTGCAAACAAGGATAATTTTTAAGTCACTTTTGTGATTATTAATTTTTTCATTGGTCTTGTGTTTTTGTGCTTCTTTGTTGGGCCCAAGTTTAGATTTCTTCACTGTGCACGTCTAGTATTTTCAATTATTTTGTTGGTTTTTTTGTTTATTTATCTTTTAATTTATCTTTTAATTCGTCCATTTCCAGGGTTATGAGCCTACTCTGCTGAGAACACAGGTAAGATACCGCACCATTTCATCCTTTAACTCGCAGAAACGATTAACATGTAACTTCTCCCTATAATATCCATAAATTATCCAGCAAAGATATAATGGGAATACTCAGACCTATGAGGAAGAAGTTGTTATATTGATGTAGCACCAAATTCTCCCAACTAATCAACAAGGAAATGTGTAGCAGCTACAGGGGAGAATTAACATTCCAATCAAGGGAGGTAAAGGATGAAATGAGCTGTAAAAGTCAATTCCCTTCGAAGGCGCTGATCCAACCATATCGATTTGTAGATGTGTGAATTGCTTAGTCATCGAAAAATAACAAAGTAGTCAAATTGATGTGTCGAATGGACCAAAAAAAGCCGTTGATTTTTACTCTTCTGCTGTTCTTTTTAGTACCGTTGTCATCCAACGATCAGTGCGATATCCAACACGTGAGTACAAATTGATTTCATGTTTGCTTCTTTTTTTTCGTGTTTTTAAACCGTAAAAGTGATCTGAGCTTTGAACTGCCGGTTTGTTTACACTGCTCACATAACTTCCTTGTGTTTTCTGCTGAACATCGCTTGAAGAGCCTGTAAGTCGGAAAAAGCCTCGACTAGCTTGACAGATTCTTAGAATTTACATGCACGTAATTGCACCAGTGGCACTTGCGTTAAAATCAGTTTTGATTGTGAAATGCAACGGTGAACAATACTTGCTTTTTCTTCTGCAGATTGTTTTATGGGAAGAAGCTTCTCGACGGGGTAACATCTGAAGATCGTTCCCCAATAGTGGTAAGTTTCCATAAGTTCTGTGCTAGTTAGGCCAAATGATCCACCCGGGTAAAAGCTGTACTGACTTTAATCCTTTATTAGTTCAGCTTGAAAAAATGTATGGGTTTTTCCGATTTGTCGAAACTTAATAGGAACGACAATTTTCACGTTCTTGCGCAATGGCTGAAAGCCAAATGGCAAAAATGCCATTCTCTCTCCTCTCTCCGTTCAAATTCTAGCCTCTTGCTGCATGACGTTAATAAAGATACCTGTTTATGATTGTTGTATGTGTTTCAAACAGGAAATTGTTCCAACCCTTTGCTTCTATAACGTGGCAAGAGGAAAAGAGAAATGTGGACGAGATGGAAGTTACTACAACGACGAAGAGGTACAAGAGTCTTGCTTTATCATTTTTCACTTTGCTGAGATTGTTATATGTGTTTCTCTTTTAAGCCCCTGTTCTTTGAATGTTGCTGATGGACTCCAAAGATCGTTCGTTGCTTTGTTGTATGTCCCCCGCCTCTCGAACATACTTGAGTCTGCTTGTTCGTTTTTAACTGTTTTTTTTATTTTATGGCTAGCTTTTGTTGTTGTTGTTTTTTTTTCTTTTCCATGAGTTTTTCATTCTTCATTTTATATATCATTTGATCTATGAATGCTTATATAATAAGCTCAGTTATGCACGCATTCTGATTGGTTCTCACTTATGATCTATTGGAGGACAGACGTATAGATGACGTCATCATTAAAACTTTTTTTAATTCTTAAAGGCTGCACCTCGTGTGCCACTTTTTTGTTCTTACCACATTTTGATGTCCTCTGTGATCTTTTACTGAACAGACGCACGGCAACTTGGAATCTATTTGTTTATTTTATTACACTGAATTTTGTTCATTGGTTGTAGGCGAAATTTGTTGTCTTTCTTATTGAACGCCTCCTGGAGTCTGGTGTGGAACCAGTACAAATAGGTATGTGATGAATATTTTTAAAACTATCTGTAATGCAGTGCTTCCACCAACCTGTTTGGCTCATAACTTAGTGGATGTTTGTGATCATTGATGATATCATACCAATGTATTTACAACACTTCTTGTGTCAGCAAAGTTCCTAACCCTTTTTAAAAATGTAGGTTACTACTCACATATTGCCAGAAGGTTAATCGCAGGTGCAGAGTGATATTTAACAGGTTCTTGTGACTTTTTAGATTTACTTTCATGACTATCGTACCTTCCTCCTCCTACCGATTGATGTACGAGTTCCTTCCTTTTCCTGCATTGCCGCACCTTGGTAGTTGTTAGTTACGAATGGAATTTTCTCTGTGCATCTTGAAACTCGTTATTCTTGCATTCCTTTATTTCAGGAGTAATAACGTTGTACAAGTCCCAACTGAACACAATATCAAACCATTTGACAGCTTCCAGGTTTGTTTGTTCTCTCGTAACAAGGAATCGGAATTCCTCAGTACTTGTAAAGTTGTTGGAAACTTTTCTATTACAGAGGTCTTGAAGACGCACTTTTGAACAGCCACGTAAGGCATAAACGCCGCTTTTAGACTCAATTACTCTTGATTTCAACGACGAAAACTCGACGTTTGGTACAGATTAACGTGTATTATTGAACTTGAACAAATGTTTCAAAGTTAACTGCTTGTTTCTTTATGAGTTGTTGTTTGTTTTCTGTTTGTTTGTTTAGCGTTAATTGTAACCACTAGCTTGCTCTTATTTTGTCTTAAATTCAGGGCCACTTCCCACGCCGAACTCAAATCTATTCAGGTGAGGGAATTTCGTTTAGCGAAGTAGTGTGTCACTCTTACCTGTAATTGGACCACACTTAGTTTGTTCGGGAAAACTGTTGTGACTCCTTTGGTTGCTTGTGTTTTTGTTTCGTTTGCTTCTGTCCGTTTATCTTTTCTTTTATAATTTTTTCTACTTTGTTTCTAAGCAGATATCAACAGTCGACGCATTCCAGGGCGGTGAAAAGGACTTGATCATTTTGTCGTGCGTGCGCACGGATCACATTGGGTTCATTGATTGTGACAGGTGAGATTCTTCTTACTTTTTATCACCTCACATGCTCTCGGTTGTGTCTTTTAGCTCGGTCAATAATGCTGCGCTGCGCTATGTTTATTATACACACCAAGGTGTGAAGAAGCAAAATGCACTTCAGTGACGATAGCAACATGGTACTGCAGAGCATTGCCTACGTATGTATAGGCCATTGTATATGTTTCATACATGTGAGGTGCCTCTCCTTTGCGATGCATTTTTGAGATTACGATCAGTCTGTTAACCTTTTAACCTCCTAGAGTGACTGGCATCTAATTTCTCCTTACAATATCACCCCTAAATCAAACATTTAGGTCAGGAGAATAAAGGAACTGATCACCTACGAAAATAGCTCTTGACTGTTAGACGAATTCTCCTAGACAGCACCATAGGAAATGTTTAAAGAACAGTATAGAGAATATGCATACTGATGTTTGGGTGTAAAAGGCTAAAGAGTTTTCGTAAGTTACGCAAGTTTTCATACCAACACGAGCGTTGTTTCTCTGAGAGCGTGGGGAGGAAAATGTATTTCGACAGCTTAGGCTGCCGTGAACTGTTCTCAACAACAGAAACAATAGGATGACCTCGGTGGTGTAATCACATAGTGTAATCATTTTGATAATTGCTTTCGGGAGGGCATTGTAACAGGAGCCTAAAAAGAGAGCGATGAGACAGTTAATACTTGTATGATTCATCTTCTAGCCTATTTCCCTTTTGTTGGTTTCTGATATTTAATTTTTTGTTTCTTTTATCTAATGATTTCCTGTGTTTCCCTCTCAGACGTACTAATGTTGCATTAACGAGAGCTAAGAGGTTGGTAATTATAATTTTGCTTTGAGATTCAGCATGCAGTGTTTATCGTTGAATGGCACATATCAATCTTAAACCCATAGTCTAAGGATTACATTCCCGGCTAAGTGGAATATGATATCAATAACTGTAAACGATTTTTTAGTTTTAATTATCATTTTCCTTTTTTCAGGCATCTCCTTATCGTCGGTAATCTTAAGATGCTGTCCTGTAACAACGTTTGGGGAAAAGTTATAGAGCACTGTCGTGGTAAGAGTTGGTACATTCTTTTATAATTGTTCAACTAGATATTCTCTTCTTCAGGGGCTTTTAGAGTATTTTTAATTTGTTATTTTTCAACATAGTTTTTAATTTTTTTTCGTATTCAGGATATCCCGGCGGATTGTGTAACTCGCAAGATTTCGTTGAGAAATGGAAGAAAGAATATGCCAGTGATGCCTGCCAAGGTTAGTTGTTATATGTGGAAGAGTGTTGCACGCATCGGAAGATGACCCCCCCTCCCTCTCGTGGTCATGGTTACAATGATTGTCATCATGCTTTTCATTATCAGTGTTAGCACTTACCCCTCCCCTAGCCTAACAACACTCTACCCATAGCAAGTTTAGGTTAATGTTGGGTCAGGGGAGGGGTAGGTGCGCAGTTGTTCTGATACTGACATTGATCTGCTTCTGACATTGTCATTGTCACTCTCATTTTCACTGTCGTCATGGTAACTGTCGTTGACGCTGACATTGCCATCGTAATTGCTTTCGCCGTTGTCATTGCTTTTGTCTTTGCTATTTTCATTGTCACAGTCGGTGCCAACGTCGTCATTAGTAACATTTTCGATATTATAGTTATTGCTATTATTTTGTCAATGATTATTTGTGGTGTTGTTCTTGTTACTTTTATGTAAATTTAATCAGCACATGTAAAATTCAGCACTTTATAAGTATTAACTATTTTATAATCTAACTATTGATATCATGTTAAGATTCCAGCTCAGCAGAGGTAACAAAGAATTCTTTTCAAAGCACACAAGACAAAGAAACTACTCTTGAGGCGTTTCCGTCCAACTCTCAAAATCCTATCGAATTGAATGGAGAAGCAGATGAGGCAACGGCCTACACTCCTGGAGAAAACACCAATTCAGTTGATAAAATAACCTCTTCGCGAGCTCTGGTCCCCTGCACATCTGTCTTGGAGGTATCCGATGTAGTGGACGATGATAACGATGAAGAACTTCCAACGTTTGACCTCTTCTCCTCTTTAGGAAATGAAACTGTGTAGTGGACACTACTTGCGGCGACTCAAGAAAATACGGCGACTACATATCGAGGAAATGAAGTTATGCTCGGTCATTGGTGCAAGTTCTAACCCTTTAACTCCCGTGAGTGACCAAGACTGAATTTCTCCCTACTATATCTATAAAATATCATGCAGACAAGTGATGAGAATGAAGAAAAATATCAATTATGAGATTACTAATTGATCCGATACCAAATTCTCCAGACTAACATAATGAGAATCATTTGGCAGACACTAGGGAGATTTACTAATGAGATCTTAGGCGTTAAAGGGTTAAGGAAGCCCTAGAAAGGATCGCACGAATGCTGGACATTAATAAATTAGGCTACGACACAGTTCAGTGTCACTTCTCTCGATGATTCTATGGATTTAACACGGCCTAGACACATGTCGTCTGCCTATTTTTGTGATCTTTATTGATGTGTTACATCTAAAGTGACGTTGCGTTTTGATACATGACGTTTCTGAGTGTGAATAATTATTGTACAGATATTTAAAAAATAATAAACATATTCGCGAATTGTTTTTCCTTAGTTTTTAATGTTGTTATTTTCGAGGGTAGAGGCTAAAAGTGAAATTAAAGCTCAGGTTTTGGGATATCCTTCTCAAAGGAACGAAAAATACCACCCGCTAAAAATAAATGATTTTTTTTTTCCAGCTAAATGCATGTGCTGCACGAGCTACGTATTATCAAATGCAATCCATTTCCTCTCTGGAGTCATTATGCTCTTTGACACTATTCGGGATGCTTAGCATCAATGTGGCAAATATCTGGTTGCCATTTCGAAAATATGTCCATGAAAATGCTCTTCAGTTAGTAATTTGCGCGCAAATCAATATAGACTCTTAATTACAGCGTTTCCTGTTTTGTGACTTTTCCTCGTTGCTGACGTCAGTTGAATGTGTTTCACCTCTGGGTTTATATTTACATAATCAAAGATAGAGTTGTCGGAGTGCTTCACCTTCGGAAATGTTCTCCTAACTCTAGTTTTCTTCCTGATTCTCAATCAACTGATTGAGCTCTATCAGCTAAGGAACATGCCGCCGGGACCTCGTTTTACATCTCTGCCTTTTATCGGTAATATGTTAAGCTTAGATTCTGGAGAAAGCTTTGGTGAAATCACTGTGTGCCTTTACCAGTATCACTGCCGCCTATAAAAGCAAGCTTAAAACAGCAGAAATCGCCAGAAACTACAACGGACACACAGGATATGAGTAAGTTTTATTGATTTTACCTGTAAAATATTCATATTTCGAAATATTTATCGTTGCAGACTGACCATATTTCGTTCCCCATGCTATTCCTTTTAACGTGTTCAAATTTTCAACGGTTCCTCTCGTAACTTAACACCGAGTCACACAACGCGTGACGCGTTCATGAATTGAACGTTGGCTTTTTCTCGAGACTAAAAGCTTGGGCCACCTGTGATAAAGTGTGTACTAACTAAGCGTTTCGAAACTAACAACTAAAAAGTACGAGCTCAGGACTTATTTCAAAGAGGAAGATCAGTGTTTTGTTTTCACTTGTCTCTTTTATCTTCCAATTAGAGGAAATGAATATTATGTTTTCAGATGCCTTTTGTCCTTGCTCATTCAGTGAAAGGAAATTTGCTTCTTGTTTCGCCCCATTTGTTTGTCTTCTGAGTTGAAAGCTTACGACCCCTCTCAAAACCCTACGAGACCCGTCTAAGAGACGTGACCGACTTAGAAAATTTCGATCTATAAACGCTAACGAGTGTAAGAGCCGTTCAGTGTCGAAGTGATTCACCTTGGTTAATATCTAATCTGGGGCCGTGTTATGAGACCACAACACAACTGAACCCGTGCGTGGGTGTGTTTGTCTGTGTTTCCGGTGTTACATCAATTAACTTTAAACCTCACAGGAGTTACGTAACCCAGAACTGTCAAGGGATCTACTAATAGTCGTTTTCGTTCAAAACCGCGTGTTGTAATCTTCTTGTAAGTTACACTTTTGTCGTTGTGTATTAGAAGTCTTTTCTTAAAGTGGAATCGTTTCGTGTTTGAAGAACACAATATTTGTTACTTTGCCGTTTTCTTTGCTGGAGAGTTTCTAAGTGATCTATTTTTGCCGATTGGCGAATGTGCTACTGGCGATAGCGTTTTGTAATGACATTCTTAGTCGAAACTTTACACTGCTTAGCTCATATCGTTCAAGTAAATATTCAGTATAATACAGCTGTCCGGAATGAATGTCAATGCTTCTTGCATTCTTCCATTTTGCATCTAAAAACAATAAATAAGTTCATTTGTTTACACAATATCACTCTGATATAGACACAGTGCAGAACGGATATAAGACCTTAAGTATTATTAATTTCTCTACTAGAAAAAGTGCTTTGGCCTTCTGGACGGTTTTCATTCAAATACATTCTCGAAAAATCTGCGCTTTAAATTCGCAAATACTAAATTAATTCAGAATTTAGAGATAAACAAACCTACAAAGCCTATTTGCCTCACAATTGACCGTCACGCTATCTTCTCATGGCTTGTACTATTATCTCGTGACTCCAGGTGACGTCATGGTAAATTTGTGTGAACTATTTGCACTATCCGTGATGGAGCTCACAGTTTCGGAGTGCTTTACTTTCGGTAATATTTTCTTGGCTATCGTTTTCTTACTAATTTTAAATCAACTGGTTGAACTATATCAGTTCAGGAACATGCCACCAGGACCTCGTCTGACATCTCTGCCGTTCGTGGGAAATCTGTTGAGCTTTGATGACGGAGATAGCCTTCGCGATGCTACCAGAAGGTTTGTTTGCACCTAAAACCACTCCATGTTTATATGTTCTATACCTGATAGTGATTTTGTTTTAACACAACGATTCCCTGTATCTTATTGTTGTGAAATCCTGGCTTTATGGATACAAAATACGGTGCTCCTATCGCTGCACATATAGCTCGCAGATGGGTGCTATACAAACAAAGCAAATTTGCATGTTATGTGGCTTCGCTATGGGCCTTGCTGCACGATCGAAAAAGGTTGTTTATCAAGACAAATTCTCTGTTATCACCAGCCCTTTTTTGCAAGAGCGGCTAGTTTGTCGCGACTTGACAAATTTTGGCCGAAGCGGAAAAATCTTAAAACGCACCGTCGACAAAATTTGTCACGGGTAAAAGCAGGACAAAAAACGACTAGATAAACAAAACCGTGATAACTTGTCGATCATATGTCGTAAAAGCTATCGCAATGGAACTGGAAGAGGTGGATTGCTTTGCCAAACTTTGCTGGCCGGTCTTTTGAACAGATCCGGCGATGATGTAATTTTACGGCTTTGAAATTTTTATTGCAGCTGCCACAAAGGAAACAGAAAATTTGTTTTGATTGTTAGTATTGTGCGTTGCGTGACATAAACCATCAACCTTATGGAAATTAGATAAATTCAACCGTAGGTTGAAAGGAGCCGACTTGAATAAGCGAAAATAAAAACCATATTTCTATCGATTATGAAGTATTACTGTGCAAACAAAACCTTTTGATTAAATCACCTTTTATACTGCACTATGTGATTTAGGAAACTACATTTTAACTCTGCAAATGCAACAAAATTTTCCTGTAAACACTGTAAAACGGTTAAATGTGGCCACTGGTACAACACAATTTTTATAGCATTGAAAAGAATCAGAGGTTGTATAATGACGCTAGAAGGCAGTGTTGCAGAAGATTTGTATTCACATGTAAAACAGAAAACCTGCCGCATGGTAACGTGCTTTCTTTTGGAATGATAAAAAAAATAGCTGAACTTTCTACAATGTGTAGATCACACCTAGTTAGCTATTTCGGCAAGGAAAAGTATCGTTTTCAATTTCGCGCCAGAGATGCTATCGTGAAATTTATCATCTTTTGTAGTGTCACGGCAAGAACTGAAAAAACAGAGTGTCTCGTACAATCTTCTGGGCATGTTTCGCTGATTTAAACGTGAAATGCTCTTTCTTCAAAGATAAAATTGTTCTCCAAGTTTTCATGATGTATTGATCACACCGAGGAAAAGTCTGGTGTTCAACGATCTTGAGATGATTGTGAGATATTTAAGAATTAAATTTTGGTTTTATTCAGGCAGAAAATCATTTCTTCTTCCTTCAACTGCGCCCAATAATCTCTAATGAAAATGTCGAACTGCGAAGATACTCCGAAATAAACAGTAAGTGACATTGGGTCAAAATCGGGTAAAGTTCGGCATTCTATTGTTACCGTCACTCACTCACTCATTTCGGCAACAGTCTCCTGTACTTGTGTACAGCAAATCTATTCAACATCGAATTTAGGGAAGAAATACCTTTGAACATACACCCTAACGTTTTTCTTTTGTTTTCTTTATCGCCTAGCTTGAGAGAAAAGTATGGTAAATTGTATTCCATGAAGGTGGGGAGTTTTAAAACCGTCGTTGCCGAGGATGCTGCTTCAGTGAAAGAAGTGTTGGTGAAGAAATCGGCTGATTATGCTGGAAGACCTCCATTCCATAGCTTCGTGATGACCACTCTTGGTATGTAATGCAATGCCGAATAACATTTGTCATTTGTTGTCAACTCAGAGGGCAATATAGAAAATTATCTGCAAATTGACTGCCAGTGTGGAGTGGGGGAGCGGGTTGGGTTGGATGAAGGGGTCATACGGTCATACAAACATTACAGAGTCCTATGGGGAGATGAGGTAAACTTTATTGTCACCTTCAACCCCTCCTACCCCTGCTTCCCCCCTCACCCCTCCCTACGGCGATAGATAATGACCGGTCTCCTAAGAGCTAAAAAAAGCCATAAAAGTTATACATTTTCTTGTACTGCATTGTAGGCGCAAAGGATATCGCATTTGGAAATTACGGTCCTGCATGGAAGTTTCATCGCAAACTCTTTATGACGGCGGTGCGGAAGTATATCTCGGATCAAGAGCTGGTTGAAGAAAGAATCTCCGAGCAAGCAAAGAGGCTTCTGCAGTACTTTGAAGACCAGAAGGAAAAAGGCTTTGACCCATCACAGATTTTGATGGAAAGCGTTGCAAACGTCATCTGTCGAATCACGTTTGGAAAGCTCTTTGATTCATCACATCCAGATTTTAAGGAACTCTTGGAGATAAACAACAGAGCTTTTACAGACACTGAATTGAATAGTCAGGTATTAATGTTAGATAACTTCCCCATAGCCAAATACCTCCCATTCAAAGCCTACGAAACAGAAAAAAAAATGACTGATCGACTCTTTGAGATTCTGCGAAATCAGCTAAGGGTGCAGGAGAAAGCATTTGATCCCGAAGCGGAGATCGAGAGCCTCACTAGTAGCCTTTTGAAGGAAAAACTTGTCGCCGAAAATGAAGTTGGCACTGGGGAGAAAGCAGCCATCTTGTCCGACGACTACATAATCAACACCATGGAAGACATGTTCAGCGCTGGTTATGAGACCACCAGCACTACTCTTCGTTGGGCCATTGCTTACTTAGTTCACAATCCCGACTGTCAAACAGAGATTCAGAACCAGTTGGATGAGGAGGTAGGGAGGGATCGTATGCCAGGTCTGGATGATCGCCCAAACCTTCCGCTGGTTCAGGCCACAATCATGGAAACACTTCGCCTCGGAAATGTCGCTGAAACAGCTCTTCCTCATTACACTCTGAGGGAAACCACACTTGCTGGTTACCGTATTCCAAAAGATACTGTGGTTTTGCCCAATCTGATGGCCGTTCACATGGATCCAAGCTGCTGGGAGGATCCGACCAAATTCAACCCACACCGCCATATTGATGCTGATGGCCAAGTTATTACCAACTCTGGAAACTTTCTGCCCTTTTCTGCTGGACGCCGCGTTTGTGCTGGCGAGGCACTTGCAAAGGTACTGTTAACCGTTTTAGTACAAAGGGGCAATTATCTTTAGGACGCATTTAGTACGCAAAGGACAAAAAGACCTTCGACTGCGTCTATATATCTCTCCTTCCTGTCGTTCATGTCCGTCAGCCTTATGACAAGGTTTCCATCTCTTTTCAGCATTCCAAGAAGGGCACATGTTATTCGTTTCATTAAATTGCGATAGAGGAAAGTAATAAGGAGTGGTCCGTATGAAAAAACATCACTCCTCGTTGCGAGTGATATGGTGGATTCATCTTATATGTATCAAGCAGAATGCAAATAATAAGTGATTATGTTTACTTTTCTGTTCTTCTAGGTCGAGTTGTTCTTTTTCCTGTCCTGGATGTTGCACAAGTTTACCTTCTTGCCCCAAGAGAACGGTGTTCTTCCTGACCTTAAAGGAGTCGATGGTTTTACCCGTTTTCCGGCGCCTTACAATATAAGGGTAGAAAAACGTCAATAGAAGCCTATAATCTTAAGCAAACGGTGTTATAAGCAGAATTTGACTTGAGAGCTTGTAACAAAATAGGTCCTGATTTGTACAAAACTGTTTGTACTAAGTTTTCCTAACGTGTATCATTATAGTAGTAGCAGAAGATTATAGTTTAAGGGAAAAGTATACTCAAGAAACCATATTATTCTTATTTCTTTCGTGGAAAAGTATCCGTATGAAATTATGAAACTGCCCGCAATTTGAAATTTCAGAAAGTGTCATGGAACCTTCTAAAATTGTGTTCAGTTGCGCCAAAGCTGCCTGCATGGACGCCGCCATTTTGAATCTCGCTTAGCAGCCTGGCAGCTTAATTGTGACATAGTCTCATTCCTCTCTTTTTTAGCGGTCTGATTAGAACAATACAAAAAGTATTCTTGACTCAAACAATAATCCTTTGTTATAAAAAGAGCAGAGCTGTTTGTTAACTGCACCCTGTGGTTTAGTATGTGCGACACTTTAGTGTTTTGAGAATGGCAGCGTATAAAAAAAAAACATTTTTAGTAACAAATTGATGTTACTTTTTTTAAATGGTTGCGTCTATCTTATTTCAAAAAGAAGCCACTGTAACAAATTCCTATTTATCAGTAGTGTGGATGCTTTTTCGATGTACCTATGTATTCTTACCATACGTTTTTAACTATACTCATTTATAGAAAATGTAGAATCGTAAGGATTAAACGTTTAACTCGTTGTGGTCATGGCTTTGCGTAAGATGTTTTCCTACAAACACCACTATGATAGCAACAATGGTTACCAAACTTTTTCGACGGCACCTTGCGAGACAATTGAAAGCTGCTGACACATGTCTGCCTCTGGTTTCTCATGGCTGTTCCCCAGGACTTTCACGTTTTGAATGAACACGATTGACAACGATTGTCTGCTTCTCTTTCGACGCCATATCCTTTCCTCTGCCATAAATGTCGGATTTGCTTCGTTTTTATCGTAAACTTTAGTGACTTACTGTGCTTCACAGCTGCTTAAGGGAATGAGGAAATATTTATCAAGAAAATCAATGCCGACATGAAGCCATTTAGACAATCTCACTCCACTAACGAGATCTTAACTAAGTCAAAACCCCTATCAAAGGCATAACTTTTTGTTATGTTTTTTTTCCTTTCAATATGAAGGTCAAATTATATTTAGTTTTGCAATCACATGATACAATCCAGAAGTTACCGAAGATGGGTGTGCATAAATGTACGACGAGGCGGACATTTTGGTCTTCGGACAAGTTCATTCCATATGCTTTAAGTGGTCATTATTGGTTGTTTCGAGCCTTTGGACTGATCTTGTTTTAAGTCATTAAAACATCCACTATGTCCACATAAGTTCTTCATCAGAAAGGGCGCTTGCTTAAACGTTTTTCATTTCGGTTTAGGGACTCGACCGGACCACCCGAAGCACTCTTGGATTATCCCCACCCTCCCCCAGATTTCCAAGGGGTTAGTGACACGTTTGCCATAACATCTTGTGAAAGCAAAACTGAAATACTATTTCATTATTAAATCCTGATATCATTACAAAATAACCTAGATACCACAAGCGCTTTGATGGATCAATTCCTACCGTTTACTGCACTGGTAAACCCATGGAAATTTGAAAATACTGGGTTTGGTTTAAGTTTACTTCATAAAAGCAAGAGAATGCACTCTCCTTCGGATAACGAGCGTAATAACTCATTTGGGATGTTGGGAGGATGTGAGGAAAGTTTTTAATTCACTCGCCTCCGGTTCGTGATTTACATAATTTCTCGTGTTCCTCCAACATCCTGTATGGGTTTTTACGCTGGTAAACCGATAGAAAGGGCGCTCTATTGCTTATACAAACAGCTCAGTTCAGGAAACAGTCTTCGTTACATAATTAGTTTATATCGCAATTCCGCACAGTGGATCAAACGTTAGCAAATACATTTCGGTATGGTGGCTTTCAAGAATTTTTTTAAAGTTTACATTTTTGCCACAAGGAAAAAATGGTACGAGTTATCTGATTGAAAAAATTTACGTAACTTCTGTGATTCGAACGAGAATTAAATGTGAACAAATCAATATTCCTGCCAAAAATTAGCGTACTGTACTGGTTTCAAAAACGAAGAGGTTATCCAATTGTTTTACTTGTCCCCCGAGACTTAAGTTTTAATACTCTGTCAATTTTGGACCGGACACCCATACAGCGTGTCTTACCAGAGGGATCAAGCACTCTTCGATTCGTTTAAGGTACCTCACCAAGTTGATGCTGTGGTCACTGATACGGTTTTGGCTCGCGAACTTGCAAATTCATTTACAAATAAATGCCTTTTCACAATCATTACGGGTCAGCATAATAAAATCAACTCACGCCTCGGCAGGAAATGTACACAGTTATCCATTTCCAGTCTACAAAAGACAATATCACGACTGCATATTTCTAAGCTGTTCTGTGACGACACACTGGGATCATCGTTCGCGAAACGTATGTCACGCGATCTTATAACAGTTGTTGCACGCAGTCGTTTCAAAATAATCCACCGGCTGGTAATGTTTTCAAAAGAGTTTATATATCGAAAGAATGGTTCTACTGTTTGGAAGATTTTTCATAGTAGAAGCCAAATATTTATGGTTCAATGGAGCAAAAAACTGTCACATAATAAACATCTTCTGGTGAGCTAAATGCTACGGAAATTCAACAAAGCATAACTGAAATGTTTGTTGTATGTATTTGCTTCGGTTAGCTTTCAGACCAATTTCTTTTTAGCACATAAAGCTGTTTTAGTGTTTCGCCGTTCTGGAAAGACGAATGGGAATGTAGGGTGCTATAACATTTGGGCAAAGGTTCATTTAATACTAAATAATAAGTCTCTCAGCTCCGGAAATAGCAAGTTTATGAATGATTTGGTAAGTGGATTTTTTCCTAGCTTACAGTATATCTGAAAATTGATTTATCTAGCACATTATTAAGAGAGCTTTCGAATTCATTTTATTAATAGTGTTACAATAAGAAAGAAAAACATTGGCGAAATCAAAAGTTAGCTTGTGGAATTACTCACGCCGTTTCCGTAGTGAAAGATACTGACTAGTCCTCAACAGCGGATGTAAATTTTTGAGCAAAATAAAATAAAAGGGCAACCAAGGATTGAAGAACTTAACTGTAATGATAAAATGATGCATAGGGAGCTACTTCCACTATAATAAACCTCAGCTTTATTGGTATGAGCTGGCCATGTTGGGTTCTTAATTACGTCACAGTTTGTTGCAAAAGCATTGAACGCCTATGTAACAGCATTATGTCTTCATCAAATGAAATTTAGCAAAAAATGACCGCTGTTTTTCTTTTTTTTTCGTTTGTTTTGTTTGTTTGTTTGTTTGTCTTTGTTTTTTTGTTTTGTTTTATTCTTTAATATTCTATTTCTATTTATTTTGATTCATTTATTTACCTCGTTATGCATTTTTACCTTTTTCAAGGGCATCCTCTGGCACACAACGAGCGTGCTCATCACACAGAAGCAACTTGGTATCTTGCGGCTTCCCAGGCCGTGATCACATCTAATTACCAGTCTGTGATCTCGCTTTCCACTCGTGATTTTTAATCGCCATTTGTGTATCTACTGTCGCATATAGGAGGCAAAGCCGCATATGTTATTCTTTTGTGATCACGCCATCATCACAGGCATAGTCATGGCGAGGAATGTTATTCCCGTGATCACGCCTCTAAGACTAAATCTTTCAGTTACAAATTTTCCAAATTCACCGGTCAAATGTATCTAATCAACATCTGGACCCGCGCATAACTCACTTATTTTGATCCAAAACTAAAAAAATAATAATAATAATCCCTTATTGGTAAAAAGTTTAGACACGAAATAAAAGTCAAAAGAGATATCGAGGCCTATCAATAAACGACACGCCTTGCCTTGAAGAATAAACTCGAAATCAAGCGTGAGCAAAGCATTTATTTCATTTAATGTGTATATTTCTTAATTTAAGAAATAAATGACTTAACTGACTTAACTTGACTAAACCCTTGCCTTACGTCAACGTACTTTCAGCACAACGGTAAACACTACAAACAGTTACACAGCCATGGCGGAATTATAAGAGTTTGCATGGGAATATTTACGAAAGCTTCAAGAAATTAAAAAAATACGTCAAATTCTCAATAAAAATACCTCACCTTACTTCCACAGCGTATCGCTTGTTATCTGACCGCTTATTTTTATATTCAATTTAGCGAGTTGTTCATCTGGAGGTTTTCCACGTACATAATAAAAGCCCAAGGCTGAACACTCCATTTCCGAACGCCCGATCCGAGAAGCGAAAAATCCCAGCGCAAAATGACCGGGCGGCCACAAATCCAACGCAGAATCCAAGCAAACATACTGTAGTTTCATTTCAACTCACTACAAACTAAATCTTTACCGTGCAATCGACGCTAAGCCGCAGTTTGCTTAAAAAATTTCCAGTTTAGAGGTTTTTAACAGCCCACTTACACATCAACCTTGACACACGACCGTTCTAAACCAGCTTGGTAACCCTACCTCCTTCTTAAACTGAGCCTCGCCGGGGACCACACGGCAACTTGGCATGAAGAAATTATCTTAACACCACGGGTGCCAGGTTACGATGTGGTCCCCGGCGAGGCTCAGTTTAAAAAGAAGCCAGGGTTACCAAGCTGGTTCTCAACGGTCGTGTGTCAAGGTTGATGAGTAGGCGGGCTGTTAGAAACCTCTAAACTGGAAATTTTTGAAGCAAACTGCGGCGTAGCGTCGGTTTTTCGCTTCCCGGATCGGGCGTTCGGAAATGAAGTGTTCATACTTGGGCTTTTCTTATGTACGTGGAAAACCTCGAACTAGTCAACTCGCAAAAATGGGTTGTTTTCAGCAAAGTAAGCGGTCAGATAACAAGCGATACGCTGTGGAAGTAAGGAGAAGGTTTTTTTTTTTTTTTTAACAATTTGACGTATCTTTTAATTCCATAGAGCGGTCGCAAATATTCCCATAAAAACTCTTGTAATTCCGCCATGACTGTTATTGTGTAAGATGATCGTCTCACAGCTGGAGCTTGGGCCGCCTCTGGTTACGCTACGTTGACGATACATTCACCGCCGTACGACACGACGAAATCCACGAATTCCACCACCACCCCAACGGACAAAACAAGGACATACAGTTTACCAGAGAGGTCGAAGAAAATGGTAAACTACCTTTTCTAGACTGCCTGGTAAGCCGTGACGACAACTAATCGCGGACAACAGTTCACAGGAAACCGACATACCGACAGGTCATTGACGAGTTATCCGACAACCCGACACCACACAAAGTCACAACTATCAGGACTCTCATGCGACGAGCGCAACTAGTATGCAACACGACAGACAGCTTATCCGACGAAAACAAGTGCCCTGACCGTGTTTTTTCAAAGGAACAACTATAACGAAGACTTCATCCGACGAAACGCTCACCGACTTATTACTACTACCAAAGCTAACGACAACGCAACTCCTACGACTACAGCGACTATACCGTACATAAAGGGCATATCTGAGAACATCTCGCGCATCCTACAAACATTCAATATCCACGTCGCTCGGAAACCCATTACCACACTATGTCAGTAACTGACTAACGTCAAAGACCAAGACTAACCGAGGAACAGACAGGGAGCAGTTTATAGGACAACAGTTCTTCTCAGGACTACACTCACCCGGACGATCAAACTACACTGTTACACGGATTAATCAATACAAACCGACCTGTTTATCCTGTTTTAGATGATTTAGCAGCAGTCAGTGTGACTCAATAAGGTTGTTAATTCAACAACACAAGGACGCTTCAACGTCTGTGAATACAAATGTCTAGACGCTTGAATTTAAGTCTCTTATCATGATAATAAATACGGTGGCGCACAAACGCATGGAATGCTGTCATTTAGACTTAAAAGTTTTTCATTCTGCCGCATGACTGATCCACTTTCGGCAACTTTTTTTGGGGTGCAAACTTCATTGATATTGATCATAATTATTTGCTTTGGAAGCATTATGGAAGTTGAACTTCCCACCGAAGTGGGACACCCGCTCTCAATTGTCGTAAGAGTGAATCAAAGTTCGCAACGTCATCTAATGTTAGCGTAGTTGTTGGCTTGCTGTATACATGCAAATAGATTATTATTAAAAGAAAGTAAGGTAAAGTGCAAAATGTGTTATTTTTATGATTTATTCATTCACACATTTTACTTTTTAACATTAACTGTCAAACTGAAATGAATTACAGTCTTTCCAATCACATTGAACTAACATCCCCTTCTCTCTGGGCCGAGTTTAACAAATGACAACCATATCTTGATAAATGGTTTCTTCTTCTCTCAAGTTTTCTTCTCCAAGAGACGTAGTTATATTAGATGGATTACTTGTAAAACTTTTCAACATGACTTCATGTATGGTGGGATTATCAAAAAAATTGTCACTTGCCCTCGAAGGGTTCTTTACTAGCCCCTACTGGTTTTTTTTTTTTTTTGGTTGTTTGTCTTTTTTAAGTAAAGGAACAAAAACGGAAAACCTGTACAGAATTTCAGAATTGGACCGCACTAACAACTGTCTTAACCTACTTTTCGGTACTTCAGTTTATCACTGCGAGAATGACACGTCTGTTTACTGCAATAGGTTCTTTCTTCGTAATGAGTCCTTATTCATTGCAAATAAGATGTTTAATGATAGCATTGACAAGACGACACAAGCGTAAAAATCTACCAAAGTATTAAAGATCATGACGCAAAATCCCTCAAACACAACGATTATGAATCCTATTATTACGTAAACTCCTCTCTGCCTTTTCAGTCTGTGCCACAGTAGCGCGAATTACACGGCGGGCGATGAAGTTTGTAGATATAGTAGGATGAGCAGTTCTTCACATAAATTTGGATTTTGTATCTGCAATCTAAATTATAACTAAAGCAGACCTTCCTGAAAACCTCGCCATGTTCCACAGTAGGATGAGTACCTTCCAGCCAGCCAGAGTAGACTGCACCACATTTCTTTTCTGCCACACGCGTTGTTGGCATTTTTGTTCCTGCAGCTCCCACAAAACGATACCACCCATCGAGTGTCTTGTCACACGAAGCTTCATACAAGGGAGTTGGGTAACTGCTCTTTCTCTGAGGATCACTCAGGTTTTTGTATTCATAGCAAGGATCGACTAAAAGAGTCAAATGACACGATTATGGTCATCAAAATCTAAAGACGTGGGAAATTAAATTTTGTTAACCATGGATAGCAGTATCTGAGTTTGTGTTTCCTCTTTCTTCAATAACGCATTAAAGTACAGCTTTCGGCGAACTGAAGGTGCAGCGCACGTAGTTTACGTTTGACCGAGCAGCAACATGGTCGCTGATGACCACTTGAGATGAAACGATTTAGATCGAGTCTAAACTATAGCTACCATAACTAATTTGATGGCATGGTAGATACCAAACGTACCTTTACAGCTTAAACCATCCCCTGTGTATTTAGGATTACAGGAACAATTGTAAGAGCCCTGAGTATTAGAACAAGAGGCTTTAGAATGGCAATTGTTCATTTTATCGGCATTAGCCTCACTGCATTCGTCAATGTCTGAAAGAGAACATACATATTACGTCAAAGTCAAGCTACAATAAATGTCACCTGGAGATAGAGAAAACTTACTGCCACAAAATTTCGTACTTGTAACCTTTGAACACCGATATTTATAATAAAAAAAAATCTCATATACGGCCATCAACGACGCTATGTAATTAAAATTCAGCCATTTATCCATCTGAATAGTAACGCGATTTCAGTTTCTAGTTATGAAACAAAATTGTCATGGTCGGGAGAAATAATTATATTTTGTTATTGATTACAGAGATTCAATTTATACTCGTCAATGTCTGAAAATATATGATGCGTCACAGTGCAAAGTAAGATATTTTAATGTACAATGTGTTGTTGCCCAGGAACAGATTTTTTTTCTCTACGGACACACACTATCATTGGTCTATTTGGCGTCACATAAGTCTCTGAGCGGGCAACATTGCAAATTCCTATGACGCTAGAGAGTACAGTGTCACCCGCGAATTTTGATCACCGATTTCCGACTGTTTTAATATAGGACATGTCACCGCTCGCGCACGCAAAGTACAAGTCGAGAAGATTGAACATATAAACTGACACACAACCCACAACTCCTCCCATCGCTCGATCTGACGAAGGGCTTAAGCTGGCTAACGCTCAAAACATCAGCCCTTTTCCTCTTAAGGGTGACCAATTTACGTTTTCAACCAAGTTTTTAACACTAAATTACCTGCTATACCCTCCCACTGACGCAGCACCACCGTTTCTTTAGAAACTTACCCCCTTTAATTATAATAAAGTTCCGATATAACGCGTGTTGCCTTCGGTCGAAAAAGAGTGCTCTTTCAGAGTACAAAACATAGGGCTTAGCTTAAACTTTACAAATTTTTAAAATTTTACTTTGTCTGACCATCTCTCAAACTTCTCTTTAGCTTTTTTCCGCTAATTGAAAGTGAAATTTCGGAATTAGCGAAATTTTTAAAATTTTACTTTGTCTGACCATTTCTCGAACTTCTCTCTAGCTTTTTTCTGCTGATTGAAAGTGAAATTTCGGAATTAGCGAGATTTTTAAAATTTTATTTTGTCTGACCATTTCTCGAACTACTCTCTAGCTTTTTTCCGCTAATTCAAAGTGAAATTTCAGAATTAGCGAACCGGCAAGTAGATTGCGAGAACAAGAGATTTTCTCAAATAAAGAAAACAAGTTATCTGTTATCACTCCAAATGTCCTAGTCGGGTAACTGCCTCCCCTTGTATTACAGAAATTAAAACTTGGTTTTCCACGGTATCAAAACAAAACAAGACAAAAAACAACAATAACAGCAACAACAAACAAAAATTCATCATTATAGTCAAAACGAATCTGAAGGCCTCTAAGATTATTGATTGTACCTGTACAATTGCGTCCATCTCCAGTATATCCAGGTTTGCATGTGCAAACGTGTGATCCGTGTGTGTTGTTACAAGTAGCATTTCCGTGACATTTGCCGGGGTATGTTTTGCATTCGTCAATATCTATTAAAACAATATATATATATGTACATGTATAAAAAAAAGTAAAATACTCGTTTGCAGTTTTGTTGGTTTAATGCGATTCTCGGGTTGGACCTGTAAGTCAAACCGCGATTTTTTGAAATTTTTTTCACGTTGGTACAGCAAATAATACCTAAAGCATACGTTTAATAACTTTTAATCGGGTAACTGCCTCACTTATTTTAAAGAACTAAAACATAGCTTGCCACGTTACCAAAATAAACATCAACAAACAACCAACCTAACAAAATCTCATTGTATCATTCAACAAGAATCTAAAGGCTTTTGAGACTGTTGACGGTTACCTGTACAGTTATGCCCATCTCCGATAAATCCAGGTTTGCAAGTGCACACGTAAGATCCGTGAGTGTTATTACACGTAGCCTCCTTGTGGCATTTGCCAATAGATGCTTCGCATTCATCGGTATCTTTCATAAAATCAGAAAGAAACAGAGAAAAAAAATCATGAATAGAATGTCAACTAAAGACACAAGCATATCATTTCCTATCAAAGAGCCATAGGAACTTAGCAATTCGCAAAAACAATTTATTTGTAGCTTCCTGTTTTAAGCGGTTCTCTGGTGGGACCTTTCAATTAAGTTATTATTTCTGAGCTCTCCTTGCAGTTCCTTTATTAAGCATACGACATACATATGAACTGCTCTTATTTTTCCATGGAAAGGCACCGATCATTTAAGGTTAAAAAAAAAAATGAAAAAAAAAAACAAACAAAAAACAGCAAATAAGCAGACAAACCAAAACAAAACAAAACGAAAATATACAAACTAGCGAGCGAAGAAAGCAATACACACGCTCGATAAACTATAGTAATAGATTTTCTTATGGAAAGATTCAGCACCTTATACAATGAGACAAATTCACACCACTTTCAGCAACAAAAACAACAAAACAGTTGTCATACCTGCATTGAAAATCAGAAAAAATCTCATATACGTCTTTTCAAGCGATGACTTAGACTCATACCCTTTTCACAATGTTCTCCCTCGAATCCAGGAGGACACAAGCATCGATATCCCTTGAGTGTAAATCCAGACTGGCAAGTTACGTTATTTTTGCAGTGGGAACTCTTGTCACAAGCGTTCTGAAGGAGAGAAGAAAAAATTAAATATTGAAGGAAAGATGGAGGGATTGAATGAAAGAAGAAAATAAATATCGAATGATCGAATACACGAAAATTTGCATGAACATTCATGATTGTTTTTATATTATTCCAAGGCGATAATTTCGAAAAATCGATTTGTAACTCACCTTCGACCCACGATAATAAAAATTGGCATCAGTTGTCAAGTCACTGTCGTATTTCAGATGAGTGGCGTTATTCAGTTCACAGATGTGAACCGCTTCATTGTACTCTGGATCTTTTTCGAAGTTAAGACTGACACAATCGTCGTTCAGGTAGCACATTAGCTCACAGTCATCCAAGTTATTGACGCGTTTGTTTTCAATGGTATGGTTTACCAAACGTCTTTCAGCAAAGAAGTAGTAGTCCGGAAACACCATTGCGCGCTCTCGCTCTAAAAAAGACAAATTGAAATATGATTATAAGGCATACTTTTCCGTCGCAAAAGAATTAAATTTCGAGTTAGAAGGTCCAAGAACAAATCTCTTGGCAAAAATTCTCCGATCTCAGCAAACTATGGTAACAAATGCGTTAAAAACGTGAGTCAAACAAAGCAGTCGGTGAGAAAAACGATGATTTGCTAAATGTGTCTAAAAACTTTTGTAAATTGCTTCGCCGTTTTCTACAATTAAACATTAACATAAAACTACCTTTATTTGAGAGTGTGGGGGTTTCTGAGGTACGGAACATTTACGGAAAATATTTCGTGTTTCATATGAATTTGGCAATTCAAGAAGCTCGTAGGATTTTAGATGTGTCTATCATATCGATAGAAAAGACGAGCTCATCAAACACTCTGTGAAATTCTTACTACAAAGGGAGTTAACTGGTGTTGACATTTTCTGATGTAGTTGTCATCAGTGCAATGAACACAATTTAAATTCTCATATTGGGAGCCTTTAATATCTCAAAAACTTTGACCAGGGATGGTCTTAAAGTGCATTTCTTATCTTTTTTTCTTTACATAAACAGGTGCTTGACTATTTAGTGTTTATCAAAGAAATATATATCTGAAGAGCTCCTCTATGGCTCTTTTCTTCGAGCGATTATCGTGAACAGAGGGAATTCATGCAAATTTAAGCTGAGAAAAAACATTCTTGTTTTGCGTTAATGAGGAGATTTTTGTTCGTTTTCAAAAGTTTTCTAGACGGACAATGTAGAATGAAATTTAATTCTTTTTACTGTTGTAACCCAATGTAAGTTGTTTGAATTGCTTAGCTATGGTGAATATAATCATCTATTTATTTCCGTCATTTGTTTTCTGAAAACAACTCATTTATCTGTTCATTATTTTAATTCATAGTTTTTTTTTCTCGTGTCGAATTAAGTCCAGCCACATCATTTTTCTACTGTTGAAAAAATATTGATCACAGCAAAAGGGTTTTAAAAACACTGAAAAATATATATTTACATTAATTTCAGTCTAAGGAATCCTTGCTGTGAGATCGATTATGAAAGAGCACAAAATTGGGAAATTGCACGAAGCTTCTGTGCAAAGGTTTTGTCAAGGATCATCTCAATTGAGCAATTTGTTCTTTGGCAAGTTTTAAAGCCTCCACTTCAAAAAGTAATATTTCAAAGGATTTTGCGTCAAAGGTTTTATTTTTCAATCCCTCACAATGGTTAAAAACTTATGAGAACAGCTACCCTATCTTTATAAAAATATTTTCAAAATTAGAAAACGTGGTCTATTCCAAATGCCGGCATTGTTCTTCTAAGAAAATAACTTCGCTTAAGTTGGCTAAGAGAAGCCAACTTTTCTGTCGTGCAAATTATCGAATTCGCGTCTGCTCAACAACAGCGAAATATTTTTGATAGAATTGATTATCCTTCCATGTAAATATGAGCTGATGAGCGTTAGGATTGAAGTTGTTTTGAATGAAGCAATTCTTCATCGTAGCAGTTCTTAGTTTTTTCAGTCGGTAACGACTGAAAATTTCCGATATAGTTCATTATAATAATACACCTCTGTTAAATACTGTTAATATCTACAAAAGAAGTTTACAAGACTGAGGTTCCTTCCTTTAAAAATAATGTTTGTTGAATTCAAGTTTTTAATTTTGTCATAACAACACGTTAATAAGCTCAGAGCATCAGCTGTTGTAAATCAGCGAAATAGAAATAAAGAGTGACGGAAAATAAGATAGCAAGGGCTGAAGTATGAATATAGGGATAGAAAATGATGCATATTTTGTAACTCACCTTTACCAAACGTCAAGTAAGTCGTCGATGAAGTCCAGACTGCGAATACTAGAAAAGCTGAAAATTCCATGCTTCCTCAAGACAACGGAGCTCAGTATTGATGCTTTCAGTGTGCGACAAATTTCGTGTCGACCATCTGCATTTATTAATGAATTGAGTAATAGAAACCGACCGATTAGTATTAAAAAAGGGATGTTAACAAAATTAACAGCTGTCAGTCCTGCCCCTGCAAATGATATTTGTGGGTACGCATTTAAAGTTTGCTGATGAACACGTTTCCAATGTCTTCCTTTGTGCCAGTTAGAAACACTTTGGTTTTGAAGGGCTACGATTCTATCGGTGTTCATCAAAAGATTAGAAATAGGGATTTTAACACACACTACTAACTTCAATGGCTTCATAATTATAGTCAATGGAGTGCGTTTAAGAGAATAACATTATAAAAATATTCTTAAGAACGTTAGGTGAACATATTCCGATAATGCAGTCACATAGAGAGCCAAGTTCCCTCGAGTTTCTGAGAACTTCAAATTTTCAAGATCGATCCATAGATTCAACGTTTATTCGTTTGTTTGTTTTTTGTTTTATTCTCAGGGGAAACTCCTTACAAGCTTAATTGAAGCGTCAACAATCGACGAAAAGAAAATTCTCACAAAAATGTGGTAATAAAAATAGATCTTATGTATCGAAAGTCCCGCTCACGAAATCCTGCGGATAATGGTAATCGGTGTGTAGGAGCAGACAGGCTGGCGTAACCTTATCCGCCAAAGCAGACGTCAGCCCTGCACTCGCACAGTTAGCTTTCATTTTCCCAAAACACGAATTCTTAATTAAGACTATGTCTTGAAATATATCTGAAATTATAAAATAAGCCATGTTCTTGGATGGAGCAAAATATTTTCTCGTTTGGCCCTCCTACTTACTCGAAACTAGGAACGCAATAATTTGAAGTCCTAAGCTATTAGCCATTTTATCTTCCCCGACATTCATTAGCGTCAAAATTGATTCATGATGAGTTCTAATAAGCTCTTTAGTTTGAAACAAACAATAAATCTCCCGTAGACGGTGGTTATTAAACAACAGAAATTCCATAAATTTTCTGAGCAACTTACAACTTATGTCTCGATACATCAGGATTGAATAAAGATTGTCGAAGCAGAACCCCTCAGACACTCTTATAATAACTGAGCACGATCCAGTGTAGACAGCTGCTATACTCAATCCAGAGCCCTAGTGAGACAACGCTCTGAATGTTGTTTTTAGCGCCATCTTCATCTCAAATAATAAGACGTTTTCAAGTTTTCCTCCGTTAGATAAAATTGTTACAGACTCAAGGTCAAAGAGACATGTGAGCCAACATTTGGTTCCCGTCTCATTTTTCTGATTGGAAGCCATGTAAATCAACTTTTTTTCAAGGTTCTTCTTGTTCAAAATCATCACTTTTGTCATAATATGAACGGAATTCAAACGAGCTGCATATTAGTCTAAGTTGGGGGATAGGACAAAACAATCTGTGAAAGGAAATTTCTATAAGTACAGAAAAAGACAACCGTAATTTTTGGCAAGTTAGATATTTC